AAAGCCGAGAAACCTCCATCTAGAGTTACCCGGTGCCTAGACAGTAGGAATTGAGTTATCACTATTTAGTTCCGGCATTGCAAAATGTTGGATGGCGTCACTACACGTATATGTTTGGACCTAAAATTGTATAATAAGTAGCAGCCTATAAATATCCCCCTGCTGGGAAAAGGACTCCTCTGTACAGATGGTATCAGGGTATTAGTTATCATAGTCCACCTCGCGACCCCACTGCGGATTGGCGGACTTCACATATTTTCGAAATATATATATGTAGATATATATATTTTTTTGTATATATATATATATATATATATATATATATATATATATATATTACTGACTGTTATTATTTCGAAAACATGCAGGTTTCCTCACGATGTTTTCCTTCATCGCCGACATTGGTGGTGGCACCGGGGATCGAACTCAAGTTGCTCGAGGAAATTGAATTAAAGGCGAGCGCCCGGATACTGAGCTATCACATATAATAATATATGCCTGGAAAGGTCATAAAGCTTATAAACGCTGTAATGCACTTAGACGGCAATATAATGATTGATTGATTATAGATTTAGCAGCCGAAATTATTCCTATAAGGTTTAAATGTAACATCGATCAGAGATCTCTAATGACGTCTATATTACACTTGTATGGTTAAAATTGACAGTGTTTCGCACGCGTTTTGTTACGCCGCAGATGAGAAACTGTGCTTGCTATACATCTTTGCAGTTTTTATAGTGTAGTACAGCTCTGTATTGATCTGTTCATCTGCTAGAATTTCTGGTTACACGACCGACTCCTGGGGTTCCATTGCCGGCCGAAATTTGTTTGTGTTGTGCACTGAAAAATTTAAGTTGTGTAATATTTGTCACGAGTCATTAACACTGAGGGGAATTATTGACGGAAGTCAGTCTTAATGCCCTCGATTGTACAACATGGCGGCAATACATTCATCGTAAATACTTGCGTACTTTAGTCTTTTATCACTAAAATCCATTAATAGTGAAACCTTGATTAGTTATGGTGATGAATCTATGTTTAACATCATAGCATATTGCTTTATCTATTAAAATACATAATAATTTTATTCCAATTCGATGTATATATCGTTGTAGATTTTAAGACCCTCTGACTTTTTTTCTTTAGAAACTGTGAGCTTATAAAACTGTACATTATTACAGCAGTATTTAAAATACATAATTATATTCCTATTTTATCCCCAATACTGACACCAATAAAATCGTTAGTTGTAATTATAAGCGTTAATTTACCATGTTATAATTTACCATATGTTCCGCTAAACAAGAAACTGTGGAAGCATCTTACGGATAATTTGGTTAATAGCTTTGGAAAAATAACAAACCGTCTTCGGGATGAATGATGCGTGAATTCCGCCGACAGGAAATAATATCACATCTCGGACTATACCTTAAGCCGCCAACAGTAAAAAAGCAAACGATTTCCCATTTAATTAATCGATAATAAGAGGCAATCTTCCGAGACTTTGAAGGCGTAAAAAAAAAGCGCGAAAGTGAATCCGATTCGCGCGTGCAATCGCAGCTAAATTCTTAGAAACTCGATAAAAACTGTCCGAAAATCGATTTTGGTCTTAGGCTAACGCCGGCCGAGTCAGATTGGCTGATGTGTGCCACTTTTGTCCGCGAATATACTGCGTACCGTCTTCGTTAAAATCAATCTGTTAGGGTCAACCGCTAGGATTAGCGGCCGCAGACGTCGTGTATTGGGTGAAAGTATTGTATTCGAATCTACTGAACAAAGTACGTATCTTATATGTAGTTATTATCGTATATTGTAGGTTATCGAGATTGTGTATCCTAAAACTTATCTTTGTCGTAGCTTTCCTTATGAGGAATAAGATTTAGACGTATATAAATACATTTAATATAGTGGAAGACACTCACGATGTTATTCGGAGATCGCCACGGACGCGATCTGTATTTTGTAGAAAGTATTTGTATTTTATCCTTTGGTATTAATTATACATTCTCCTTTTCGGAGTAGGTTAAAATACATAGTACAGTGCACCGGAGCGTAGCGGAATAAACTACCGCGAGAAATTCGGGTACCACCACAGTGTGACGTCATCAAGCTCTATAATTGCCAACGCTACGCTCCGCTTTTCGGCTTTCGTTCAATATAATAACAGTTTCCTAACCATTTGCAATTCAACTCCAGCGATAATCAGTTTTCAATTGACACCTCAGTTAGTTTAACGTTATTGAGAATTTATTCTTGTTAACGTTTCAGTCCAGCAATATTCAGCTTTCAATCGACACCTCAGTTTACTGTTTTTGCAAATTTATTCTTGTTAACGTTTCGGAATACCGCCAATTAGTGTCCGTAAATCTTTCCCGTACATAACCTACGTATTTAAACAATTATAATAATGATCTGCATAATAAGACTTATAAGTATTTATACTATAAAATCTTAACATATAATCTTAAAATACTTACATTTAATATTTTAAATATCTTTTTCAATTTAAACCTACCTATCATTTACAGTACAAATTAAATGAATTCTATTAAGAACAAAAGATTAGGCGACTGTCACCGGGAAAAAATGAATAAAAAAAATTACAATATTTTGAAAAAAGAACCAAACGCACAATGTGACGATTTTCAATTGTTTATTAAATAAATAAACGGCGCCGTGCCGCCTGGATAAGGTTCATCAGGTAATACGTAAATTTAGATAGATTTTATCATATAAATAAAAGTTTTTTATAAGACCAACATTTTCAATAAATAAATAAATAAATAAAAAAAGAGCCGTGATAGCTCAGTGTCCGGGCGCTCGCCTTTAGTTCAATATACTTGAGCAACCTGAGTTCGATCCTCGGTGCCGGCACCAACGAAGTTTTTAACTTTAAGTGCTGACTTATCACGTGCTCCGCGGTGAAGGAAAACATCGTAAGGGAAACCTGCATATTTTCGACATAATAACAAAAATAAAATATATTTCGAAGATATGTGAAGTCCGCCAATACGCAGTGGGGCTCACCACGCGGCCTGATACCCTCTCTATAGAGGAGGCCTTTGCCCAGCAGTGGGACATGTATAGGCTGTTACTTTACTTTTTTTTACTTTAAATAAATAAATAAATACGTTGTAATAAGGATGCTTTTTGATAATGGAAACATAGACTTTATTAAATAAAACCAAAGCAACCAAAATATTAATATTTAACATTTTTTGTTTAATGCCTGTTCTAATTATAAACATTCTGTAATAAAATAAAATAAATATAAAACCAAAACTTAATTTTGGCTCTTAACTAGATTATTATACCTTTTTAAACTAATGGTTAATTTGATTGCAACATATATTTTTCTACTTTTATAAACTTTAAAGGAAATTTATTTATTTCTTAATTCACTTTTCGGTTTAGCACCTGCCATCTACTTCTCACCATGACAAGGGTTGACTGGTAGAGAATGCCATTAGGCATTAAGTTCCCCATTGTAGCCTTTAGCCTAAGGTGTATCAATGAAGTATAAATAAATAAATAAAATTATTGAAGAAAGAGTTTACTGTAATAATTTTCTCTACTCACCTCTTGCCCGCTTTTAGTTTGCAAATGAGTTACAAACGTCATGTGGTGTTCCTAAGTGTTTTTAATAAAACAGATATATTAAACATATTTTTAACATTATATCCACCGGTCCAATTTAAGTTTTATCATGAACTTAACATTTCACTTAACTCAACATTAACTTAACAGTTCACCCCATTCTTTAAACTTTATTAATTTTAAACGAAACCTGCGCTTTTCTATTATCGATCATTTTCTTATTTTATCTTACTTAAACTTACTTAACAACGATAACCGACATGTAATTATAACAATTACGCAACTGCAGACCGCGAGTCAATGTTAAAGATGAAAACGTCCTCTTATTTTATACTTTTTAACGGCTCGTCGCAACTAATATTTAGTTAATTAATAACCTAAATTTATTTAAGTAATGATTATGCAATTTTATGCTATTATCTTCACTCGCATTTAGAAAGCATTGCCCGTTTTGATTTTGAAATTCCCTTTCTTTTATTATCAACGCATCAATACTTCAGTCACTTCGAGCATTCTTCGAGCCATGGAAAACCAGCTATTACATAGGACGGTGATCTTGAGATTTATTCTAAATTATTGTTATCATAAACGGACAGTGAAAGTGCGCGTTATATTTGCGCTGATCATTTCATGAACGAATTACGAATGACGACAACGGCTACAAGTCTACTACTACTAGTTTTACTACTTCAATCATAATGGCATTGTTTGAATTACGAAGACAGCCTACAGATATGGAATTTCATTTAAAGCTATATAAAATTCCATATCTGTAAGTATTATTTATATAGCTATAAACTTCTCACGGTTCGGGATTCCTCGATAAGTTCGTCTTAAAATTATGACAGCAAATGAAAACCGGTACAGTATCCGAAGCAGTGTGGTCAGTTATTCTTTGCAATAAATTGGAAGTGTTCTACATCTTGCTAAACTGGTACCGGTTTACTATCTGATAATATAACAGATTACACAATAATTAAGATACACTACGCTTACTCTCTCTCAGGAGAATTGTTGTTCTTATAACACTTCTTCAGTTCGGGAATAATGTTATCCTAATCAAAGAATAATCTGATTCCGTTATCTCGACTCGATTGTGCGTAGAAAAATAATAGAAATCAAAGTACATTCGTGACATGGTCTTTATAACATTAATTTTAATATAAATAATATTATCGGCATAAAGTAAAACATCAGAGAATATATGTTGTTCACTGTAAACAAACATTCCATTTAAAAAATATTTAACACTCGGTAATATAAAAGTACTATAGTACTATAGTCTGTAATTTATATTAAATAAAAAATAAATTAAAATATAACTAATATTTCTTTTCCTTTATTACATTTATTCTTTATTTATGAATAAAGTTTAAAGAATATTAAAAGAAAAAGTTTCTTACCCCTTTGGCTGTAAGCGTCACTTACATCCAAAATGTGAGCCAGTGCTAAACAATATACAACACTGAATATAAAAACACAAGATCGATTTACCGCCATTTTGACACAACACAAAATACAATCATATCATTGTTTACAAAAATAACGAAATAGAGCTATCGAGGCATTTCAGTAATGTAGTACAGAGTTGCGGCCATCAATCGAGTCAAAATTTTGTGAAACTAAAATAACGTGCTATTTTTTTAAACGGTTTTCGCGGCAAAAACTTCGGCGCGAAACGTCCGACGCTAACGGTAGCCGAATTAGAAATGACAGGCAAAAAGGCGCGCGAGCGACGTGGTTGTCATTGCTCTGCTATGGGGATTCGGCTTTTTTCCGTGGCAAAGGCGTCTGTCAACCGCCCCCCCGTGGGGTATTGTAACGTTTGCCTGCGAAGGGGTTGGAAACATTTCGCGTTAACAGTATTAGCCTGCCCGTCAACATTTTTTTTCCAAGTACATTAAGTTGTTTTTGAAATAACGTGAAAGGACGCATTGTTATCAATCTATTGTCTTTTTAATTGTAATCAGTATAAGTGTAGGTTGACCAAAAGTCAATAAATTCACTAAGATGCAAAAATAATTGTAGACTATTACGACATGAAAGTAGATGGAAATTAGAGTATATTGTTGTATTTTCACGTGTTGCTAATTGCAAAACGATTTCACAATTTTTTTTTAATACACGTCTTATAGGTATATAAACAAATTTTACACAATCGCTTAAAATAAACAGATACCATACTTAACATAACTCAAGTTCAATCTTAAAGGTTTGCTAACATCCCTCTTGAAACATAAAAAAAATAATATTAGCAAAACGGCATGGCATGCGGCCATGGTTTATTTACGTCCGTTTTCTGTCGAAACTCTCGATTTACATAGACGCACAAAGCCGCGGAGCGTCGATAGAAATTGAAAGTGTTTACGGACGCAGAGGCTACTCTCGGTTTCAATCCGCTGGCAGTGTTGGCGACCTCTGCGCGAAGAGTGAAATGGAAACACGCGCGATGCCGGCCCACTAATGGCAGTCGCGTGGCGGCAGCCGACGGCGACGTAAGCGCTTTCGTAGCCTATCCAGCACTTCCAATTTGAACTAATCTACGCTCAATCAATGATGTTTAACAATCTAGACATATAAAAACGTCACGTTTAAAAATTGTTCCGCTTCGCATTATATGACATATATAAGTGAATGTGACAAATAATATAGAACATGTGATACGGAATGAGATAGCAGTATATGGAATTGGTGTAATTTGAGTGCCTCAGTTTCAGTACGTTAGTGTCATATGCCTCTTATATGTATATAGTATCATTGTTACCACCAAAATTTTGCACTAATACGCTCGTAACTAAATTATTTCTTCAGTGAAGTTCAATAAGTAAGGTTTTGTTAATAACTCTAATAAACATTTTTATCCGACGAGAACCACAGCTCATGAAAACTCCTGCTCCTTCGCTAGATAGTTCAAGTATTACTATATCGCATAAAGCCGGCGTGAATTTTTTTTTTTTTTGCATTTTTTCGGCGCTTGCCATCACTTATAGCCTCTTCGATAGTATATCTGTCTGTGTATTTTAACTTGCAAATTACCAACATCTTACGATGTGAAAACAATCAATTTATTCGTTGTTTTGCCATATAAATTATTTCTAGAGGAATCGGAACGCACGCATAAAGCGTTTGACAGGTTACACAGACATAGTTGACAGGTTGACAGTTTGTATGGGAGAATTAAATTGTCGCTATTTAGATTTCCCATGCAATATTTCCATAATTTCTCATCGTTTAAACCTTCCCTGGAGTACCACAAATATTTGAAAACCAAAGTTAGCAAAATCGATCCAGGCGTTCTCGAGTTTTAGCGAGACTAACGAACGGCTATCCATTTTTATATATAAGAGAAGAAGATTACTTACATGAGCAAGAACAAAGTTATAAAAATTTTTTAGTATTAGTTTATATTATTATCAATTAATATAAATATTATTAATAATAATTTAAGTACTAATTTAAGTTATACAATAATAATTTGAATTAATACTAAAATTTATATACATTTTTTCAGCGCAGACAATAGCTATTAAGCACTAGTTAATATGCTTTAAAAATGAACAGAATTTCAAATTTTATTTCAAATATTTAATTGGAAATATTAGGTACTTATGGTAGTGTTAATTTGGTGTAAAGGAAAACACACTAGACGACGCTAAACATTGCTTAAAAAACAAAGTATATTTAAAATACGTAGAGATTTTCGGCAGTGTAGAGCAGTGTAGTGAGCCGTGATAGCTCAGTGTCCGGGCGCTCGCCTTAATTCAATATACTCGAGCAACCTGAGTTCGATCCCCGGTGCCGGCACCAATGAAGTTTTTAACTTTTAAGTGTTGACTTATCACGTGCTCCGCGGTGAAGGAAAACATCGTGAGGAAACCTGCATATTTTCGAAATAATAACAAAAAAAATATTTTTCGAAGATATGTGAAGTCCGCCAACCCGCAGTGGGGCCGCGTGGTGGACTATGCCCTGATACCCTCTCTATAAAGGCCTTTGCCCAGCAGTGGGACATGTATAGGCTGTTACTTTACTTTCTTTACTTTTCGGCAGTGTAGAAGTCATTTAGCTCAGTGGCTAGAGCTACAAGTTTTTCAATTTTAGTTAACTTCATTAGTGCCGCCATAGGAAAATTAACTCGGATTGTTCAAGTATATTAAATTATATGTATAGTATATTGAATTAAATGCGAACGCCCGAACAATAACCTATCATTGCTTTAATCAGTTATTTTAGGTTCGACAGAGCCTAGAACACTATCAATGAAGTTTCTGGCTTATCAATGCTTTTAACTGTTAACTTCCTTATAAAATACTGGATTCGTCGGAGAAATTGAAACGTATGCATTGTATGTTCCCGTAATGAAAAATTTGTTAATAGTTTAAAATTAGGTTTTGGTGTAAATGAGGAGAATTAATATTCTTTAAAAAATTTAATAGAAAAAATATTTGGAATGGCACAAAACATGTTCAAACCACAGTAATTTACATCCGAATAACGCCTGCACAAAACTTAATGGACATTTCCCTTAACAGTACAGAATGTAATGGACACAAACTGATTCAAGTTTGATTTCAATGATGAAAGTGGAAGAAATGTGTTTAACATGACCTACTGCCTAAGACATAAGAGACGTAGCATGGTAGAGTTCTGGTAATAAAACAGTTTGCATGAAGTGACAATTTGCGCAGTAACTCAGTCTACGTAGCATGGTAGACAATGCGCAAAGCGGTAGATTACGTAGCGTGACACAGTAAATATAGTAACGACGTATCCAGTAGCGTTGAATATGATGTAGTAGACTGGTAGAGTTCGCTGGCGCAGAGGTGGCGTAGTCCGATTTGCTTCTGTCTTTTCACCTCTTCGTAGGCCGTGTCGAATGTAGCGCTTTCGTAGGTCATGCGGGGTTGGTGCTTTCGCTTCGCTCTTCCAATCTCTTCGTAGGCCGGCACGGTCGTAGCGCCTTCGTAGGCCGTACGGGTGTGGTGCTTTCGTTTCTCTCTTCCAATCTCTTCGTAGGCTGTGCCCGGCATAGCGCCTTCGTGGGCTATATGGGGGTGGTGCTTTCGTTTCTCTTTACCAGTCTCATCGTAGGCCGTATCGGGCGTAGCTATTTCGTAGGTCGTGCGAGTGTGGGCCCTAGCAGCGACGGCGGCGCCTACGGTTGCGGCGGCAGCGGCTACAGCGGCGGCGGCGGCGAGAGCGCGAGCGACGTCGACGGCTGCAGCGCCTGCGGCGGCGCCCGCTACGCCTGCGGCGGCTGCGTCTACGGCGACGCTACGGGGCAAACGCGCGAACCATTTTTACTGCGGTGGATTCGGCTGTTGCACGAACGGGCAGACTCGGCAGGGAAAGTACCACGGCCTCACAGAAGACAGGCGCGAAGTGAGAGTATGATAGTTTCGCGTTTCGTCCGGCGAGTGTGGTGACCAAGGCTTACTTTATTACAAGATGGGACCGAACCTAAAACAACATATCTGCAACCCTCAGCCAATTATTTCTAATAGGCACATTCTTTTCGGTTAGGGATTTTTTTTAGACTAAAAAGAGAAGAAACCAGGCTTGTTATTGATTTTGTCTTCATTGATAATATTTGTAACGGCTGAACTTTGAGTTCAAAAGCTATGCAACACTATATCGCCATCTTGTTAAATAAATACCCAGTTCAATGGCAAAAAGAGGACTATTATTATTATAATAGATGTTGATTTATCCATAGACGGTGGCTATAACTAAACATCAGGTGCTAGCACACCGCTAGCTCGGTTGCCACCTTGCTCAGAAAATGCAAAATGAATAAGGCACCACACCATCTGAAGCAAAAGCTACTCACGCGACCGCACGAGCGCCTCCTCCTGGCACGGCGGCATGCATCCGACTGCTCGCCGGAGCGAGGGCGGCTTTGGACGCCAGACTTGTCGCCGATCACGCGCCTTTTAGGAAGAACACCAAACCTCAAAAACTCTATGCGTCAGACACTAAATTTGATACGTGAACATACTCATCGCACAAAGGAAGGAAAGACATGAATAAACAAAAGTAGAATGCTCGCAATGGACGGCCTTATTATTAACTAGCTTGCTGCCCGCGACTACGTCTGCGTAGAATACGCTAAAGGCGTAACATTCAGACAGGAAGACAGATATACTTTTAATATGCATATAAATTATAGCCCACGTCTTATGTGTAAGCTATATTTTTGTAAAGTTTCATTAGAATCCATTCAGTGGTATTTACGTGAAAAAGTGACAAAAATCCATCCATACATACAAACTTTCGCATTTATAAAATTAGTAAGGATAATAAGGATAAGGATATCTTTTTTTTCAACGGTTTTATTTAGCTCGACCCGTACGGAATTTATCTGTTTATTTATTTGGATCAAAATTAGAAATTGAAATTTAAGCACCTTCCCGTTGTCAGATTGATCTGAAATTTGGTACACACATTTAATTTAGATGACAATACAATATTGTAGTTTTCAATGCACATAAAATAAAACCGTTTAACTTAAAAGTTTTTAAACGGTTTTATTATCCCCCGCCTTGCCACTTGAAGCTTCCAAGATACTGTTAAGTTTTTGAATCGGATTTGTCCAAAGATTTATTGACTACAGACACTTCGGCCCTTTTCAGTGCAGTATGGCGAGCATCAAGGCACGGTGTGAAGAAATATTTATTGCTGAAAGGAACTTACTCTCCCCCTGATATTAACATCCAATACAATATATATTGTAAGGACAATGTCTTATATGACTTCTACAAGTCATACTCCGTTACAAGCCAATTGGCTTCGGTGCCGCAGATCAAGTGTTCGATTCTCACACCGGATAAATGATTATGTTCTCCACATAATTTTTCCGGATATGTATTCCCGACAACATTTGACGTAAAGTCGTAAAAAAACAACATCATTCACATGATGTGCCAACCCCACCTAGGAATAATAAGGGTAAGAGAATGACTAATCGGAACATATATTAAGTGCAAAATAACATGTTTCAATACAATCTATTATAAATTACTCAATATTTATAAAAATCTTAGATTTATAATAAACCCACCTTCCCGATTTTTGCTCGTCTTCGACTATAGTATGTTCCCTGAATAATAAATAATTTATTTACATACACAATTTAACTTAAAACAGACTAAGAGACTGTAGGGTTTCCTCATTCTTTCTAGTGAGAACTACAATGTAAGAGAGACATAAGTTACTAGTACGAGTTTAACCATTGTAGATAACGCTTTAACTATTAGACCGTGTTATTCCATGCATTAATTGCGGAGCATATACATAATACTTCTGTTGTTACTTTTAAATTTTGTATTAGATGCAAAAAATTCACCATTACCAATTAGTCATTAAAAATACTTTTTATTACTAGATAAAAAAATTCCTTTTCGATTGATATTTTAGTTAGTTTCAGTTTTTAACACTCACCCAGAGATGGGCACTTTGTCCTTTTGTTCGTTATCAGCTTTCTTTTTATTCGAGATCTTATCGTGCGGCTCGTAACCAGCGTTTCGCCTCGCGGCTGCCGCTCTACGGCGCCTGCGGAAAATTATTAGCAATTACTCTAAACACTAAAAATGCCACCAAATTCCCACAAGCGCTGTATATTTGTTGTGTGAAAAGTAATTATATTTTTAATTATTATATACAATATATATCCATATGCTTATTTTTTTTTGTAAGCCCAACCAGAGAAAATAAAAATAATTAAAGTTTGATCATTATTAAGCCATTCTCAAATACAATACACAATAAGCAAAAGAGTATGATTATATGCGTGCGTGTAAGTAATGTGTTCTATGGTGATTTAATATATTTTTATGCATTATTAGTAAAAAACTTGCATTCTGCACTCCTCTATTTAAACTATAAGTGTGAGAAACTTCATACTCTTCCGTCCGTGCAATTTTCGTGCCGGCTTCGCAGGTGGGCAATGTAAATATCGAATTTCTCGGCTTTTCTCTACTATATAATATAATATGCATGTAGACTACATATAAACCTTCCGCTTGAATCACTGTCTATTGCGGAAAATCGCATTAAAATTCATTGCATAGTTTATAGCAAAGATGATCCCGTTTATTTATTTATTATATACAATGTTTATACATATGTAACTAGCGGACCCAACAGACGTTTTCCTGTACAGGCCACTTAAATCCGACAACTTAAATAACAACAAAAAATAAATGACAACTTAAATAAAAAGATATAAAAATAAGGATGTTTCTTTTAAACCCCCCCCCCCCACCCCCCCCCCCCCCCCCCCCCCCGAGCACCCCTCTAAGAATAATATCAACAATAAGTCTCACTTCTGCTGTAGGTTCACGTAGGTCTTCAGGCGCTCGGTGTAGCGGGGCGCGTCAGTCTCGCTGCGCTTCCTCATGAACACCACCAAGTCATCGTTCAGCCTCTTCTCGTCCTTGGACTCGGGGCCGCCGCTGCTGCTGCCCGTCATCGCCTGCACACAGTGGGGAAATCCCGTGGGCCGCGAGCAAAGTCAAAGTCAGCGTCAAAATCTCTTAATTCTCTACATGCTCATTTTAAGCCCTCGTTGAACGTCAAAACTAGTGCTGCTGCACTACTGCTCCACTAAACCAGACCTGTCCAAAGAAGTACCGAAAAACTCTGCGGTTTTTGTTATATTTTGAATTATATACTTTTATGTTTAATAATACAGATGGCGAATTTCCATACCGCGTGGCGATCAAAAACTGTTCCGCTCTACGTTATAACATATATAAGTAAATGTGACAGATATGTAGCACGTTGCTATGTAATTACACCAATTGGCGCAATTTGATTGCCTCAGTTTCGGTGCACTAGTGTCATATCTACCTCGTATTTGTATATGATACCATTGATTATTTAAGACATTTTATGTTCTTCACTGTTTACATAAATGTTGAAAAAAATTCTCCTCGAGAACCGTCAACAAAACAAGCGGTAGAATGTAGTGTCAGGCAAACCTTTATCGCATTCACCAATTTCTAATTCGACAAATTCGTGATACGAGTGTTAAACGGTAAAGAAAGAGAGACCATTTTGGAATACTTTGATTATGACCACTGAAGATTCGGATGCCGCAGTTGCTAAGCGATAGACTTTGGCTGTGGGTCGGGGGCTCGATTCTCACCCGGTATATGCATTCGCTACAGGTATTAGCATGACTTACAGACGATAAAAGGACTGTTGGTTGTTGGTAATTGAAAAAATAAATAAATGACAATTAGTTTAAGCCTTGGTAAAGGTGTTATGAATGTACACGGTTCACACAATACAAACTTATTTGTAGTATTTATAAATGTCAACCCTGACAAATTGAGAATGGTTCCGAAATATTTTTTTTTCCTTGCCACTAACTAGACACCACTAACTAGATAAACTAATAACTAGCTAAATCTCAATCTTAGTGGCCTGTACGAGTATTTTCGGAATAGACAAAAATGTTGGCAATAAATAATATATAAAGGATGTCAAACATGTTATGTAATTTAGCATTATATTTGGTATAAACTAAAATAACGAAAATTATTCTTAGAACCATAGTAGAAGACCATAAGAAACTTACTCGAAAAATTTTAACAATATAGCATTTAGGATTTTACAAAATGTACATTTTACAAATATAAATACTTACCGAAAATTATATGCCGTTAGACGGCATAAACATAAAAAGTATTCGAAAAATTTTGGTAAAACTGCATATATATCACAAAAAAATACACGACATAATGAAAAATGCGTCGTTTCTAAAAAGCATTTCTTCTTTCTTCAAATTTCTTAAGAGTTTTTAAAAGAACTTTACATCAGCCAGTACAAATACGTACGACCTCCTTATTCAAAATTATATTTTTTTTCATGTTTTGCATTGTTTTATTTAGTTTTAATACTTTTTAACTCGCAATTATTATTTACAAATTGTTACTAGTTATTATTTATTTGAATATTATTATATTTACCAACCAGTATAGATTTATTATTATAAATCACACATAGATTTGCGATTTATTGAATGCCTCACGTTCGGTAATTTTTTTAAACGATTTTTAATTTTATCCGTTTTTTAATGTCTTTATCTTTTTAACTGGACCGCATTTTTAACTATACATGAGCCTTTTTTTTACAAAATCAATAATTAAGAAATGTTTTCACTGTAAAATAGCTTTAGCTGCGATTTGCAGATCTAACTCTGTTGAGAGGATATGTAAACGAATAAATTTATTAATTAAAAAAAAAAGTATTTTAATATGTGCACGTATAATAAGTTATTTGATCGTCTTGCAAGAAAAACTCAATAAAAAAGATTTTCGAACATTTCACCGAAACGCGTAAACGAGACAGTAACAGAAAACGTTCATTTATTTCCATTTAAAACAAAATATGGGTTAATGGGATCTCGGTTCGGAAGCGTTAAGAAAGTAGGTATTAATAATATTAAAGGCGGTCGCCATGAGTGCTCTATTGATGGGGTGTTTAGGTGGGTTTTCGCGTGGCGGTGTAGTGAGGAAATTGAGAAAGTTAAAAATACATCCTCCGGTTCGGTCCGCAGTTTCCGCGGCGGGCCAGTCCGCGGCCGCCCGCCGTCCGCGACGCGTACACGCAGTTGGGCGGACAGCAGTGGTCACCATTAAAACGTGTATTAAAACACCGCCAAACGCAACGTACCGGCCACACGCTGTGACGACCACAGTCAAGTGACGGTGTCAAGTCGATCGGTGGAAATTGCCAAATGAAAGCGAACCCTAAAGTTCACCGGAGGAATTCAAAACAGTGTAACAGTGGATCCAGCGTTATTTTCGTGCCATTCATATGGGATTCCTCGTGAAATCAAACCGGGCGATAGGCGCACCTGAAACTTGAGCGGCGTAAGCGTTTGCTAAGGCGCGAATTCCACAAAAGAAAATGTGTACAGTATGCATTCCATGATGTTATATGCCGTCGACGCTTCGGTGGACTGTTCACGTGCGTTTATTTTCATTTATAAATAGCGCAGACACTAACCGACAGACTGCGGTTACGGGATGACGTCACAGCGGGAAAACAGTGACGTCGTCGACACGGGGGACGAGAAACCCACCAAGCAGGAACGCAAGCAGTCGAAGGACTTATCAGATTTACCGCCAAGTGGCACCTCCCTACATAAAAGGCGAAGGGGAGAGGCGCCCGCGTCTTTGTCAGTGAAATCACCGCACACCCCATCTGAAACAGATGGCTCCTCTCCCTGCACTGGTGCACCAACCTTGGAAGAGTACTGGAGCTTGAACGATGGCCCACCGGACCCCGAAGCTCTATGCGAAAGCATGTTACAAAGACTCAAATATCGCGACGACCCGCTCTCCAGACGAGGGAAGGAGCTCGCCTCCCGTACCAAGGATACCTTGGAAGCCTTGGATCAGCTCGAAAAGCTCCTAGAACTGCTTGATCAATTCGTCACACTGAAAGAACATAATGCGCGTCTTCTAAAAAGGCTACGAGATGTCGATCATTTGAAAAAGTTACACGAGGCGCATAAGAGAATAGACAGAGAGTCGGAGAGGTTGAAAGAGGAGAGCAGAGAGCTGGAACTGATAAACGAAGCGCTGGACGCTGAATTGGAGTGCGAGTACGGCCAGGCGATATTCGACTCTATGATGGCCGGCGGAAGGAGCATGAAGAGAACAGGTTCGAAATGGAAAAGTCACAGTCGCTTCGGAAGCTCGTTGCTTAGAAAGCAGAGGTCCAGGTCGGCTGGTGGTGAAGAGAGTGATGCATCGCCCGCCACCCCAATAAGGAGACGTTCCGATTTGGTTTTTTCGAAAGAAGTTGAGAAATCCAAGGTGTCCAAATGGACAAGAGTGAAAGCTGCATTTAGGTTTGTGCTTTTTATGCTTTTAATATTATCGTGTGTTTAAACTTTACTAAATTATTTGTTGCATTGAAAAGAGATTAGAGTAATTACAGATAGTAAAGTTAAATTAATGTAGATATATAATATAAAACTGTAAAACTGACGTAGTGTTTAAGATAAGAAGAATCAACTTTTTATCCAAATTTTGTTCGCACACAAAGATTTCTTCAATGAATAACGAGATTTCCGAAATTATGTAATTTGGGCGACAGCGTAGGCAGGTACTTGCCAGTGATGATAAAATTATTACAGAATTTATAGCTCAGCTATTTTTCTACGAGATGAAAAATAATCCATACAATAATATAGCCTGTAAGCTAATTTAGTACTCCTTCTTTCGTTTACAACTTCAGTGATTATTTATTTGTCAACCACCATCCTTAAGAGCCCCCACATTTTCTTTTTGTTTTTTTTCTACTCCATCTTACATAAATTCTTTATTTTTAAAATCTTTGTACTGTTGATAGTGGTTCTGGTCAGGTTTCATGAACTCACCTTTTTAGGGTTCCATACCCAAAGGCTAAAACGGGCTTTAGTAAACGGGATCTGTCTGTCTGTCACTAGACTATAACTCATGAACCGTGATAGTTAGACAGTTGAATTTTTCACAGATGATGTATTTTTGTTGTCAAGTTATAACAAACAGCATTTTCATTTATATAATATGAACAACTAGCGATCCGCCCCGGCTTCGCATGAGTGCATTGTATTATACATATAAACCTACCTCTTGAGTCACTCTATCTAGTAAAAAGTTTAGTTTTAAAGATCTAAGCATACATAGGCGGGACGACTTTGATTTTATACTATGTAGTGATGTAGACCTGGATTCATAGATGAATATATTTTATAATAATCATCGAAACAGAGCTAGGTTTATCGACAAATGTTACATCAAAATGGAATCTGAATGAAATTAATGTACTGTACTGAAACTAGTGATCTGATCTTAAGTTTCCGAAGGATACGAATACAGGGATTGATTCTTTCTTAGGTATTGTTACGAAGTGGTCCGTAAGATATACTTTGGTCTCCGTATACCAATGGTATCATAGTGGAGAATTTTACTTAACCTTGAATCCGCCTTTAGACAGGGTACCTTTAGACAAAATTCTCTTTACCTGAACTGTTCAGACATGTGAAATGTTACAAAGGTACAGTTTAGGTATCCGTTAAAGCGAATATTGTTAAATTTGATGCTGACGAGGAGTCTGACGGGTGATATTTCGCACGCCTGCGCGGCCTACTGAACTCCTTCGCCTGATAAACAAACTACAACGTGTTCATCTTGTTTCGGCGTCCAGAAGCAAAACGAGCCGCCTAGATTCACCTTAGTCTTGCTTGTTTACGAAACGTCTGAGCCAAATAGCACAATTGAACGGTCTTCGTCGGAAGTCGACCGACTTAAATTACCGAAGTCTAGTCAAATAGTCTTAAATGATAGAGATCAAGTTAACTTGCCATCGTTTTATCATCCCCTGCGACGGTCTTAAGAGATATTCACATTAACACAAGAGCGAACAATATAAATTTGAATTTGAGACTTGAATTAAAAAAAATTAAATTATTAGCAGAACAAAGAAAGTTAATTTCGGGTTTAGAATATTATATATTATATAATATAATAGAACAGTAACGTTGACTTGCTTTTTTTTATTTTTATTTTCTGTTCTTGCTTTTGTAATACTTTACTTTTTTTACATAATTTGTGTTACGTTATTTTCTCTTAGATTAGTCAAATACGATTATAGCATGAGTACGACAAATACTCTGATTGATTACGAGATCACGTGCCACTTATTGCCATTAAAATGTGTTTATTTAACTCTGTATACATGTAATTTTGTTCGTTATCCAAAATAAATAAATAAATAACAAACAATTAGAATCAAAATATAAACAAAAAAAATCACTTTTCAACAGACATACCACAATCTGTTAAAACAGCTATTAATTGTACTTTTGTTGTATTTTGACCATAAGTCTGAATTTCTGATTCTGATACTGGTGGAATGTAATGATATTACATATTTGTGCGTCTGTGTTCAACAGTTACAGCCTATTATTAATGTTATAGAGTTCCACTGCGCGTTTTTAAACTTAATGATCCCTCTTGATTTTTTTCTGCGTAAAGAAATCAATGACGTTTTTTATATTCCCATCCTCTAGTCTAGCGAAACCGCTCTCTTTGATATCAGCAAATCCTTTGAAATGTATCCAACGTGCAAACTTCATATGAAAATAATGCTGTCATCTGCGTTGATTTGTAACCCCTACTAATGAAATGAAGTCTCATCACTCAAAATTATTTCCAAGTACGTATTTATCTTTATTTCGTATATTCAAAAGTGAAATACTGCAATTCTAGCGATGATATCAGACCGATATTTGACCGCCACTCAGCAGTTTCTGCTCTTACACAAATAGAAACATTTTTTAAGGTTTGACAACAAATCTATAACACTGGTGTCTATGAACGGCCGTTTATAAATTAGATGCATCGCCTAAACACTAACAACTACCAGATGTAAAAAATAGAACCTTAAAAAGAGGAATACATTCGGGAAACGCATGATATTGTTCAACCAAAACATTCCCTTTTTGCAGTGAGCAGTGATGAACAAGAAAATGTTATATAAATTCTTTCTAAACCAAAATAAAGTATTACTCATTAGTTTTATGTTAGTCTTACTTTTAAAGGTATACAGATTAAAAGGTGATATTTGCTCCTTTATTTTTATTAAGTTTTCATTGTTTTTTCTCTTTTGATATACCTTAGATTAATGTAAGATGGCAGGCGAGCTGGCAGTTCAACTGATGTTAAGTGAAAACGGCTGCCTTTGGACGTTTGCAACACCCGTAGAGTTGCCACCTTTTACTAAAGTGGGCCACGGTTACCTCACTCACCAGACGAAACGCAGAAGTATAACTTCCACTTCACGCCGGTCTTCTGTGAGCTCATGGTACTTCCCCGTACGTACCTGCCTCAACATGCAACAGCGTAGACTGTTGCATCGCTCTACCACAGTTAAAACAATGCAAACAAGCAAACATGTCAAAAGACATCAGCAGATACATTTTAGTTCTGGAGTTATGTCCGCGACTTCTTATCAGTATCCCAATCCAACTCATCTAAAATTCGATAAAAGCTCTCTTAAATCACTTTTGGGAGTGTCGATTAGAGGAAGGAATCCCACGGCTAGGTCTAGATAAGATGTTTAATCTTCTGTAGAAAAGGTATCCGGAAATTGCCGGAAATTAACTTAAGTCGAGAAATTTAATATTATTTTTAGGGTTCCGTACCAAAAGGGTAAAACGGGAACCTATTACAAGTCCCCGCCGTCTGTCTGTCTGTCTGTAACCAGGCTGTATCTCATCGACCGTGATAGTTAGACAGTTGAAAATTTCATATATGATGTAATATGTCAGTTGTCCTTATAACAACAAATACTAAAAAAAATATTAAAAAATATTAAGGGCTCCCATACAACAGATTTCTTCGCCGTTTTTAGGGTTAGAAGGTAAAACAGGAACCCTTATAAGATCATTTGGGTCGAAAACCTATGTGGTAGTCCCGTTGACCCAGAATCCCGACTAAAGGAAAGACACAAATAAAGGAAAAATTCGGAAAAATAAAAAAGGCAGGACCTTGATTTTTATACCCCTAATAGGGACTATAGAACTCAATATCTGGTATAAATTTCAACTTGCTAGGTCCACCCGTTCCTGAGAGAATCGGTGGTGATTATTTACCAATTTTATTATGGCTGTATAATGGGTGAGTACGGAACCCTCAGCGTACGTGTTCGACTCGCACTTGACTGGTTTTTTTAAAGATAACTGTATGGAACCCGTCGTGCGCGAGTCCGAACCTCACTGTAACATTTTCGGGCAGTTTGGTGATGCCACAACGTAAGCAAAATTGTCTCTCAGTTAACCGCCGTTAAAACTTATCGCGCTATGTTCGCTCCAAGTTTTTATTAATCGGTGCATAAATAAACTTCCGTTTCATTACTAAGTGTAAAATAAGGGGCGATTCTATTTTCCCACTCGCATAAACCATCGCGCGTAGTTTTGTCTCGCGCCTAAAATTTATGACACAATCATGTGGAAGCTAGGTACGTTTTGAATTGCGTATATTCGCATCGAGAACCTCACGGTCGAATGTCTCTTTTCGTTCTTACGGTTCACGTAATGAACATTATTTCTTTAATCAGTTCAATTTTAATATTACTAGTAATTTTTTTTTCAGGCATTGTAACAAAGATAGATCAACACGAAATATCTATAGCCAAATAACAGAATAGCTTACTGTATGTCTAAGTTTACATGAAAAGATAAGAATAATAATATTACAGAGAATGCGAAAGTACGTCTGTGTACGTGTGTGTTCAATTATCCCGCCAGAGAAGCTTTATGACTTTAAACGTTGGTACGATGACACCTTTTAAGCTCGATATAATATATAAGATACTCGGACAATACTTAATATAATTTTTTACGACTTGTTTGGCGATAAATCTTCACTTAATTGACTTACATGGCAATGAGAATGGAAAATTTCTCTCTGGCCCTCTGGATGTCAAGTATGGATGTGTTTTTTAAAATCATTCAGTGATAATAGGTACATACGAGACTATTACTCGGTATTTTTTTTGTGTATGTGGAAGGTGGCAAATGAGCTGGCGGTTCACCTGATGTTATGTGATGTGATGACACAGCCCATGGTCATTTGCAACACCCGTCGGGATGCAGATGCGTTGCAACCTTTTAAAAAAGTGGGCCCCGGCTACCTCCCTTTTAACGGTGGTAGGGCCACGCAGCAGCCTCGGCTGTTGCACGAATGGGCAGGCCCGTCCGGGTAAGTACCACGACCTGAGAGAAGACCAGCGTAAAGTGGAAGTATGACAAATACTTTCGCGTTTCGTCTGGTGAGTGAGGTAGCCGGAGCCCAATTTTCAGAAGGTTGTCAACGCATCTGTAACCCTCGGGTGTAGCAGATGTCCATGGGCGGCGGTATTCACTCATGATCAGGTGAACCGTCTGCTCGTTTGGCAACTTTTCACAAAAATACCTCACTCTCCAGACGAAACGCAGACGTATGACGCCACCACTTCACGCCGGTCTTTTGTGAGGTCGTGGTACTTAGCCGGACGGACCTGCCCATTCGTGCAACAGCGGACACTGTTTCGTGGCCGTAGATGCCAACACGGGATACATACATAAAAACGAGCCAACATTTTTTTGTCAGGAATTAATATCGAAATAAATCGGAACAGTTTTCATTCCAACATATTTTGCTACAATCGATTTAAGAAAACGAATAATATATAAACACACGTGTTACAGTTAAAATCAGTCATAGATACGTAGTCCACGCATCCTATAGAACTTGAATATATTCCTACGACTATAAATTAAAAGTAGAGCTAAAACATATTCTCCGACCGTCCCGAAAACGTTCAAAAGTCCAGTTACGCGTCTAATTGGTGGATTTATCTATTAACATGCGAAAAGTCGGTATAGAGGGCACGCGATGTATTTGTCAAAATGCCAAGATTCGATGTTGTACCACGGGCGACTAATATACCGGCAAATTTTACGAATTTCTACCGGTTACGTTTCCACTACGACGCGGCTCGTCGTCAGCTCGCCCGTTTTATGTGTAATTAATTATTTTCGCGGACGAGTGGTGTTAAAAACGTAAACATGACATATCGCATGTCTGTCCCGTCATCCAGAGGGAAAGGTTTTTTTTATGTGAGAAGTTGGCATATGCTCTGGCGTTTCCCTGACGTCAAGTGATATCCGCCGTTCATGGGCATTCGCAACACCCGTGGGTTTCAAATACGTTGCCACCTCTTAGTAAAGTGGGACCCGGCCACCTCACTCACCAAACGAAACGCAGAGGTATGACAGTACCACTTCACGCCGGTCTTCTGTGAGGTCGCGGTACTTCCCCAACACATCACCGAAGCGATAAGGCCGCCAAATTGTCCATTCTATTAATTTATTTGTCTATTGTTAATTTTGTGTATCCTTTTATGTGTGGTGGACAATAAAGTATTCATTCATTCATTCACCAACATCGTGGATACGAGTGACGTGGGCGACGTCTGTTATCGCGCATCCATACAAGTTGAAGCTTCTACGCCTAAACAGGCTGGCCAGAACAGATGTTCTGTGCGTTTGAAGTGTTTCCCCCGACAAGCCCGTTTGTAAGTAGACAAGTTAGAGTAGCGAACCCACGTTCATTATAGGCTTTTAGATACAGTAAGCACGTTCTGCGTCGATCGTAATTAAATTCATAATCGTAAAACTGACCGTAGCTACAATGAAAATGAGATAATAACGTAGGAAGTCTAACGCCAGAAAAATTATACGTTCCTAAATGTAAACTAAATATAAATAAATAGAATGCTTCCTTTTTGGCTAAAATTTTGTATAGTAAATTACCATTAGAAATTAAACAATTGCCCCCTTACTTCTGGCTTTGGCTCCTAGAAAGGCTTGCAATATAATATTAATGACTATTTGTTATATGTATAATACTGACATTAAATAATTTTAAATCATATCCGAATAATAATTTTAATGCTATAATGGAAATATTTGATTATATAATTTATTATGTCATGTCAGAAGTCAGCTCAATATGTTGCACCAAGTTATGTTAATTAGGATCACAATGTACTACCATATTCTTGCAATAAAGACATTCATTCATTCATATCTAGTGTCACCTCTACCTCGTATTTGTATATAATTGTTTGTTTTAGATGGGAGAAAGCTCAGTGGCCACCCTCAACTTATGGTGGTGCTGCTGCGGTGGCTGCCGGTGCCATGGTCGGTGCCGTGGCGTTAGCTGGGTCCTCCCCATCCTCTGGCATGCTGGCCCACCCCGAGCCAAGGGACTCTGCCAGTCTTACCCCAGGAAGCGCCCTTTCTCTTACCCCGAACTCTTCATGCGAAGAGCTCAGAATGGAAGCAGGTTGGCGGTTATTTAGTTATTTGTATATTTAATTCAAGTACAGCCACATCATATATAATAAACATTTACAAAGCTCATCAGATTAATAGTACATGTCACTGATATATACGAAAACGACGGTTTAGATAGACTGACCACACATAAATTTACACAATATCTGCTTAGTAAAATTAGTTATCATTATGGAATTTTCTGAGAAGCTCTTTAATTCCAGCCAGACCGCAATGAAATACGTTAAGATCAGCTATCAGTTTAACTGAATTGTTGCATTCTCTAGTTAGTCTAATATGAGGAGATTGCAGGCCGTTCCCGTATCTACACGTGGAACATAGAAGAAGAGAGTTTGGAGGAAATTACTACATACAAAACACATATTAATCACTATACGTCTTCTGCCATGAAAATCTTTGCGGGACTCAGCCCAAGCGGCTTGGTAAAAGCTCTCACAGGATCAAAATCACGGGCTGGTTCTGGTCTACCGAACCGCGGGAGAAAGATGACGATATCGATTCTTGCTTCGCACAAATTCGCTTTATTATCGGTAATTGATTAATATTTTTGAGTAATTAAACAGATTGAGGTAAGGTATAAAGATGGTGAGAACAGCTGTCGAACTACCTACCTCTTATAGCAGTACTACAATACTAATAAAGTATTTCTTCTTCTTCTTCTTCAGCGTGTGTTCGCCCACCGTTGGGCATACGCCTCTATTGGTGATATAAAGTATTTATTTATAAAGTATTTATATCACCAATACTCGCTTTGAGAAAGAAGCGTTCTGTTATACGGTTTTCGGATTTTGGGTTTTTTTTAAAAAGTTTATTTCCAAAAATACATACTTCTCATTAAAAACACTCTTAAAATATAATGGATCAGAATGGAATTAGAATGTCGGGCAAGTGTTACCGCTTCGAATACTCGTGACGACCTAACTCTTCAATGCAGGTGGCATCTAGTGCCTACGAATATGCTGACGAGGGATGGATTAGGTAGCGGGCTTGGTAAAGTGTATTATATACAGAGAGTATGCACAACAGTTCGCGATGAGATGCGTATAAAAAACTCAAAAATCCCAACTGCAAAGGAACTTCGCCTGGCAACAACGACACACTGAATCACCGATCGATCTGAAACGTCGAGGCGCACGTTAAAATTGGATCAAAGTGGACTCAGGCCGTCGATTAGACGATAACAATGGCCGTAATGAAGCAATCAGACGTCCGTAACACGGGCCGATAGAGAGAAGCGAAAAAAACTCGTTTGTTTATTCCCCGCGCGGATGAACGACCCAGCGATCTTGCCTCGACCGAATCGCCTGTCTAAAGTTCGCAATATCGATGACCCCGTCTTATTTGCTCCGATCGGAAAACTTCGAATATAACTCTGCGTACGAAACTCTCTGTAAACAAACTACGGGTAATTATACAAAGACTCTATAGCACAAAGCATTTAGAGGTGTCGATTACCACTTGACTGTAGTTATGTTAATTTCTTGCATATGTTTACTTTTTTTTTTTAAAGTTTATTTAACTTTTTTTGCTTACAGTCCATATACTATTAAAGCTTCATCGAACGCAGAACTCGTGGACTAGATAGGACCCACGATCCTAAAATAAAATATATGTATGTATGCAAACTGTTATAGATATTAAACTAGATATTAAATTAGGGTCGTTTTTTCGTTTTTCGATATACAGCGTGATGTTACAACAGCGACATTAAATAAACACAAATTTCTAACGTTACTTGCCAATAATCATAAAAAAATATAAACGTTAAAAAAATCAATAATAAAAAAAAATATTATTTTTTTAAAAAAATTTAAATAAAAAAGAAACAGAATTTGTCACAAATGATTAATTCATTCATAATATTAACGTTATCAACTCAAAACGACAACGTCGCAGTCGCATAGTGCCCTTAACAAACAAACCTTACAACATGATTGTTTCTTTCTAACAGCGTGTTTCGTCTCCATTTAAATTCATTCACCCATTCATTTCAATTTCACGCTACAGTTTTATACTCACATGGTTGACATTATAAAATTGTTTGTTTTAAAAATGTTAATAAATTGGTAAATATTAATTTTTAATAAAAATAACTTATTATGTGAAACTCAATATGCGTGTTAACTTTTTGTCGCGGTAGTAAAGCCACGTTGTATGAAAAAATTATGATTACTAACGGTGGTAGGGCCACGCAGCAGCCTCGGCTATTGCACGAATGGGGAGGCCCGTCCCGGTAAGTACCACGACCTCACAGAAGATCGGCGTAAAGTGGAAGTATGACAAATACTTTCGCGTTTCGTCTGGTGAGTGAGGTAGCCGGAGCCCAATTTTCAAAAGGTTGTCAACGCATCTGTAACCCTCGGGTGTAACAGATGTTCATGGGCGGCGGTATTCACTTAACATCAGGTGAACCGTCTGCTCGTTTGACAACTTTACACCATATGATGACCACAAACATTTTGCAAAATTGGAATTGCAAGCTGTGCTTATTAATTTATGCTATGAAATATACAAAATTAGTTTTTTAAAACGGTTTTATTTCTTTCAGGAAACAGTAGAAAGAGCGTCGCCCTGCGCGCAGACGAACAAGATAACGCCTTTCTACAAGCACCGATGCAGGTCGGTCCAAGTTTTTATTCTGTTTATGCTGTAATTGGTTTTCCCAAGGAGGGTTCTCGTCAGGCATGCTGCCGGTCGTAAAAAACCAGCCAAGTGCGAGTCGGACTCGCGCATGAAGGGTTCCGTACCATTATAAAAACATAAATAACGCAATAAAAACCATATTTATTGTATGGAAGCCCCGTTAAATATTTTTATTCTGTTTTTTAGTATTTGTTGTTAGAGCGTCAACAGAAATACATCATTTGTGACAATTTGAACGGTCTAACTATCAAAGTTCATGAGATACAGCGTGATGACAGACGGACAGACAGACGAACAGATAGACAGCGGAGTCTTAGTAATAGGGTCCCGTTTTACCGTTTGGGTACGGAACCCTAAAAACATAGCCAAAACCGCTTAAAACATGATTCAGTTTTTGTGCCGACCCCACCTAGCCTTACCGATGGGGTAAGGTCGGGACGATCATGATGATGTTATAGTTGGTGCAAAACATAGTACATTATGTCCTGTCGTTCATCTGGACAACTCTAGTCATCGCTAAGGAATATTTACTTTAGGCGGAAGTTAGCCGTGATTCGAACTGAGGATATGACTGCCTGTTTCTGTCATGGCTGTTTTCAACCGAATTCATAAAGGAGGAGGTTAAGGCCGTACTTACGCTTAGCTCCCATGTAGTTCTATATTAATTTCATCAGTATTGTGAACCTTTGGACGGGAGATACATCAGGGAACTCTATATAATCAAAAAATAAATGCATATTGAGTGAGATATGAACAGTTGGTTTGTAACAAAAATGTTCTTATTTATATTCCCTCATCTCAAAAACAAACTGTATCAGCACAGCAAATGTGATCAGAGTGAGGTCTAGATATCTAAACAGTGGAATATCTCCTGAGCCTCGTCGATTACTTCTCATGCTGCATCCATGGCAGGACGACAGCTCCGCTTCCCCGTCCCCGAACAAGCTGCACAAGAGCCCGTGGGGGAAGATGCGCGACATAATCCAAACGCACCGGGAATCCGTGAAGAAGAAGTCGAGGGGCCCAAAGCCTTCGGACGTGGTTCCTGGACGTCGCAGATCGCTCAGCGACGGCGGCGACAGCGACGCGCCCCCCGCGCTCACCATCACCATCCCGTCTTCGGAGGAGCTCGGTGAATATTCGACTTGGCGAAGCGTTAATCGCACTTGTTAATTAACTAGCGACCCGCCCCGGCTTCGCGCGGGTGAATTGTATTATATATATATAAACCTTCCTCATGGATCACTCTATCTAACTCAAACCGCATCAAGATCCGTTGTGTAGTCTTAAAGATACATAGGGACAGACAGACAGTAGGACGACTTTGTTTTATACTATGTAGTGATAATAGCATTAAAGTATATTATATTCCGCCAAAAGCACAAAAACTTTACCTTTAATAACCCGTGTTAGTGACAAGTGAACTACGAGATGTTTGTCTTAGTCTCGCGATGTTTCTACTTTAAATCCTAAGGACTGTGTGGATCTTTAAGACTGAAGATAGTAAGATGTCTACAGTCAAGCTGCAGGTTGTAGCTACCATTTTTTCTGATGGAATGTCTCCCGCTTGTCTACTATGCAACTTGACAGGTGGTGATGCTATCTTTGGTGGTAAACGCACAGTAAAAGTGTTATTTTACTAGCTACTAAGTAAGTACCCCATTTATGATAAAGATGATAATGTTTCAGCCTATATATTCTCAGATGGCTCACAACTTACGGCTCTGAAAATATTTTTAGAAAGCTAAATATATCTCAGCAAATCATTATTTAGCACTTTTGCTATACCGATTATGAACCAAGAAACAAACTGAATTGATTCAAGTGTATGACTGTTATCTTTGAAAAACTTGATTAATAAAATTACTTCAATACTTGGCTATAATTTACTTTGATCTCACAGATATATGTAATAAAAATGATCGCTATTACTTGATGTATACATAAAAAAAATTATAAACCAAAAAAGTACTTGAAAAAATATAAGCTTTTATCGCGCTTAGATTCATCTTCATTTTTTTTAATTCACGATAATATAAGATAGAAAAGATAAAATAAAAGACACCATGTTGGTTATAAATGTAAGCAATTAATTTAAAACTTAACGGTACAACAACATGAGTACAACAAAATTAGCGTAAACTGCACGCTAGTTACGTTAAATTAAATTTACCCAGGAATAATGTATGGGAATGCAACAGTTAGAAGACCTAAGACGAAGGAATGTACGAGCGTATTATAAGAAATCCCCTTGCTGAGCACGCACGTACTGTGTTAGAACCACGCAACAGTCTTCACAGTTGCGCAAATGTGCAGGTCCATCCAAGTACCGCGACCTCACAGAAGACCGGCGAGAAGTTGAAGAGTTTATACTTCTGCGTTTCGTCTGGTGCATGAGATAACCGGGGCCAAGTTTATTAAAAGCTGCCTACTCATCTGCAGTCCTTCGGGTGTTGCAAATGTCCACGGTGGCTATCACTTAACATGAGGTGAACCACCACCTCGTTTGCCAACTTCCCACATAAAAAAAAACCACCTGTGTATTAAGGGAGTCGATGCACGTGCAGTATTTGCGATACGACCAGTATTTCCAACAGAGTCCGAACCCTCCCACCCCGCGCTACGCAAGCAGCGATCGCTGGAGCTGGGCGCTAGGCCTCCGCAGCACCGACCCCCCAGGGCCTCCAAATGGACCAAGGTCAAGAGGGCTTTCCTCACGTCCGCGTCAGCCTCCGTACCGTCCAGTCCTAGCCGCCATTCAGCGTTCTTCACTGACGCAGGTAAGTGACCGTTTCTCTTAATCTCGGCAGCTCTTATCTTTAACTGGCGAATTCAATGTCCTCATTGATTTATGTTCAATTTTAGGTAATTTGATTTGATAGGTAAGCAAGTAATTTTACTACGATCAATACATTAAAATTTGTTTTGAACAAAAAATCTTACGATAATTAACGATCTTTGGCGTAACATCACGTTGCATGTATCACGTTTTTTACGAATAAAGTGTTCTTAAAGTTATGTTAATAGATAGTCTTAAGTTAATAGGTAGTAACCATTAAGATAATGCAACTTACGATGGTTTACGACATAGTCTACATAAACTTGAAACGATTAAAAATTCGATTACAAGTTTTATTACCTTCTAAACAAGAGACGAAAGGCTTTTGGGGATCTAGTGCGTTTACCATCATCTTAAGTCAAATTACTTTATCCAAGATTTAATTAAAGTCAAAAAACTACCATCGCTTCTTTAGATCACTCCAGTTAATAATAGATAAGAAACTAGCTGTCTTGTCGATTAGAGTTAAAACGAAACGCTTGTCCGTGCGTTAAAACGTAGAGCCGGAAACCAATGTTAAACGAGGTGTCTACAGTTGAATTAGTTCGCATTAACTGAGGAGTGCGTGAGAAATAATCGCACGGAACGAAATAGTTTTCTTTGATTGCCATTATTCCGTGCAAGGTCAGCGATGACGTCGCTCGCGCATTTTATCGATACCAGTGCCCACTTAACCGCTCATGACTAACGCTACCAAAATACGGGCGGAATAACAAATGGGTCTTGCGGTATTAGCTATTAGCAATAGGAATGGCTAGATTCGCAGATTAGATTGACATAGAGGGCAGATGTTACCAATCCATCAGGCGATCTCGCTTCCAACGCGTACACATCAACAGATTCCGAGCAATTCTTGTAATACTGTATAGATAATTTCGATACAACGATCGCGATATGTTAACAGACTGCTGATTCTTTAAAGGCGAATTGACACATTTTCTATTGATCAAACACATCTAAGAATTGATACGTTTACCGAAATAAATTGACAAAGACGATACTTGATCGTCAATCCAAATTAACTATTAATGAAGATTGTTTATTACATTTTTTTTAATTTTATTTAGAACTGCCAGATAGTCAGCGACTTTTAAAATACCAATCTCAAATTATTTATGTCATTGTTTCTGAAACTATGATCCGAGTAAATATGCAATCGGTTTTATTGCCCGTTTCTCGAGAACAGTTTAGTCATATGTATGTCACCAGCAATAAATATGACACTAAAGTAAATTGTATGCATTTTTTCCGTTATAAATGCTAAAATATTTCTTACAGACAAAAAACTTCTTGTGACGAGTCTTTTATTTATATAATTTTTAACACTTTAATAAAACGCAGATTTAAAATATGCTGGCCATTTTGATTTTATATCAATGGGATATATTAATGTAGTCAATATTGTCGACGACTGGAAGCGTACCTGCTAAAGTCAAATATAAAGCATTTGGTGTTAAATAATAGTAAAAGTATGCACGTCATAATTATATCCGTAATATAACAACTATAAAATGTCCGTTATATGAAAAGTCACACTCAAAACATCAGTTGTAGCGTGAACATTAATTTATTTACCTAATAAATGTGGATGCTGTAAAGTTATGCACATGGCCGGATTGGGGTCAACACACGAACGCTGCTATGAAATTTTCTGTGTTTATCCCAAATTCTAATTCCAGATAAGCGGTTGATTCCCCCGAAAGAGCTACGCTACGATCTCGATACATGCACGATGCAGTTTACGGTCGCATTCAATACTTCTAAGAAACGGCCCAGATATTACATTCCAATGTCAATCTAATTTTAGCCTGTAGGCCCTGAACCGTTTTGATTTATTGTTCTTCTTTTAATTTACGACTTTCATCGCTGCCAGTGTGCTGATGCTTTGTTATACAAAAAACGAACGCGTGTTTTTTGGTTGCTTGGATTTTTGACATGCTTTAAAAGGTAAAACCAAAATCTCGTTCGTTGTTTTCGTTCATTTATCAAGTGATGTTAAAATAATCAAAATTAATGATTTTAACATCACTTTAAAGCATATGTTTAAAATTGTACGATCAAGTCAAGATTTTTATAAAACAAAACTTTCGTCGGAAAATTTAATGTATGATAATACCTTGTATTGACAATTTATTTAAATGAAAGATAACGGATAATCAGACTGAAAAGTTCTTACCTTTAATTTTTCTTCAAATTCTTTGCACGATATTATAATCTATGTCTGACAATGGTACGGTATATATTATATCATAATATAATAAAACTTTTTTTATGCATGTTTCAAAAAAAAAATTTTTGTTAATGAAAGAGCTTTCTGTGATTTAGTAAAAAGTCACGTACAACTTGCATATCCGGTATTTTTCGACCGGAAATACTCCCGCCGTGCTCTTGTTAGCCACAAAAATATTTCGATATGAATTATACCGGAATGGCGGGAATTCGTTCAGCTAATTTTCATGCGTTTTAACATCTTGTTCGAAACTAGCTTCGCACCGCGGCTCCACCCGAGCGATTCGTTTCGGAATATACTTAATGTTTGAATTTTACGATACTTCTCGTAACATTTAAACCTCTCCTTTGTTACAGTTCAATATAGGAGTTATTTCTTTATTAAAATTGATTTTTGATTAATTGGCAGTGATCTCTTAACATCAGGTGAACCGCCACCTTCTCACATAAACAAATAATATTTTATTTTTAATTAAATACATCAATAAATTAAGTTATTATAAATTTTTTAAAAGATTTTTTGTTAGTTATACGTCAACCGCGAGTAAAGGTTACACGCACTCATTTTTTTAACACTCCAAGTGTTTCCCAACTAATTGCTGCGGTTTCAGCCACAAGTCGATTTTGAATATAGTCACGTATGACCACATCCGGTGGCAATTCGGCCGGAAGTGGCGGAACGATCGACCGCGTAGCGAGCTATTTATTTGAGTCGGTTTGCGAAATATCGTCGAAAGTGGACGCCTTACATTGTTAATAACTGGTTCCCATGTGTATTAAGTGCACAGACTATAGTATCGTTAAATCCTAACATGGTGGATAGAGATAGAAACCTTGTGCTATCTTCCTTAACCGTCATTCTATACCAAATTGAAGATCTGTCGTCGTTCATCTAGCGCAGATGAGACGGCGATTTATACATTAGCTGATCTATGAAAACTGTAAAACGGTAACTATTAATATGTGAATGTTGAGCCTCACACCTAAGATGAATAGGATAAAACTAAGTAGACGGCCCTGTATCGAATAACCTAGAAGAGGGGTGCAAGCGAGGATATGATTAAACATTAAATTACAGTTTCCTTGTTTCCTTTGATTAACATTAAAGGAAATTTCTTCAACCCCACTTGGCACATGTCAAGCGATACAGCAGTGTTCCCCGTACTGCCATGCAGTTGTCCGTCCGCGATATAAATGTTGATGAAGCATTTTATTCGCCGCGAACGGGTGATTCCAGAAAACGCGGTATCCACCCACAATAAGAGCTCGTTTTTCGTCAGCGCCGACATCGCGTGATGCCCGCCTTCCGCCCCTTCAGCACTTTGGCGGGTGACCAATTTTTTTTCAACAAATCCAACGCAATATAAAAGCTCCAACAGCGTGTGTTCACTCAAGATCATGTCATTCATTCACTGTGGTCGGGACGCAGTCTTCGCTGTGGCACGAAGGGGCGGGTCCTTCCGGGGAAGTACCGCTACCTCACAGAAAACCAGCGTGAAGTGGAAGTGTTATACTATTGCGTTTCGTCTCGTGAGTGAGGTAGCCGGGGCCCAATTTATTAAAAGGTGGAAACCATCTCACATTAAAAAGCATAATGTTTTCTTATTCAATGCCACGCGGCAGCTTCCGCTTTTGCATCAATGGACACATCAGGCACACCCGGGAAGTATCACGGCCACACAGCAAACGGGCGTGAGGGGAAAGTACTATACTGTCGCGTTTCGTCGGATGAGTGAGGTAACCGGGACCCACTATTTAAGGTTGTCAATGCATCTACAACCGCTATGTGCTGTAGGTGTCCATGGGGGTGACATTCACTTAACATCAGGTGAACCGTCAGCTCGCTGGCCGGCTTTTCACATATTAAAAGAAGAAATTATCAAAAGAAAAATGCTGTTTCAACGACAAGTAAGCTATAATTCTAGGAGAATTTCAATTTATGACACTTTATTATCATTCAGTGTACTCGTACTAGGAATTGTTTCATTGAAAATTTAAGTGATGTACTTAAATATTCTCAGAAAACACGCTATATTTGCACGGTGATGGTATAAATACTAACAATCCCATATATCTCGCGAACGCTACGTTAAATCTTAAACACATCGACGTCGGAATCGCTACTAAATCACGTCGCTCGCTTAGCTCGACACGCGTTAGGCGACTGAGCAAAAGGCGTAACATAAACACGGCAGCAAGTTATTCCGTGCCGTCGTAAACACGCCGAGTGCTACGCGATGTCGACCTGTTTAATGCATCAATGTAAATAGTGCAGAGTAAACAGCCGGCGTTAGATGGCGATAGTAAATCGTGTTCAGGGCCGGCGAGCATCATGTATCATCATCATGACTATGGTAGGGCCGCGCAAAAGTTCGCTGTTGCAGGAATGGGCAGGTCCGTCCGGGTAAGTACCACGACCTCACAGAAGACCGGCGTGAAGTGGAAGTGCTGTGCTTCTGCGTTACGTCCGGTGAGTGAGGTAGCCGGGGCCCACTTTATTAAAGGTGGCAACGCATCTGCAACCGTACGTATTGCAAATGTCTATGGGCGGCGGTTATCACTTACCATCAGATGATCCGCCAGCTCATAGACGCCTACGTCCATTATTATATTTTTATTTTTTTATATTTATATTTTATTATATATATATATATATAATTTTTCAAGACTAGAATACGCTGGAACGTGGCGCTTCATCACCAAATACGAAATGATGTCACTGACATCTCTCTTGTCAGTGACTTCATTTCGTACATTTCTGAATTAGGCCCTTCGAAAGTTGGCCTAAAAGTTATCGAATTTGTTGAAAAAATCAATGAGTAAAGATTTTCATGAACTAAAATTCGTTGTTTTTATGACACCAAGTCTTTAAGGATGCCATATTAAAAAGAAAACAAATGATAATTCTAGGACAATTAAAAAGTAAGATGTTGCTAGAGATTTGTGGTAGGGCCACGCAGCAGCCTCGGCTGTTGCACGAATGGGCAGGCTCGTCCGGTTAGGTACCACGACCTTACGGAAGACCGGCGTGAGTGGAAGTATAATACTTTCGCGTTTCGTCTGGAGAGTGAGGAGGACGGATAAATAGGTATAGTACAAAATGGCCGACAAAATACCGCTCTAAGCTAAAAGCATTCCTGCTTTTGTATCTCTGCTGATTGAGGCGTTGACCCTTGGGGCAGTCCACAATGTTGTTTCCCTTGGAAAGATAAAACTGATCCACTAGAAGATTATGTGGTTATAAAGAACAAATACTAAATAGGTGTTACGCAATATTCAAGATACAGAATAGGCAAGAAACTTTCTTTGGTTACTTGTTGAAGTCTTCTGGTTTTCTTTTACTGTTTTCATGTCTGGTATGAGCAAAACTATTCTTAAATATTGCTTCTACTCTCTTAACTACTTTGGTTGATCGGTTGTTGTTGATATATTGTGTAAGTCTACCACATTCTGCTCTCAATTTTTCTATATCTTTTTCTAGCCTTTGTTGCCATGCTGGTTTGAAGTCGTGTTTTGGTTGTGTATTACCTGTATGTTGTATGATTTTAAAGTTGAGTTCTTCAGATATAACTACTGCAGTGCAATATATGAGCGTGTGTATGTCTATTAGTTGTGTGTCATCAGATATAAATTCTGTTAATATGTTTTCATTAAATAAATTAACTAAACGAAACAGGTAAGGGCTATACTTAAGTTTGGGTAGTTTTGGTCGTGCTGCTGGGTCCATCCCAGAATAATGTGTCAATGTTGTTCTCAATTTGTCATGTATTTCTTGTATATAAACATCTGTTACTAGATTTTGATCGGCGTTATTATTATTATTATTAGATTTCAATACCGGGTCAATTAAATCAAATCGAATCAAATTCATTTATTCGAAGTAAGATTTTTTCAAACCGTTTTTCGACGTCTTATAATTTGTCTTACAATATATGTCTCTCATGCTGTGCAGGAGTGTCGGAGCACCAAGCCCATTTGTCATTTAAATAATGATCTAACTTATAATAAGCTTTTTTAAAGTGTCTGCTTTACAATTAATTTGAACTTTTTGTCCGGTAGATTAACAATATCATCAGAAATCTTGTTGTAGCAGCGCAGACAGAACCCCAGGAACGAAGTCCTAACCTTAGCTAATCTACAGCGAGGCGTTGTGTTCCATGTGATTTCATGATAATTGGTTTTATGAAATTGTTAGCTTTTTATACTATTTTATATTTTTTGGCAACACTATCGCATTGGGTCAGCCTGTAATGATAGTTGTGTGCGTAAGTGTAATAAATAAATAAATGTCTGGTGACTGTCTCTTTAGTAGTCTAGATCGCGTAGAGATTACTGATTCTCTTGCCTACACCATTCCGGTGAAATAACTGAGATGTAATTTGCTACGCATACGCTTCTGCTTTTAAAAACTTCTCCGTCGAATTTGCTTACGAGGCAATTTATTAGAACGCCGACATATTGAGTAATTCACATCCGTTCCCCCAAATATTTGAGATGTTTCTGAAAATTTGATCTATGTGTTTAGAATTCCTACCTGGTTTCTGTTAGGAGCGTTTATTTCTTACGAAAGAATTTGCATAAAGTTAAAAGTATGTTCCGCTGTAGAGCCCGATTGCTTTCATGCAATGTGGCGTTTGAAACGCCGTTGACGATTTTTTCCCTTTTCTTTTGATTAGTCGTTTCAGCTTCTACAACATCATAAATATAGTGCATTTAGGTTATGAATGAAAACAGTCGAATCTTATAACGATGAGGAACACTTTACAATTTCATTGGGGATTTTTTAACGCTATAAGTTGGAAAACGAGCATGTGTTTCACCGGATGTTATGTGATTACCTTCCATGGATGTTTAGAACACATGTAGACGGTTGCAGATGTATCGATAACATTATAAAACCGGCCATTTCTTGCAATCGAAACTGCCGCGTGGAGCTACCACAGAAAAGTTGCACGGCATTCCATTATTAAACGTATTTAATCGCAGGCCGGATGACTATAACATACCAATCTCTTACACGCCACTACCACAGCCACATAAGAGGGATATGACATCATATGTTAATGGTTCGCGCCTATGTTTACGTATCTGCCGCGTTGGAAAATAAAACTTCAAAAGAGGTTCAATTAAACGGTTTGCGAAATTCAAACAGCGCGCAATAGAAAAGAGACGTTGAAATATCGCTCGCGTATAATTTTCGATAAATCGTAAACCGAGTTTTATGTCGGGTTTTTTAGTCAGCACTCTGTCCGCGATTCCGTGAATGGCGGTCGATTGTGACAGGTGGACGTTACAGGAGTAAAGTTTGCTTGAACATTGTTTTGTCGCCTATCTACTCTATAATTTGCATGTATTCTTCTTTCTTTCTCCTGTCCGTTTTACATTTTTTAATTCCGATAAGGTCCGAACTGCGTGAGGTCAACCCTCTTTGGGAACAAGATCTAGCACACATACCCTCAAGCAGACTGAACAGATATTCGAAATGTTTTCTTAATTTATTTCTTATATATTCATGATTCAACACAATTCCTTCTTTCACTACCAGCCGCCCGGCACTGAGCTACGATAGCTATTGTTTCATGTATGTCGAAGGAGTTTTCCATTCTCTGTCCTTGAAATTTTATGTACCTATGTCCATGAAAATAAGATTGAATTTCAAAGGCATAGTAATGTGCTTGTTATAAATACTAGGAACAAACAAATGTTTGTTCTACCCACAACTAGAATAAGAAAATATTTTAAGAGACAATGCAAACGTTTTTAAAACAAAATCCCAAAGACGTTCAAAATAGATCAGTTGGTAAATTCAAAACATTATGAAGGAACGTTTGTGTCAAAGTTTACTATAAGACTAGTGATTATTTAAATAACACTTGTAATGAATTGATTGCTCCAGGCTCTTTCAAATGGACTATAATATATTGTTAACATATTTCACTGTCAAAAAATGGTAAAACAAATTGTCACGCCGAGTTTCTTTCGCCGGTTCTTCTCAGGTCAGTGGCTTTTCTTTTTCGAAGCGGTAGTAGTATCTTCATAATAAGTAACTGTAATGCTTCTATATTGAATGAAATCATTTGAATATTTGAATAACCAATAATGTTTAATAATATAGGTGACGCATGTCCATACTGCGCGGCCATTAAAAATTCCTTTCATTATAATATGACATAATATCACATATAATCGCGTTACATTATAATAAGGCATATACAGCGTGTCGTTACAACCGCGACAATAAATGAACACACATATAGAGAATAACTTTTTTAAATTGTATTAAGCATTTACATTCTTTAAACATCAATATTTACAGAGTTATTAAATTTTACCAAACAAACATTTTTAGAACAGCCTTACGTATAAAACTGTAAAGTAAAGTTCATTTGTAAAGGTCACAAAGCAAATGAATGGGGGAATGAATTTAAAAGAGATAAAACATACTGTTAGAACCAGAGACTTGTATGCGACATTGTGGCAACGAATGAAAACGTCTGTGAATGTATAAATCAGTCAGTTGTGGTTGTATAGGATGTTACAAATTCTGTTTCTTTTTTATTTAATTAGTTTCTTTGAAAAATATATTTTTTTAATTATCGATTTTTTTAACGTTTTATATTTTTTATGATTATTGGCAAGCAGCGTTAGACGTGTGTTCATTTATTCTCGCGGTTGCAACGACACGCTGTATAAGTGAATGTGACGGTAAGAGAATAGCAGTCTACAGAATTGCAATATAATTACACAAATTTATGTAATTTGAGTGCCTTAGTTTCGGTGCGCTAGGATCATATCTACCTCGTATTTGTATATAAGTAATGTGATTTTGAATAGCACATCTTAAATTTTACGCAACTCGCCATCTTCCAAGAAGAAAAACAGAATGACCCCGCGAACGTCGGAGCGCGCGTCGTTATCTGCAAAGCGCCGGTTCATTAAAATAATAGACGCGTAGGTTTCGCAAATGACTCCCCAAAGAATAGTCTCGCATACCGCGCATCAAATGGAGATTTACGTTTGATGGCACGGACGCGTTGCCAAGTCCAGCGCCGCGACACCCACGGCTCGGCATTAACCATTACGCGATGCGTCTGAAACGCGCGAGACGCGGTCCAACTGAAGGCGCAATGTAAACATTGGACTGCGATTGCAACTGCACGTCCGTCTGCAACGCCGACCTCTTTTTAATACGAGGAACGTAAATAGTTCGGGCTCGAATCGAATCCGGAGTGACCTCAGCGCAGTAAATCATGTTTGACGCGCGTATGCAAATTATTGATACCCAAAAGGTCGGTGGAGGTCATTAAAGGGTATTGGCGCTTTAAACTTATAAGTTGGATGTACACGGTTTGTGTGGGAATCTATAAGTTTTCTATAAGCTGGACAAGGGCCTCCGCTATACGCAGGATATAAGGACATAGTGCAACAAGAGACTCCACTGTGGACTGGCGGACTTCACATTTCTTCAAAATATCTACTATTCGAAAATGTGGTAAAATAAATATGACATTAATATTATACTTCATTAAATTATGAAGGATGTAGTGACATTTTTTAACAAATTCCTCGTACGCTGCGTTATTTATTTTTTGATTTTCTCTTACGAGGGACTTTTATGCGTATTTTATTTTTATTACATTTATTTAGTATGAAAACAACAACTCATATAATAAGAAGTCAAGAAATCATGTATTTTGGAAATAAATAAAATGATCTGGTATAGAAAAAAAAGTAAAAAAAATAAGTGTGTAAATGATCGTGATACGAACCGCGGCCGTCTGTTTTGGGGCCGCCCCATTACCGACCGAGCTATTATAACATATTTTTTTGCGGCGAAATTTACTGTCATATTCGAATGATATTTTTCATTCCCTGAAAACAGGGATAATAGGACATTTTCTAAAAATGAAACCTAGCTAGATCGATTTTTCGCCCCCGAATCTACGCACATACTGAATTTCATGAAAATCGCTTGAGCCGTTTCCGAGATTCCGATTATATATATATATATATATATATATATATATATATATATATATATATATATATATCTTATCCTTTATACAAGAATTGCTCGTTTAAAGGATAAGATACATTTGAACTTCTAAAATCTTCGATTTACTCGTAAAAGCTCTAGCTGACAAAATAAAGGCTGAAGCATCTCCTGTGTGTGAGTGTGGAACATAAAAAAAGTGGGGCTAGTGTGCCGGGAACGTTTAGTTGGCATGTGAAAAGATAAGGCACAAGTATTTTAGGTGTGTCTAGACGACCAGACCACAGATTGTGTAAAAACGTTGTATCCAGAAGTTCTGCTCTATACACCAGTGTTGACATGTTTTATTGACGGCAGCAACTATTTCAGTTCCCAGAATGATGGTATGTTTATGTTAAAGTTCAGGAATTAAAAATGTTTTTGGACATTCTATGCCATCGATATACTTATTGAATTGTGGACACCAAACAAAACTAGCATATTCCAATATAAATTCTTCTAACAACATTTAAGGCCGAAAAAGAAGTTAATTAATTTAACAGAAGTAAACGGAAACGGCTTACGTGCTCGAAATACGAATCCCAACATAGAGTAAACCTTAGAGATTATCATATTTATATGATCTGTCATTTGTAATTTTGAATCTAAATAAATATCCAAATGCCGAAATGAGTTAAACTTTGGAATTTATTATTCGTGTATTGTATAGTAATATTATTTTATAGTCATAGTGTAGTCACTCATATATTAACGATGATAACCATCGTATAGAGACATAATTATGTAATTATATACAATTTTATTTTCATTTCCTTTGATTTAATTTATTTCATAAGAATTTAGTGTTTAACTGTAATAATTTTTTACATCTCGTACTGTTGTATCTCTTTACATAACAGATTTAACGTATACAATAATTATCACATATTTTTCTCCTCTATTTATATTGTATGAACATAATTTATTTAAATATCATTCTGCATAATTTGTATTTTCTCCTTGAGTTTCTCTTCAATATTTTTCTTATTGCTCTCCATCACCATCCTACGCAACAACTCCTCCATTTTGCCCGTACCACTGATGGTCTTATTTACGTGTGCATCGTCTTCTATTACTTTCTTAATATCCAGAACGGTTGCGTTATTTTCTGCTAAATATTTGTTAACTTCGTCGACATAAGTATTGTTGCCGTAGGCGCAATCCTTCACTTTTCCGATGAGGTCGAATGCTTCATCCTCTAAAGTCTTCACCACCTCGACGAGACAGGCCTCGTGCATAGCGCCGTGTGCCATCAATTTTGTTAATTCCACTACGCCTTCTATTAGCTTACTTGTAATGTCCATCATGGATGTTTTTATGACTGGAGACTGTAGGATAAAAAACAATTGTCGTCCAACGCAAGCACCAAGACAGAGTAAGAAAAGCATCACCAATGAGATGACCAAAGAGACACAATTGTCAATGTATATATGATACTAACATCTAAACATCAAGAAGTATATATCAACTTATGAACGGTGTATTCCTGTTATATTGTATGTCAAATGTTGTCAAGCGGTTCATCTTATTACGACCGCTTTTAATACACATCTACAATATCTGCGAGGCTGCAGGTGCGTTGCCAGCCTTTAAGTCCCAATCACCTTACTCTTCAGATGGTTTGTCTACACATTAAACCGTCAGTGTTGTTGTTTTTAAATTTTGTCACATAAACCATTAAACATGACAGGCATCAAACATTACATCAATTACATTATTAGACTGTATGTAATAGTATACTGTATATATATACCTTAGAAATTACACACTTAATGACATTCTTCAAAGAATCATGTTCGTGGCCGCATAGCTTCAGAATTGCGTCAATATCCTTCCTCCTGGCGTAAATCTGTCAAATATGTATCTATTACAATCCGGTAACTGGAACAGACTGTGACTTTAGAGGTTTTTGGGTGATCAGTATCTTTGAAAAATTTCCTATATAAATAGCTGTAAACAAACAAAACTACGATTACAATTTACAGTAACATTCTTCATGAATACCTACGTTTACCAACGTTTCTTGTTGTATGTTTATCACAGACTTTTATTTTGTTTTATGATTGCCTTTCGTATCATACCACAGTTGATATGGAACACATTGGATTTATATTGGGCACTGTACGCTCTCCTACACAAATAAAACGCCGTCTTGTTGCGTAAAGTATCAAAAATACGGCTAAGTTTTTTCTGTTAAAATCATACAAAGACTTGGACTCGCCGGCATGACTCCCTGCTTGATCATATTCTTCAATCCCACCACCCGAGCAACTGCACGTCCAGGGTCGTGGCCGATCAGCGCGTAACCGCACACCACCATTTGGTGCAGCGCCTTCTCTGCCAAAGCTGACGTCTCGTTCTGCCTGCTCTTCAAACAAGCGTTTACCTGAAAATTTCAATACCTTTGATGGTATATCTACCCTATAAAAGGTCATCAATCATCTACGTATCTTAACAGATTGGATCAAGAAAATAATATTCCAATGCCTTTGTTAATGTAACCTTGCCAATTGTACCTTGTTACGTTGATATAGTAGGGATAGTACAGTAAACGATCTCACATATTTAGCAGAACAGACAGTGATATCAAAAATCCGCGTTTCGAGCAGATTATTAGAGCACGCCATCTGTATTAAAACTTCCGACCTCAAGATGTGTTTTAGAGGGCGATAAAAGTTTACTCGTCCACAATTTATGACAGATTAAAACCAAGAAGAATGGTTATTGAGATCTTCATCATAAACAGTGCTTATAATTTATTGACTGAATTTAAAATATCTGAGTTGTCCACCTAACATTTATTAAACTCTAATATTACTGGGTCTCTCAATTACCGTTTCCTCTCCCGTATGTTTCTTCATCAAGTCCAGCATGCCCTGTAGCTCTGCCAAGCTGTCTTGAATGTGAGTGGTGCCGTTTTGCAACAGCAGTTTGATTTTTATCAGCACCATGTCCACTGACCTTAAATCAAATTGTCGGTAGTATATAGACCTTATCGGTATATTTAACAAACCTATTAGACATCCGTTTTGCAGATATAGATAACGCTTAAGATATCTTGAAATTAACGCGAATTTTCTTCATCATCAGGCACAAGTCGTTCATTGTTGAACATGGCCTCCCCCTTAGAACGCCCACAAAGAACGACACTTTGCCATTTGCATCCACAGGTTGCCCGCGGCTTTTACGATGTCGTCGGTCTACCTAGAGGGAGGCCTTCCAACACTATGTCTTCCGTATCGTGTTCGCCACGCAAATACAATATATCTAAATTTAGACATGGAGTATATATTATTTTTACGTGTCTCTGCGCGTTTATTCTAACTAAATCCGTATCCAATATATTTATTCCAAAAGCCTCGGTTAGCGAAGGGATATTATGCAAACAAACCTTTCTAGGTCCACTTGAAACTTCCTCTCTATACTCTGCAGCAAATCCTCACTTAGTTTCCCCGTTATGTCATCTTCTATTATCTTGTCTACTTCATCCTTTGATATTTCATTGGTTTCTGCTAACTGTTGAATTAAATACATACTAAAATAAATTTAAAGACATGTTTTAATTGGTTTTTACCAGATTCGATGCATGCTGCTAACAATTTAATTATTTACATATTTAAATATAATCTGATAGTAAATATAATAGTATCTGAAAGGATAAACTGTAATGAAACAGGCTTTTAATACCTAAACAAATAAAAATGTTTAGTAATAATTTGTTTTTAATTTCTATTGAAATAAAAAAATTCTATATATATGTAGGTAAATTACAATGTTCCACTAACTGCAGCACAAGGTAGATCCGCATATCTAAGTATCTCCGAATCAAACAATTCACAATTCACCAGTCTTAAGTATATCACGTCACTATGTACAAAAAAGACAACAATATCATGCAATACGTAACATTAACAGTTTCTCAGACCTTTCCAAGCGACGCCACACAAAACATCAACAACACGAAAACCGCGCTCCCAGCAGCAACCATTTTACTCAACTTTGCGGGCATAACAATAAAACAAGCAATAAAGTTATATATTATATTATCGACATCTACATACATATATCCACTTTATTTTAGATTATTTGTCCCTGAGCGAAATCAATTTATTTCGTTTTGTTTACATATTATCTCGAACTACACCAGAACTACACTTCACTATACCAGAACTATTTAATATCAATTCTTGATAGTCCCATTCAGTATTAAGTTGATCGCCCGATTGAACCCTGTGACAAGCGTACTGCTCCGCCAACAGCTCTTGAATTGACAATAACTGAACTACCATTAGAGGCAATCAGACTCTAATGGTAATTTATTTAATTCAGACATCTCTTGAGTTTTAATCACTTACAGCTACTTCGCAGATTATTACCTCGTTCAAAGTTAAGGGCTTGGAACGATAAGACTAAAATAAAATCATGGGGCGCGGAATAACCTGATTAAATATGTAAATGATCATTCTCGAGGTAGTGATGGATATACTTTTACACACATTTTGCATAGTAACTTCATTGAGAAAATGTATCCAAAGCATATAATGATAAACCGCCCGTGGTTGTCTGTTGATAAATGAAATTCGATTTTCTTTTCGTCTGATCAATGCTTTATATTGATGAGGAGAGGGTGGTGACGATTGATCAGGTATCTTCTAATTATTCTTAGCTTTTACATAATCCTCATCCAGATTATATTTTGTTTCAATAAAACCGATCAAATAAATATGAATATTTCCTTTATTTCATATTTCATTTCGTTCATTTCTAAGTGTACTGTGTTCTACTAGTCTAGCTCTTTCATTTGACACTCAATTTTGGATGCAAAAAATATGTAAACATAATTGTATTGTTATCAGATCTGGACGTTTATACCAAATTTAAGGTCAATAGGAAGGGGGGGAATGTTTAGTTCATAGTTTCTATGTGGTACCCGATGTAAGACTAAAAAGTCCTCTAAAGTAAGTTATAATTTAATATTTTTTGTATATAACGTTTCTTAAGTGATTTGGAATCGTCAGTAATTGTTATTAATGAAAATAATACTTTTAAGACTAAGTTACGAATGAGTACAGAGTTTTCTTCCACATATCTTTATTAACTAGACAGCATAAAATAGTACATGACATCAAACTTTGTGTTTAAATGACCAATAGTTGAGTATATTATTTTTCCACAGTTTTATTGGTCATTGCAGTGCGTCAACGTCGTCGTTTCGCCGCAGCTTTCTTCTCAATATTCTTCGACACACTGAAATCCACGAAAAAATATCAAAACTTAAATTTCTCATATCATATTTTACCACTGATTCAGCGCTAAGCGATGAACAATAAAGATACGAAGAAAGGTAGACAGAACTTATAAATCCTATTCACTTTTCCCTTTTTCCTTCGAGATCAGAGTAATACGTTTAATAGATCTATTAAACAAATAATATATTCTACAGCCCTAGGGATTCTGTAAATAGAATATATATTTAGTAAATAAATAAATATAACATTAAATAAATAAAGGAGTTTAAGAAAAAAAATCTAAAAATTACACAAATCTAACTAGAATAATATAAGTTTTTAAATGTGTAAGATCGCCAGGAAAAATAAAGGCTTTTTAATTTTTATTTATTTGTTATATATTCTACAGCGCTAAGCAATATTGATCATATTCAAAAATGGAGACATGTTTGATTCATGTACTATAACAGATGTGCACAGATTTTCTGATTTGGGAAAAGATATCAATCCACACAAATATTTTGAATTTTTTAACTAACCTTTTATCAGAGCAGGCGTATCGACACAAATCTGCGTCCACTCGACCCAGCATTTTGTAGAACTGACGAAATATTTTACATTACTTTTGCATAATAAACAGTAAATAGTTTCCACAAACAATATCTTTAGGCCCCATTATGTGGTGAAATGAAATGTTGAACGCGATTTCTTTTTTTTTTTTTTTTTTTTTCAAATTATGTTTTATATCAAAATATATAAAATTGTGTTTCATTTTATTTTATAGGAAGTGATTTATAGGTATTTGTGTTCCTGTAATAGCTAAAATTTACAAAAATAAGTACCTTAATTTTAGTTCCATGTAAGGCGTCAATAGTTAACTGCATTAGCACTCGAATAGCTTCTAGGGCGTCTTGCGCTCCTCTGTGAATAAAACTCCTTTAAAGTGTATTTGTTTAAATTTTTGTTTTATTATTATGCACTGGTTATCATATCGTTCTTATTAATAATTTAATGTAGTTCTGTTTATTGAATTTAACCAACTGACAAACTATTACAATTAATTTTCATTACTCAACTTAATTAAAAAAAAAAATATCTTAAAATTATCTTATTCAGTTTCAGCTTGCCTATAATCAGCTAAAATTCAAGTTATACTGTTAAAATTCACATAGCAGTGGTTAAAAAAATTGTAGTTCTATTATAACGAACATCAATATAACTACAAAGACTAACTTCAAGCTTACTTTTTGGCTAATTTATAGAATTCACACAAAGAATCAATTGCTATATTTTCTTGTTCTGACCAACGTAGACCATGGCGTGCCGCTAAATTGTGACTGGTGTCACCCAAGGGACAGTGCTGTGACCAAACATATTGTGCATCCATAACAATTATCATAACAATCATATAAATGACAATTGCCTGTTTTGTTGTAACTTACAATTATAAAAACTAACAGTAGCGAGTACAAAATAAGTTTGACTAATAATGTTGACGCGTTGAATGATTCTGAAAACGATAAAAGGAAATTTAATATTTATTTCAGGAATTTTAATATCCAAAAAAGAGTCATATGAGTTTTCTTAAAATTTTTGGATATCAAGCAACCTCGGGAAGAAATCAAGGAATTCTTTTCCATTTTATTGAAACCATCTAATCCTGATATTTGTGATTTAAGTCCTTTTAATTTGACACGTCTACATATTTTTAAAACTAAAATTTACTAACAAACTAAGTTGACAATGTGGTGTCAAAATACATTTTTTTATATTTCTATGTATTTGTTAAAGATGATAAAACACTACAGTAACCAGTGACACAATATACTTATTATTTTGATCCATATCTTGATTGTGTCAATTGGGAAATCATCATCAAGCAATGCTTTAAAAATAGTAAAATAAATTATTTGTATATATAATATTATTATTTGTGTTTTGTATTTATATATATATATTGATATTTTAGACGAAGTATATAAGTTTGATATAATACTTTAGCATTTCATAAAAAAAAATATAGTCTGGAAGTTCTAGATTTTTACTACCGAATAAGATTGAACAAATTTCATATTTATTAAATTAGACTCGACAATTTGACCGTTGCCTTTGCTACTGATTTAGCAATTTTTTGACACGTCTCGCATATTTCGCACTACAAAGATAGCGCAAGCAGTGCTAAAATACAGAATTTTTAGCAATACTTGGCACAAATGGGTTCGATCCTCACTACTGGAAAAATATTGTGTGATGAACATAGTGTTTTTCTAGTGTCTGGATGTTTATATATCTATAATATGTATTTATTTACAAAAGAAAAGTATGTTTAAGTGTGTTTATCAGTTTTCTAGTATCCATAGTAGGGGGGGGGGGGGGGGGGGGTTATCTATTACACTCATATATTCACACGTTTCATGAAACTCTATGAATACAGTTTTCAATTAGTTAATTATTCGATTTATTATTTTATCAGTAACACAATAACTCGGTATTAAAGAAAACAATGTTTCGTCGTGTCCCGTTTATTCAAACTCTTTTAAAGCGTTCCGCGGGACATCTGCCGATACAAGTGAAGCCCTTTTCGACGCAAGATGGGCAGCTATTGTCCTCGACTTCGTCCGGCCTCTCGATGGCGACCTTCGTTTTGGTCACGTCTTCCTTGACTTCGTTGGCGTTGCTGGTGCCTTGCTCCGCATCCAAGGGGCCCTTGTCTTCGGCCCTCTTTATCACAATTTTCGCAGATTCGTCGAAAGTGAACACGGTCGCCTGATGTTTTGCCCCGTTCTACTGAAACCGTCAATAGCTCAAGCTGCGGTTTATCAGTAATTAAAAGATCCTTTAATTATGTTCATTGCATAAAAACATTTAAAACTACAAATCTATTTTCGGACTACTTTATTAGAAGCATGGATAATAAAGGAATAGTAATGCTAAATGATGAACAAGTGAAATCGGTAAATTAAAAAGGTGAATGAAACTGGTGAGTTATTAATAATTAGATGAATTAAAAAGGCTTCGGCGTCGGGGATCGTGGGTTCGATTCCCACACGGGACAACTGTTTGTGTGACCCACAGATAGTTGTTTCGCATCTGGGTGTTTGTCTGTGTTAAATTTATGTTTGTAAAACCTCCTTACGACACAGGATAATGTTATCCTAAAGTAAGGGCAATGTTTAAAAAAAACTTATTTTAGTTTTAATACACTCGTACTGTAACCTGTAAAATTCTTTGCGCAGTCTCCTTATTCTGAATGGAAATCTGACCCCTCTCGTAGAGATCTGTGCACTGGAAAAGAGTTATTACATCTTCAATGACTTGCAAGATACTATGCGTTAGTTTTAAAGAAAACAGTACATATAATTTGTCTGAGAAAACGTTGGCATATCGTGGTGATATTTCAAATAATAAATAATCGATATCTTTTTTTTCGTATACGAGTGATACTAACTTTAATTGTTCAACCCCAATTATTTAACAATATAGCGGTTGAAAAACATCTAAATGAGCACGATATTTAATACATAATTACAAACGTCAAATATATCGGTATCATATAATGGAAAAACGCTATGCATTGAACATTTTAGCTTAAAAGCTTAAAGATCGATACGTCTCGATATTTAAAAAAAAAATTGTTAAGCGAGCAGACGGTTCACCTGATGTTAAAAGATTACCGCCGCCCATGCCCATCTACAACACCTGAGGGCTTGTATTTATATATTTTGACAAGCTATAAAAGAAGTGGACGTCACTCGGCAGGAGAAATGCGAAATTATCATACTTCCACTTTACGCCGGTCTTCTGTGAGGCCGTGGTACTTCCGCGGACGAGCCTGCCCATTCCTGCAACTGTGGCAAGTGGCACTACCACAGTAAATTTGATGCCCTTCCAATGCGTAAAGTAACAGCCTATACATGTCCCACTGTTGGTCAAAGGCTCCCTCTGTACTTCGGCGGATTTGTTATTGTATCGAAAATATGCAACTTTTCTCACGATTCTTCGCTTCACCACTGAGCACGCAATGAGGCAGTTTTTTTTTTTTTTTTTTTGGGCAGGATGAGCCACTGTTGGCCTTAGGGGCCTTTACAGATCCGACGGACTTGAGGTGGTCTGGCGCACGAGGCGCCTAGCCTGAATCTCTGCGTACTATTATTACGCGTTATGGTGACTAAGCTCGAGGGCTCCCGGGGGAGCCTCGGCTCGGGCCGTCACGCTATTATTATTACCGGTTTGGGAGGCCGCCAAGCTCTTAGGGCGCTTTGGCGGGCGCTCCATGGAGTGATCAGGCTCAAGGGTCCCCGAGAGGGGACCTCGGCTTGGGCTGTCACTCAGCACGCGTTTAGCATTCCGATTCGAGGGTGCCCGAGAGGGCCGGACCTCGGCTCGATCGGTAGCTATTATCTGACTGGGGGAATTACTAGAGCTAACATTACTACCACTTCGGAGAGCGTTGGCGCTGGGAGAAGAAGTGGCGGAAGAAACTCCAGCAACGCTTCTATCATTAATAGGGGAAAACCTGCCAGGTACGTGGCGGAACCTAGTATATGTTTGCCGCACTCGCCGGCGAGTGCGGTGTGTGTTGGTGTGTTTCTTGAGTTTTTTGATCCTTTCGATGGCGATAGTCGTCTCATCGTCAGGGAAGTCGAGAACGTGACGCGGTCTTCGGTAATCGCGGCGGAAAATATTTAGCGGCAAGGGCCTGTAGGTGACGGCACCTACGATAAGTGGGTTGGGATGCGCGGCGGCGGATTCGAAATATCGGCGCGACGCCGACTATAGGAATTGCGCGATGGTGGGCAATTCTAGATCGACATGTAGGTCGATATTGCGCATGAACCAGGGTGCTCCCGTGGCTCTGCGCAAGAATTGATTTTGAATTACCTGAAGCCGGTGTATTTGCTTCGGAGCAATGTGAGCGAAGACGGGGCTCGCGTACGTCATGATAGGGCGAACTACTGCCTTATATTAGGTCACCTTGTTCCGAAGGGACATTTTTAGACGTTTTATTGAGGAGCGGGTAGAGGCGACCGAGTACGAAGGCCGCCCGGTTCCTGACCTGGGTCACCTGCTGGGTGAATTTAAGCTGGGAGTCGAGGACGACGCCTAGATACTTGACTTTATTAACCCATGGTACTGGGCTGTCCAAGAGTTTAACGGGGGGTGGTATGGGTACGTTCTTTTTGTGCGCGAAAAGGACGGCCGCGCTTTTGGCGGGATTGATCTCGATCCTCCATTGCCGAAACCAGTCACCGATGGTGATGGCCGCAGCTTGGAGGCGTCGATGGATCAATTCGGGTGTTCTGGCTGTGGTATAGATACAGGTGTCGTCGGCAAAAAGAGCAAGTTCTACATCTTTGACACGCGGCATGTCATTGGTGTAGAGAGTGAACAAGACTGGGCCCAACACCGACCCTTGGGGCATCCCGGCTCGAACGGGATGCGTAGTCGAACACACGCCCTCGACGCGATAGCGAAACGTTCGATTCGTTAGGAAGTCTCGGGATCGCGGAGTGGCTCTAAAGCTTTCCTTTCTACCTCTTCGTTCACCTTGCGGAGGTGTTCGGGGTCGATCGGAAGCAGACTGGGGGAGCATTGAGACTCTAGGCTGTCAGCCAGGCATTCGGCCTTCTCTTCGTCCAGCATTGCTGGCGTACCTATCGGACGGACTAGTGGCGGCATGGTTGTTATGCCGTTACCCTTGAGGGATTTGGAAGTTTCCAGAAGGCTACGTGGGATGGTTTTACTGAAGTTAGGGTGGAGTCCCATCGTTCGTTTCGTGAGTCTGCTATGCGTGTTTTGACCTCACGCTACAATTTACGTAGCAGTCTACGATTCGAGTCGGTGGGATATCTATCATAGGCTCGAGTGGCCGCATTCTTGCGTCTCAGCAAGTCTCGTACATCGTCTGGCAGGGCCCAGCGATGGTCTTCCATCGCAGGGACCTGTCTCGAGCATTGCTCGACGACGGTGTTGACGTGGCTTGTGAGGGCTTGAATTGCGGTTTCCGTGTCCTGTTTGGTATTCAATTCTCTAGGGATTGACTCTAGTTGTGGAGGATTAGGTTCGTTAAATTTAGATTTGATTTTATGCCAGCTGATGACAGTTTTGGTTAGGGGAGCGGCTGTTGCTGAAGGCCCTAGCCGGAGGAGAACTGGTCGGTGATCGGAGTGAAGCTCGTGTATCACTTCCGGTTCGCATAAGGAGAGACTGATGTTTTTGACGAGTGCAATGTCAAGCACATACGATGTGTGTCCCTTTACGTAAGGAAAGCGCGTATGTTCGACGGGGGCAGCGACTTCAAAGTCGAGCCTGTCGGATAGCGAGTCGAGTGCGGTGCCTCGACTGTTGGTACGTGTCGAGTTCCATCGGGGGTGTGCTTGCTGTTGAAGTCGCTAGCTAGGATGGTGGCTCCTCCTATAGAGAAGAGGGCCTCAAAATCTGAATGCAATATTGTTGCGGTTGGTCTGCAAGGGAGTGCCGCCGCCCGGGCGTAAACTGATGCTATGGAGATAGGAGAGTGGCCGGGTAAAGGCAGCTGACAGACGGAGGCCTCGAGATGCGTGAGCGCGGGCGTGTCTACCGGTACGCAATGGAGAGATTTTTTATAGTATATAAGTGTGCCGCCGCCCGGGGCGCCGCTTTTTTCTTTTGGTTTTTAATTATTTAGTAAGCCCGGTGGGATGCCGGGGTGTGTCCGGGATACGGACACACCCCGGCATCCCTGCCGGGTATAGGCAGGGAGGATGAGTGCCTAAATTGTGTGACCCTAGTGCGTCCTTGTGCCGATCTTATTGTGCACGCGGGTGTGTGCTTATAGCTAATTAAAAACTACCCGAGGGCGCTAAAAGGCCAAACGTGGACCACCGCTGACTAGGGACTAAACCCAAGGCCAGTGATGGTGGTCCCTTCCGAAAATTCGCGGTTCTCGGGAGAGAACCGCAAGGCGATCGGGGCAAGCCTTGGCTAGCTTCGTTAGCACCGTTAGGTATCCACTAGCCCTAAGACGTTTCAAAACACAACCGCTGCTAAGCGCGTTGGTCGGCGCAGTCAAAACTGCACCTCGCAACTCGACTTGTGAGCGGGGTGTCCACTCGTAATAAAAATTACGTGCGAACGCGGCGCGCGGTGCGCGACGACTGAGCGTCCGCGGCGAGCGAGTCGGCACGCGGAAGCGGACAGGGGTGGGGGGTAGCAATAGTAGAGAGAGCGCGTGCCAAGGCGTGCGTTCGTCTCGACTGTTGCGAGCGGAATGAATGAGGCAGCACTTAAAATTAACATTTATATACATAAATAAATATTAATTTTTAGTTGTTTAAATGTTAATATATATATATATATATATATATATATATATATATATATATATATATATATATATAAATCACAAAAATTTACCGCACATATGAAGTCATAATACGCCAGAAAAATTGCTTCCACAATGGCCGCGTAGAATCTTGCTACGGGACTACAGGTGCTGTAAGGGACGTTAATTTTATTAATCGCACGCTATCAGGGTCAATTTCTTTTCCTTTTAAAAGTTATAAAAAGAAGTGCGAGTCGGACTCGCGCCCGAAGGGTTCCGTACCATTATCTATAAAAGCGGCAAAAAATCATGTCTGTTATATCCCTATTTAAATATTTTTATTACATTTTTTTAGTATTTGTTGATAGCGGTAACAAATACATTATCTGTGAAAATTTCCATCCAACCATCACGATCAAACAGACGGACAGATGGACGGAGTCTTAGTAATAGTGTCCCTTTTTACCCTTTAGGTACTGGCATTTATACTGCATCAATAACACGAATTGGCATTTACCGTGACAGGAACACACATCGGCATTTTATGATGTACGATTTGACCGGGGAAATTACAAAGCTTCTGAGAAGTTAAAAACTAGACGTTTACTATTCCGTTTTCATCGGACCCCATACCACCGGACAAATTTTTACACTACGTCATCTAGTCCCAAACCAAGTAAAGCTTGCAAGTAAACACATTACATCAGTTACCCAGTGCCCATAACTGGGTAACCATGTAAGTTTGATCCATGTGGGTTTGGGAATCTCTGTCGCCAGAGGCATATTCACTATCAAAGACGCCTGGTCGTTGCCATAGTTTTCCAGGAACGCATGCCACGCGGCAGCAATGGCGCAACCTCTGTCTTTCGAGAAAAATTGTTCCCCAGCAATATCTGTCTCTATTTGGCTAGATTATTATTGTTATAATTAAGGATAATATGTGCATAAGTGCTTAATTGCCAAATTATCCTCTCCTTCTTCTTCTCCTTTCCTACCTAGGCAAAACACGTGAACCATAGTTTTAACGGTAGTGGCTATTAATAGTTAATAGTTAGCCAGCCTAACGTCAACCCACCTTAGGTACAAACATGCAGATCCGGATCTGTAGGTCAGACAAATACTTCTTCCCCGTAGGAATCGAACCCACGAGCCCCGGCGTCAAAGCCAGCTTAGCAACTGCTCCAGCGGGTCATTTGCCGACTTGTCGTCGTCGCCTACAAAATACGATCTACGCACTCGAGGACATTCTCCACCAGCTCGCAAGGGCAGGAAGCGCAGACGCAGCTGTTGCCGGGGTCTGCGCGGCTGCTCATCGCGCTCTCGTCATCAGAGAGTTGTACATTTCCCCCGCCGCCCAATGGAACGGACTTTTTGTTTCGGCATGATAGTCGACAGCTCCCCGACCAAATCTGCTTAATGGCGGAAGCGGTAGATGTGTACTGACCCTCATGGTCCACCTGTAAAAGAATACAGATTCCGCTATGGATGCGACGACGCTTTGAAGTTCTATTCCAGCTATTAAAATGAATCTTATCCTATTCCACCTATACATACGCGCTTTAATAAGCCGTATGTTTATATTCTATTTCACCTTAATAGACGTTCATCTATAGGTACCTTTGAGCCAGTATAACTTATAGTCTGGGCGATTGTTTTTAATTCAATATAAAAAAATCGAAGATTTGTGAAGTCCGCCAATCAGCCGGTGAGCTGCATGGTGGACAATGCTCTAATACCCTCTGTACAGAGGAGGCCTTTGCCCAGGAGTGAGACATATGTAGGATGTTACTTTACTTTACTTTCCTATAATTTTGCTTCTATTTGTCACTTCGTTCTTTTAATGTAAAGTCTGATTGCTTGTCTGTGGGTTCTTTTATTGGTCTTTCAACATTATTCCTGTTCAAGACAGTAGATTCGACAGTAGATTGTAGATTTTGGTAGCGATGAAAATAACCATTTTAAACAAAAGAAAACAGGTTACTTTGTAAGCAATGCTTTGATAAGATTTACCCAAACACCTGTCTTAGTTTCATACTTTGTTTGATGGTCGAACTTTCGTTAAAACATAACAAATTATTATGGATCGCTTATTATTCGAATCTAGCAGGGTTTTTAGAAGATGATTAAACCATGAATACTTTCAACATGAAAACGATGAATGCACAGAATGAAACCGAGCGCCAATAAAACAACACTCACGTATGCGAAGATAACAAAGAAGATCAACAGGCCAAAAACAATGTACCCATACATTTGGTCAGCGGCTTTTGTTCCATCTAAAATAAACAATATTTCTAAGCTCTTCAAAAACGTACATGTCATTGAAATACATAACTAAAAGCTTTGTGACACACTAAAATAGTTTCAAACACTTGATACTTATTTCATGTATGTAAATAGATTTAGCTAAATGTTCTAACATTAATCAGTTTTTGAGATATAGTTACGGCAGCATAAATCATATTTCCATATATATTTTTTTGCGTTGTTTAGTTTGAATTTGACTTTGGCGTTTTGCTAAATTAGTCATTACCTGAAACGTCTTCTTTAAAGACAGCTGTAGTGATTGCAGCTACTTTTTGTATCGACATATCGATCACAATTAATATGTTTCCATATCGTTGATTTTATTTAAAATTAGTCTTATTCCTAACTATGATGAAAATTAATCTTCACATTATTATATAATGCTAAAGATAAGGAGTTCCACGCATTTGATTTGAAATTCACACAGCCCTTAGTCATTCGGCTCAACCGCGAAAAATGTAAACAAAACGTCGGAAATGTAAATTAATATTAAGTAAATAGTTTAGTAATTAATGTTTTTTTTATGATGTTAGGTGATAACCGCCGCCCATCAACATTTTTAATACTCGTTGACTTGCAAATGGGTTGCCATCTTATAATAAAGTGTGTTAGTGATGTAGCCAGTGCCCACTACCTAATACATCACTGACCAGATGAAACGCAGAAGTATAATACTTCAGACTGGACATCTGTGAGGTCATGGTACTTACCCGGACGGACCTGCCTTTCGATCCGCGGCTAGGTCTGTCGCGTGGTCCTACCACAGTGAGTCATGTCAGCGTAAATATATAAAATTTAAAGCTAGTACGGAAGAGTCTGAATCTGATGGTCAGTTTGAACAGAAAACTGGCGCGAAACAGTAATGTTTTTTTTATGTTTATTTAACGTTTAGTCTTTTGAATGAAGGAAACGGAGTTCTTCCTCGTAAGGTGATTTTGGATGTCCATAAGGAGCGCCTGATGCGGTATGAGTAGCGTTATTATTTACATCGTATCATCCGAATCAGGAACCGCCATCTTGTCTGATAAAAATATTTAGGTTGTCACGTGATTGGCCATTTTATCCACACTAATATTATAAATGCGAAAGTAACACTGTCTGTCTCGCTTTCACGCCAAAACTACTGAACCGATTTAAATGAAACTTGGTACACAGATAGTCTAGAGCCTGAGAAAGGGCATAGGCTATTTTTTAATTGGAAAAGTGTTGTAAAAGTTTGAAAATATCTTTCTTTAAAAAATGTATTTATTTTTAAAGAAAGATATTTATTTGAGAGCATCAACACGAGCGAAGCCGCGGGCGAAACGCTAGTTTATTATAAAGGACTATCCGAACACCATAAGCCCACTACCATTTACATCTATAAATCATTAGATTGTATCTTATTTGTTCAAACCCAGTAAGCTTGATGTTTTGTCAACACCGTGGAAGATATAGAGACCAGTTTCAACTCTAACCATATGCGTTAAAGGTTTTATTGACCGAAAATAATATACATATTTCGTTACAGAAACCGAGGGGGTTAGCAGTGGCTGTGAGGCGAGCGTTGTTAGGGAGGAAATAGCTCGAGACTACGCAGCCCTGCAGTCCAGACTCCGCAGGGAATTCTCCGATAGACGAGACAAGCTGTACGCTGGTAAGTTGGGTCGGCGTCACCGATTTGTTCTAAGCAAACAGGTTGGCCACGCTGAAAGCCACCAATATTGTTCGTTTATGATGCTTATGCTAGGCATATGCATAATTTTCTACGTCATACTGGAGCAAGTGATATTAAACCAAATCCAATATTTTTCTTGTCATATTATTTTAACAATTTCATTTAATATAACAGTTTCGTCATTGTCAAATTAAATCTTAATTTCTGAATTTTACCAGTTGTATAATGTAATAGTTGTATAACTATATTTTAATCTAATACTAATGGAAACAATTAAATTAAAATGTGCTTTTAACTAATAACATAATTTAATTACGGCATAAAAGTCTATCCTTTTTTTAAAACATTCCTCTTACTTTAGGATAACATTCTCCTGGGTTGTAAGGACGTTTAACGAACATAAATTTCGTAGACACACGAAGACAAACAACCAAATGCGAAACAACTATCTGTGGGTCGCGCAAATATTTGTTCCGTGAGGGAATCGAACCCACGACTCACGACGCCGAAGCCAATACCTTGGCAACGCCACGGAGTCAATTACCCCCTATCATCAATAATATCACTCATATCACTCCCGTTAAAGCTTCGAAGCCAGTCGCCACCGAGGAGCAGCTATCAGCCGACTTCCACAAGAAGCTGACGGAATGGCAGCGCATGAAAGGCGGCCGGCAACCGCCCCCGGTGCCCGCGCGGCAGGACCTGAGCGAGGACTTCCTGAAGAAATGGGGTGAGCTAACGTTTACCTTCGCAAAAGCTTAATGCAAACTTTGATTCAAAATTATTTCTAAAGGAAATCCACTATTAATTAATAATTTCAATGTTGTGTGGTCTTAAATTAGTCTAGATAAATTATAAAAAGCTTGCTTTATGTTTTTTGTTCATGTTTATTTATTGGGGTTGCAGACGCCTTTCCATATTTTAATGAAGTGAGCTCCGGTTACCTCACTGACCAGACGAAACGCATAAGTTTAATACTTCCACTTCACACCGGTCTTCTGCGGGGTCATGGTAGCAGAAGGAGTTGCCCATTCGTTGAACAGGTACTGTTGCGTGGCCCTACCACAGTATACATTTTAAATGGGTCATACATGTGAAATATAGACAACCTAGAAAATTATTTGTTTTATTTAACACAGACGAGTGGAAGCGTATGAAGGAGACCAACTCGGTACCAGCTTGGGAAGAGGAAGCGAAACCGGACGAGGTTCTGGTTCAGACGTCTACGGGACTCTTCAAATTTCAAGGTTTTATACGTCATAGTTATCCCTTTGTTTTCTGTTAATCTCTTTACACACTCTACACGGACACTATAAGAAGTAATGTTTCAATGTAGAAAATATACATAAAATACAATAAATTAAATGGGAGTATTGTTAGTTCTATTTAAAAGAAATTGTCAAAAATTGTGAACAAAACAATAATAAATGGTTATATAGATATCTGTCCTGTCAAGATTCTCAAGCTTTGCATAAAAGCGGTGCCTAAACTATATTAAGCAGCGTCAGTAGCTTAGCGTTTTTAAGATGCTCTAGCGAACCACCCCGGCTTCACATGGGTGCAATGTATTATACATATAAACCTTTCTCTTGAATCACTCTATCTAGTTAAAAAAAACCGCATCAAGATCCGTTTGGTAGTTTTAAAGATCTAAGCATACATAGGGACAGACAGACAGGACTTTAACTTCAAATTGGCCGCTTCATAGCGTTTATCTTCTGATTTGCTAAAAAATGTACTCCTTCATTATATTCACTTATCAAACCATTTTTGTATACATTTTTCACTCACTTAAAACACACGAAATGCTACTCCGTACAGGTATTTCGCGATCGTTCACCCGCAAGCTGCACGAATGGGAGAAGTCCAGGGGAATCGCCCCAGAGGCCTCCACCTCCGCTTTGCTCAGGGCTGCTCGGGCCCGCAACAAAACCCCCGCCACCCCACTCACGAGGACCCAGTCCGACGGCAGTGTGGCCCCATCAGCGGGCACTGCGCGGCGGCACGGCTCCAGCCTCAGCGTGAACGACGTCGACGATTTCGAGTCTGAATACGACAGGGAACACTCGGTGAGTGTGCAATGGAAATAAACGTCCTTCCCTGTATTATTAAGCATCCTGTTGTCAAAGTCAAAGTCAAAGGTCCGGTTTCTGAAACCCTGGTCATCTTAGAAGTTAACTAATCCACTGTTAAATGTATTTTCAAATGTTATTTGAGTTACCGAAAGGATCATTCTGATCATTAAGAAGATCATTCTGGTCAAATCAGAGAGTTTAACCATACTTTTGGCAACTAAAATGAAATTTGAAAAGCCTTTTACTATTAACATCTACGATTATCAGTGTTTCATAAACCGGGCGAAAGTGTCTAATATAGGCTTAACTTATACTCTTATTGAACGTCAACAAAAAAGCTACCACTGGTTCACTAAACTAGACCTGAACAGGAGAGGACCGGCAAGAAACTCTGCGGTCTTGTTCTTTTCGTTATTTTTTTTTGTGATGCATTTATACAAACTTATTTAGCTATAAAATCAGCAGCAGCAGCCAGGGGTCTTGCAAGTGCAGAGCAAGAGTCATTTCCACAAATCCTTGTCCTCAATGTAATCTTGGGCATTATAGTAGACCCTTGCCATTAAGGTAGTTTTTAACAGTGGGTAATCGTTTTTTGATACTGCCCTCCAGCTTCTAATTCAGCAAACGCCTATTCACTCTCATACTATGAAATCCCTCGCGTTTTATTCGACTGAGAAGAGTTGGCAGATTATTTTATCCTTTTGCTTAAGACTTCCATCACAATAAATTTCAGCCGGATGGCGTAGAGGACGTCGATGGCGACCACACCCGTGGGGCGGTTTTAGTAGAAGTGGAGGCAGAGGAAGTGTGTACCGCCGCCCCACTGATGGCGGTCTCTCCGCGCCACACCCCCCAGAAACCCGTCTACACGTACGGCCAAGCGGAGGCGAGGTTGCTTTGCGAAACGAGCTCCGCTGTCACGGGAACTGCCGTTCTCCAACCGAATGGTTCTGGTGAGGATATACCTCTTTCGAATAATAAATCCCTGACAAAATTGCGAGACTTCTTATGAATCTTTGAAATTAACTCAAAGGAGAAATTTTATCTTTTTGATATTGACACTGAAAATTTTTATAGATACACTACATACTTTTTAATGGCGTGATAATATAAAATATGCATAATTTATTCTACAAAAATAATAAAATTTCAGTAGTCATTCTTTCAGATTCACGCAGTGTAAAGAACAAAGAACAGTCTGCAAAGTACAAATCCTCCCGTGAACAGGTAGATTATTTTATTCCCTTTCGAATATAATAGTAGTAATTTACTTATTTATAATGATGCGTAAATTTCTATTTAATAAAACTGTATCTACGGATTTCATTACTCTTAAATTATATTTAATCTCGAAACACTTCGTAAACTTAACAGCAATTAGCAAGTTATTGACGGAAATTACTAAAATTTATTTTTCTCTCGATAGAATTCGGCAAAATTGTTCCTGTTAACATCAACCATTTGCATCTTAAAACAATAAACTGTTTTCATTTTAGTCAAGAACGACAGAAAAGACTACTCGGAGAAGAATCAGTCAACAACCGAGCATTGAAGAAGACGCGATGTTCATAAGGAAAACTATAGAAGAAATTGAGAGAGGAAGTTCCAACAGGTTTAAAGATCATGCAACGGCGTCAGAAGCAGAAAACAAAGACGTGACGACAACAAACAAAGAATGTGATATGAGAGTTACTCAGCAAGATGACCACTCAAAGGAAATCAAAAGCGTTAAAGAATGTAATGAAGAATCAAAGGACGACTCAAAACGTAGAGACGCTGAGAAAATTAATGGCAAGAAAAAAATAAAATCCAGAGCAAGATTAGAGAGAGAACAATCAAAGCCATCTGAAAGTGACACAGAACAAGATGTTGATACTATCACTGTCGAAATTCCCAGAAGGCGGAAAAGGATGAAACGTCCTTCTGAGAGACCAAGAAGTCCTCCGACATCGTTACACTCAGATTCAGAAGGGGAGGTAGTGCAATATTTATTATTGTTTATTTCTTTAAAGTTTTCTAACAGATTTTGGTTATGATTTTAGTTACGGCACTATTTCGTACGTTTTCATTTTATTTACAAAACATAAATTCTAATTACAGAATAATGAAAGATAGTTATGAAATACTAGCTTTACGCCCGCGGCTCCCTTAAATAAACATCTTTTTTTTAATAAAAATCATCCTATATACTTTTTATTACCTTCTCCACCCGGTTGAGTAGTTTTGGCGTGAAAGCGTAGCAAAGAAACTTACATGCACATTTATAATATTAGTAGGGATGTGATAAATTTGTAACGATTCCAGGTATTTGTCCTTAAGCTCAAAGCGTCGGAACGCAGGGAAAAGTCACCGGAGGTGATTGTGAAGACGACCCGAAAAATTTTCTCGCCGGTGGTACGAAGTGGGGAATCGGTACCCAGAGCTGTGATACCGGTAGACGTTGACGATCTTGCGGGCGTCAGGCCAGCGATGGAGAGAATGAGCCAGCGCGCTCATGATTTCAAGAAGAGAGCCGAACCCCCTACTAACCCCGATAAGCGTAAAAAGCCCGAACTTAATGCGCGCTCTAAGAGTTCTGGCGACCTTCAAGATGCCGACGACCAAAGACCGAAGACGCGACCACCCCTCCCCACGTCACCTTCTTCCCAAAGGAAGCCGCTGCAAAAAGAGACAGCGCCGTCCATTCGAATTATGATACAGCGTTACAATAAAAAAATAAATGAAGAAGGTAAAGCGAATGATCTTTATTACTGTTATTTCATGATAGTTTCTACGTTTAGGTACAAGCTAGTTGAATCACTAAGAAATTTGTTCAAAGGGATAAAGGGATTGTCTGTTGATTCTCAGTACATATTTGAAAATGTAATGTTCATAAAATTAAGGAAGAATTTTCAAGTCAGAGTAATGTGCATGATATAAATATTAGTAACAAACATAAATTGATATAAATCTAATAAATCCATAAAACAGTATATAAACAACGTTGTGTCGAAGGCTATTATAATATTAATGATTATTTAAATGATAACACACTCTGCTAATTAATTGATCGCTCCAGGCTCTTTCAATCGGACTTTTTATTTTGTATTTAATATATTGAGGTCACACGATATAAAACCATGTTCACACTATCAAAAAATGGTAAAAAAAAACGTGTCGCGCTGATTTTCTTTCGTCGGTTCATCTCAGGTTTTCTTTTCGGAACCGATAGTAGTCTTTTGACGATCAATAAATGAATGTAATGCTCCTATTTTGTATAAAGATATCTGAATTTGAACAATGAATGTAATAATTCGCATCTACGTTGAGGAACACTGTTCAAGCAAAATCAGGAAAGATTTATAATTGTAAGTAGTTATCAACGCCAGTTGTTCGTTATAAACCCTCATAACAGGAGCTGTGTCAGGCGGCAGCAGTGGCGCATCATCACCGCCCTGGCGTTCACCAAGTGCAGAGAGACGGAGACCGCCTGATATGCCTGTTGGGATCAATATAAGGTATAGTAAATTATGAATAGGCGAGCCCAACTAGCAATGTCAGGTCCAATCCAATAATTATATGATTTGTGGATTTTTATGGTAAAACTCATTACATTAGTAGTTTACAAGTTAATAATTTGATTAAAACATTATAGGGGATGCCAGATTTACCAGTCTTCTCTTTGAGGCATTGGATATCAATGGGGTAGAGCCTATAGCAAACACTGATATATACCCAAAATTCACACATATCCAAACTCACTCATACCCAACACTCACATGCGGCCAATATACACCTAAACCCAATAAACACACTTCTGCTCTTCCTAATTTCATATCTTTTTATTATTTTAGATAACTCACCAACTGTATTGAATTAAACATATCGAACTGTTACAATGTAGTTCCAATTAATAAAAAAAAACGATCCTAATACCAGCACCAGCGGTCCACAACCATAAATGTAATTCGTCACACAGCATGGCATAAGATTTAGTTTTGTACTTGATTTGTAGTGAGAAATATACGATTATTATTATGTGGTTCATTTATTTCTCTCAGGTATGACCTGGTGATATTAAGTTAACACGGGTTTTAACCAAGTGTTAACTTAAATTTGGGTGGTTGGTAACCTAAATTGTGGGGATGAATATTCGTTATCAGAGCTAAGTTGAAGAAATTTTCGAACGATGCGGCACGTGTTAAGTATGGCAGCTTTTTGTAAAGTTATGTATGTGTGTTTAGGTAGGTCTAGTAATTTAAGAGAGTTATGCAAGGCTTTAGGTATAACGCCCGTAGTGGATAAGATTATAGGTACTATAGAAACTCTGTCCAATTTCCAGACTCTTCTTATCTCTTCCTGTAATTCGGTGTATTTTTTTTTCTTTTTTTTTCGGTGATGGTTGATTGTATGTTGTTTGTGTTTGGGACACCTATGTCTATGATGTATGCATGTTTACTTATTTTGTCTACGAGCGTGATGTCTGGGCGGTTATTGTGGATTGTGTGATCAGTAAGAATGGTGCGGTCAAAGTACAGTTTATGAGTTGGACTTTCCAGCACATTTTGAGGGTTGTATTTGTAGTATGGTGTGGTTCTATCTTTGATGAGGTCGTGTTTAATTGCAAGTTTTTATTATTATTATTATTATTATTATATATGATAAACGTCAAAAGAAAAATTTTACACATTGAAAAAAATAACCACTTACATGTGAACGACACCACCTCACAAAATTTTCGCAGAGCAAACGTCACCATTAAAAATCATACCTCTCCAGGCAGTATTCCCTTTCAGAAATAACCCATTCCTTGAAAGGGAGGTGCAGAAGTCGGCGAGCGCCTGCCAACTCTCCAGACGGGACCAGACTTCGGCCGAAAAGCGACTGACGCCAACCGCCAAATGTCTAGAAGGCGTGCTGAAGTCGCACAGCGCTAATGCATTACTACCTGAACAGGAAGATCAATCGTCACCGCCTGTGCAGAAGAAAGAAGACAGTCGGGAAACTATACGATTCGCAGCCGCAAGCACAGACACTGTGGTCCCTGCACCCATTGGCACTGCTAATGAAAAGCAATCGAACCCCGAACCACATCCCGTATTAAGGCAACTGTCAGATACCTTAGTGCCAAGCTTATCCCGGTTTATAGATAATACTGGCATTTACGAGAGATCGTTCTCGACTGTGGAAGCTCCGGCCTACTCAGTGGATACGGGCTCTGTAACATCAACCCTTTCGGAGCGAGCGGCTAGGATCCGGGCTGCGAGGGAGAGATTCCTCGCGTCCCCACCACCGATGAGAAGGGAGGGAACGAGTTCCGCCAGTGACTTGAGGCCTGGTGATCGGTAGGTACATTGTACTAGCCGATACTTATCATATCTACAATCATTAAAATTTGTAGAAAAAAGTACGAAGTTTTGAATCGATTCCCACAGCGGCTAGAAACTTTTCGTACTTTTTTCTAAAAATATTAATGTTTCATCTTAAGTGCAGATATTAGCAGTAGAAAATTAAAATATCTACATTCAATTTGTTTCGACTATGTTACAGTACTGTGTTAAACTATTGCTATTTCTTTTTAGTATTTCAGTAATATTGTAATCAGAGAAATCGATTAATATTGGTAATATTTAAAGATATCGTGCTAGATAGATAAATCAAATCAATTGTTGAATTAGATCTCAATCTTCTACAAACCTTTATTAAGGACATATCCTACAATTACGAAACTCAATAAGAATTTTTTTTGTAGTACAAGCCGCATCAGCTGTGAGAGCGACGTTACGGAGACGCAGAGCTCCAGTGTCCAGGAACAAAGCTTGGGCCGTAGTGCCTCTACCGGCATGGTTAACGTGGAACGAGAGGCTTGGCAAAGGGTCGCTGAAGGTGAGCTGATAGAATCTCTCTCTGTTAGATGTTTTCACTCGCATGGAAGTTGTGTTGTTGTAGTGTAGTTTAAGGTGGCCGGGGACCACAATATTGAAAGGCGTTAACGCGTTTGCAAATGTCAATGGGCGGCGGTTATCACTTAAAAACAGGTGAACCGTCAGGTCGCTCACCACAAAAGTTCTACTATTGCCATGGCTAAATCGAATGTGTTATACACGCGTCAGATTTGTTTAGGTTATGATAAATAATTGTCAATTTTGTACGCAGTGTCCCGCAGGGAGCGTCCTAGGTCCCGCTTTAGTTTGGCCCGACTCGCGGCCAAACTACGCCGCAAGGAAGACGGCGCAGTATCGCGCCTCTGCCGACAAAGCCTCCTCGTCCAGTTAAGAAATAAGCAGTGAATAAACTTTAGCATTTAGAGGCTCTTTAATTTACTCATACCTTCAATCATCATTATTTCAGCCTGTTTGAGTCCACTGCTGATCTTCATGGCAGAGCAAATTATTAGACTTTTATTCAGGCTCTTTAATTTAATATTTATAGCGTATATACACATATACGCAATATATACAGCGGGTCTTTACATTCGCGACAATAAATTAACACACATATAGAGGATAACTTTTTAAAATTGTATTAAACATTTACATTCTTTAAACTATTTACAGTTATTAAATATTCTAAAAAAAAGAATTTTAGAACATCCTTACGTATAAAACTTTAACGTAAAGTTCATTTTAAAGGTCACAAAGCATATGAATGGGTTGAATGAATTTGTGGCGACTCATTTGCTACTGTGTAGCACCGCTCTTATCTTTTACACCCTTACTCTCATCGGTCTAGCATTACCCTATTATTGACAAATTTCTATAGCAACGAGTGACAATAAAAGATGATGTTTTTCTCAACACGGCTTGTTCTTTGTACTGCATCTTAATTATTCCCTCCTGCCGGCTCCCAAAAATTTAAAAGAGACAAAACATACTGTTAGAAGGAGAGGCTTGTAATGCGACGCTGTGGCGCGATGTGTATAGAATGTTACAAATTTTGTTTCTTTTTTACTTAATTAGTTTGTTTGAAAAATATTTTTTTTTTAATTATGGATTTTGTTTAACGTTAATATTTTTTAATGATTATTGGCAAGTAGCGTTAGACGTGTGTTCATTTAAGACCCATTTACACGGTGCAAGTTTCTTGCCTGTTGTATACAATTAAATTGAAGCAATAAATGAGTTGCATGGTCTAAACAACAAATGGTCTAACAAATTATTGCGCGCAATTTATTGCATTCAATTATTGCTCTTGTATGTACAAGAAAATGGCATCGTGTAAATGGGCCTTTATTGTCGCGGTAGTAACGACATGCTGTATATAGATATAACAGATTTTGATCAACAACTTTATATTATTAGCAACGAGAACACAGGTGACAAATATGTAATGTAAATAGTAAAGAACAATCCTCGCTTTAGTAACTTTATTGCGTTAATATCCATTAAATAGATGTGATGATGACAATATTTAGTGTAAATTCAAGAAATCATAAATATTTAAGAAAATAAGGGACGGGGTTGAAATTAAATAAAATATCGTGAAGATTAAATTTATTTTCAAATTTAATTTCGCTCCACAGAGTCGCCACAGGCGGCCGCGGCGGTGTGGCCACATTCAATACACTTGGTAACAATAATTACCGTATCAAAATGGGAAGTTGGAACTAATAATAATTTTATTATCAAAACACTACGTTTCAGTAATTTTATTAGTAATAATAATAATAAGACTCAAGAGAACACTTACAAACAACGTTAATGGGTAATTTGGTTGAGGTAGATTCAATTATAATTTATCAACTAATTCAAATGTTTTGTGGGAACATGAAAATCGAAAGTATTTAAAGCGAACGGGTATGAAATTTAGTGAGGGCAACATATTTTGGTCAAACCCTAACGACGTCTATACATAACAACTTCCGCAGTAGTTGATGCGAATGATTTTATAAGGTAAAACTACGATCACGCTATCCGTATGGACAATCCCCATGTCCCCACAACCCGTTTCAAGAGGTCCTTAAACTTTAAACATCAGAAAACTGGAATATTTCGACTCCTTGTCCAAGAAACGTTCTAATAACTGTAGAAGTACAAACGGAATGATATAAAAGGTAACAATGGAAACACGCAAAGTATAAAATGAAACGAGAAAATAAAATTACAAATGAAACAATTAAAAACGGTAAATTGACAAAACATAATGTACAGAACATTTTATATCATTAACATTTATTTACGTCTTGCTTTAATAAAATTAATGTAATGAAGAACATTTTCTGACATCGTTTCATTTTAGTGTACTGGTAGGAAAATGTCCATCCAAGAATATTACGCATAGGTGCGTAATATTCTTTATCACCCAAAACCATACAAATTATTAACACTTTTAAACACTAATTATTAGTTTTGACAAAAGAACGGAACTTAACTGCTCGGAAAAACGACAGCGACGATTATTTTAAGTTCGAAAACTAAAGCACACCGATATAAATAAACGATAAAGGAAACAAACATAAATCAAACGAAAGCTACGATAAAAGTATACGAAAATAGAAAACAATAACCATCGGAAAAGCGTAAGAATCGAAATATTCCGGCTCACGCTATATAATACGCTAATTCAACATGGCGGCACAATGGTGCAATGGCCGACCACGTTGGAACCAACTAGCGGCGGATGTGAGCGCAGCAGCTGCCTAGAATAAAGGCGTTATGGAGGGATTCGGCTGTTCCCGGCTACGCCCAATCGCGTCTCTTCCCGGCGCGGGTAACTCGACGAGATTCACAGATTCATAAAATGTGAAATTAAGACTCGATTTTAAAATTTTTATAGTGCTAATCTCTGCACTTAAGATTGAACATTAAAATTTGTAGAAAAAGTACGAAAAGATTGTCGCCGCTGTGGGAATCGAACCCACGTCTTGCTTCTTAGAATTTCTAAGAAGCAATGGCGACATCTCTCGTTCGAATTATCGTTGTAAAACGATATTCGAAATTGTTTGTATGCTGGAAAGGAAAACAATGGATGCGCCAAGCATTGCTTCAAATGCTAAAAAAAACAATGTAGATAAAAGACGTTAAGATTTTCGCCCGTGTGGCAATCAGCCGTTTAGCATAGTGGCTAGAGCGTCAGGCCGCGAATGCCGAAGACGTAGGTTCGATTCCCACAACGGCGACAATCTTTTCGTACTTTTTCTACAAATTTTAATGAGACTCGATTGTCTTAATTCACATTTTATGGCCCAAGTGACCCGCGCCGCCCAACAACGCGTGCAAAATCGCACGGATCGCGCACCGACTGCAAATTAAAACGATTACAGTGTGACCGCAGAACCAACCACTCCGTCCCTTTCTATACGGCAACGCGCGAAAGGAACCGCATATAAACAGTCTCGGTACACGTAACATTAAATTTGGACGCTTCGTATGCTAAGTACATGCTAGACTAAGGTCACAAGATTTTGGGCTTTGTGTCGCGGGTGACAAAATGAAAATTTATAAAATATAGTACTATGGTGAGTGCTAAAGCATAAAATCTGCATACGATTTTTTGACACGTGAAACGTTAAAACGGCCGCGCATACAATTAAATTCCTCATATCATATTAATGAAATATAAATGTAGATTTATATAAAGCAAGAATAATTCGTCTTGGATCCGTAAACATCCAAATAAAAACCTTCAGACATTAAAGTATTTTTAAACAGATGTATTATTTTTTTTAGTTTTAATCGACAAACATAATTAGGCCTGGAAGAGCTAGCAAAATACAGGTGTTTAACAATACGTAGAACAGATAATCAAATAAAAAGTAAAACCAAATCAACTGTTGCAGCCGATTACGGAATGTCGTGTTACGAAATGTGACTATTGATATTTTATAATGGAATGGAGTAGGTACCCGTTTTGTATCCATATCACCTCAAGGTCGGATGGCGCTGTTCACTACAATTTTATTGTTGGCTGATAAAATGGCACTTACGTATTAACGCCACCGCAGTAGAACTAGTTGCGCCTATACGCCAATAGAGTGCAATCTTGTTGTTCGCACGTTTATAGTTGGGTTGCAAGATTCAACTGTTGACTTTTCAGTGTTATTAGTTTATATTTCGCCAACACAATATTAACGCTTTATTTTTTACGTTATGGCAATATTATAACAAAAGTTCACGAAACATTATTCGAATTTGGCGAACTTTAACAATAAAACTGACCAAATTGCAACACCTTATTCGTTGGTATAATAAAAGACTTAAAGGCAGTATAGATAAAATGATTTCCCTAACACTACTCGTAAGGGAACAGCGCCATCTATCGCCGAGGCAGATAAACATTATCAGACTTACGTCGTAAACAACGCATACAAATAATATAAAAAACATTGCGAAACTAGATTCAAAACGATCCGAGGCACGTGCGTCAGGCTTTATTCGTTACATATCTTTCACTCCTTCAGGACGGACAAGCCATTTTGTTTTTATATATATGGTGCTGAAATCTGTACACATTATAATTTGTAAAATCAATATCGCCGTTACAACAAAACTGTATGTTATCTTAAAACTTACAATATATATTTCAGATTAATTACGTGACCCGTTTATCTGGTTGGAAAAAATCAAGATTTAAGAAGTCATCTTAACTCTTTTAAATTGTGTCTGTAAAGGTGATAGCGGAAAGATATAACCACGATTGCATCTATTGTATTAGATATTGTATTGACTCTGTTCGACAAAATAAATCGCTTACCTTAAAATACACATCTCGGAAATTAATAATATAAAGAATTTAAAGTGTTATTTGAGAATTCATTTCACAAAATATTTTATTCTGTGTAAAGTTGTTCCAAACGAATTATTTCTATAAGTCAAGCTTTTATCGTAAAGGCATTGTATAAGCCATAAAACAAACTCACACTGATAGCTGAATCAAATATAACCTTGAAAACATGGTTCAATTGAACGTGGTTGATTTATTCGTGGAAATAAAACTGACACAATATATGAAACATCTTATCGTACATGGAACCGTTTAACTCATAACCATTAGCTGACACCCATAGGAAAGGGCCACATTAAACGACCTCCAATGGTAGATTAAGAATCTCGTAACTTCATTTAGTTTGTAAAGTGTAGGTTCTACAAAATTAAGGCACACAAAAATACCAATAAATATATAAATTGTTTCAATCGAGAAACGGGTCACGTACCTGTACAGAACAATATATTTGAACATCTTAATTATGTATTTACGGCATTAGATATTAGTCTATCAACTACTTTGTTGTTACCATCATGGTTATAACGGAGACAAGCCAATAAGTGGAATTGTAAATATGAAAACATAAATACTTTAGTAACTTCATGCGGATTGTAAATCCCAACAAATAAAAAAAAAACGTTACACATTTTATCTGTGTAAATCAGACGTAACCAACAGATATCGTAAATTACGAACGTAATGTTAATAAGGAAAATGCTTTGCAAACCAGTTGGCATATCCACACTTTCGTTTTCGTATAGCCGTTTGCAATTGTACTATCTCGTATAACTATTACTCTATTACATATTATTAGGATGAATATAATTATGCAATAATAAATTACACAAAAAATAATTAAATAACGATTGTACGCTGTTCAGGTGTTTGTCATTAATGCACAATTAAAACTGAATATACATTTTGGCATAACGAAGTTACGGAGATTGGGTAAGATTAAGTCAACGAAATTGCTCTTGCACATAATACTATAAATAATACGGTGCAATGAAATAAATAGAGTAAAAAAACACAACCCCAAATGAACGCAAACAAGTTAACCCATATACACGAAAAAACGTTCTAAGGACATTTAAAAAAAACGCAATTGTAAGCGAAAAAAAAATAACACAGTAGAAAACGTCTTCTCACCACACCTTTGTTGATGCCCGTAAAGGTTATTCGGTTAGTGACAAAGAAAACTTGTTAAATGTACACACGTTTATATAAACTACAACTAAGGTACATCTCGAATAATTTAACCTTATTAATAACCTTGTATCAATGTTGCCATGCAAAATAATTATAAACCTTATTTTATTGAACTCCATCCCCTAACAGTAACAGAGTTTGAAAGATATAATTAATAAAATGGAAAATTACTAACTGTAAGGCATCGCTTTTGCGATCTTTAATCATTCGGTTTAAAGATCAAAAGGGATGCGAAACGATTCAATGAACATCAACAGACTGTTAAAAGAAATAACAGACTGTGTTTTAACGTTGAATTTAACGAGAATGCTAATGTACTGCTATTGCTGCCATTATGAATGACTTATAAGGCACTGGCAACATTGAGACGAGGTTTCACAAGTTGCTTATACCGTAAGGTACAGCCAGCCCATCAAGTCAAAGCTCTAAACCCTGTCACAAAAACCTAGCGACGAAGATAATAACTATACACTTTACCAGCTAACTAACGCCTAAGTTAACTTAGTGTAATTGAAGTTTCTCAGGTACTTAGTCGGCGATTTTTTATTTTAATTTATTTTAGTTTTTTTTTTCGTTAATTTTAATTTTAAATCGAGTTAATATAGTTAACCGTTAATATTTACAATGCAACCGGACGCCCTAAACGGACGAAGGGAAAAATACTCTTTATCTCATCGTTAAATAACAGTCATTATATAATATTTGTAAATGTAAACGAGATAAATATTTCATCTTGAATAGTATTTTTTTTTTTTAATTTTTATTTTTGGTGCGTCATGAAAATCTTTAAAAATCTCTCACAATATGATTGCTAGATAATATCTATTAAAATCTGTTAGTACGTGCAACCGCATATTTCGACTGTTTAGAGCGCCCGGTTATAATACGACTTACGATTTATACAAATACATTGTACCTAGGTGCTTCGAGTTATGCTTACGTAAAATCGATAAATTTTGCACGCGTCCGTAATAAATAGCCAGAAACTAAGTGTTGCAAATTAATCGATAGTGGGAATATGGTATTTTCGTTTGCCTATTAAGGGAAAGAGACAAAATCGTAACTCCGAACAATAGTGGACACTTGAAGGGGATGTAAAAACATGAGTTTCTACGAAAAAAAACATAGAATAATGTACATAAAGTACGCAGCACACCCGCTGTACACAGTGCACATTAGAAAGAACGGGCGAAACCGCAGAAACGCAATCCTAACGCTAACAATAAATAATAATAAAAAAAAAATACCAGCTACACGAAAGCGCCGTCTGGTTCTAAATAGAAAATAGAAAACTACACCGGTCACATTAACACCTAAAAGAACCTTACAACGAAGAAAATGAGGTAGATATAATTGTGATATGGAATAAACGATCAACGTACTTGTTTCTCTTTTACAATTAAAAAAAAAACAGGCTTACAACAAAGGTCCGTAGTCACTGGGGGATAAGGTACAAAATAGTCAACGTTCTGATAACTCTCGTAACAGTTACTATCAATAAACTATTACACGCATTTCATATAATATCTGTAGTTCGTTGTCACATCTCTATTCATTACACGTTACGTTTAAATATTAATTTTATTCTTTTTACACAAAAAAAATTACCATTATACTATCTAACCGTTTTCTTAGCTTTTAAGTATCTAACTGGGGCGGGGGAAAACAACATTGCGGAGTCTTTTCAACTGCAATCATAAACTGTAACAGGAATATAATATGAAAAAGAAAACTGTGCTTCAATAAAAAGAAAATCTTTCGTCGCTGCGGTGTGGTGTGTAAATATATAGTTATGTTTGTGTGTCTGAATAAAACATTTTCATAAAAACTGGAATGTTATGTGAAGGTAACTAACTGATTAGCTTCTCAGGCTTTGTCTGTTACGAGGGAACGAATTTGAGAAATAAATACATGTGATATTACCATTTCAACATCGATAAATACTCTCGCTATGTACACGTGTTCTGATAAAACGGTCGTTTGGGCTCCATTTTGGTCTGTATTTTGTACGCTTGATTGCACTAACGGTGAAGTCTACGACTTATCTTCCTTCCGACGTGTTGAGGTTATGTTTATGTCTTCTGAACGTACGCTATGTACACGCCATATTTACAATTTTACACCGACCGGTCCGCGCGAAAACAGCTCTTCTGCTTCACGCAACAAGTGCCATTTTTGAGTGAGACCGTTCCTCGCTCGAGTTGCCATAGTTTCACGACTTGTAGATCTGCCCCTGGGTTTAAACTCGTTCGCGTGAAAACAGCTCCTCTCGCGCAGACAATAAGGGCCATTTGAGCGCGATCCCTCGCACCGTCGGCGCAAAGCCGGCCCTGCGCCGTTCGGTATAGAGTCCAATTCAGCGTAACAGCGGGTGCCTTCCTCGCTCTGTCAGCGCAAAGCCGGCCGTGCGCCGTACGGTATAGAGTCCAATTCAGCGTAACAGCGGGTGCCTTCCTCGCTCTGTCAGCGCAAAGCCGGCCGTGCGCCGCTCGTAATAGAGTCGAGATCGGCGCGGCGGGTGCCGGGGGTCGCCCACCCCCTTGTAGTGCCGGAGTGCCTAGGGAGGCGCCTCAGCCGTTGGGCTGCAGCGGCTGCGGCCGGTGCTCGCAGTTCATGTTGTCGTCGGGCAGCTTGGCGCGCGAGGTGTCGAGCAGCGGCAGCCGCGGGGGAGTCCCGGCCAGCGTCGTCTCGGCGGTCGTGTCGTGCTCGTCGCGCGACACGTCGAACGCCGCGTACAGGGCGCGCTGCGGCTTGCCGTTCGGCGCGAGCGACTGCGCGAGTAAAGCGTTTTTTTTTTTTGCCACATTAGACAACTGATAAACATAGTTGAACATGCTTTTCTTTTGTAAATAAATACATATTACACATAAACGGCGTGTCGTTACAACCGCGACAATAAATGAACACACATATAGAGGATATCTTTTTAAATTCGTATTAAACATTTACATTCTTTGAACATCAATATTTTCCCAGTTATTACATTTACTACACCCTTAATAAAACTCTAACGTAAAGTTCATTTGTAAAGGTCACAAGCATATGAATGGGTTGAATGAATTTAAAAGAGACAAACCCACTGTTAGAAGGAGAGGCTTGAAATGCGACGCTGTGACAACGAATGACAGTCTCTGAATGTATGAATCAATCAGTTGTAATCGTATAAGATGTTACAAATTTTGTTTCTTTTTTACTTATTCTTTATTTAATTATGGTTTTTTTTATGTATAAATTTTTTTATTATTATTGGAAAGTAGCGTTGGACGTGTGTTCATTTAGTATCGCGATTGTAATGACACACTGTATAAATACCCAGACACTGGAAAATCGCTATGTTCATCACGCAATATTTTTCCAATAGTGGGTATCGAACCCACACCCTCTGACGTAAGAGGCAGATACACTACCAACTACGCCATTCTAGTCGTCATTAATTGTGGTTGGGCCAATGGACAGGTTTTTTTTAATGTGAAAAGTTGTCAAACGAGCAGACGGTTCACCTGATGGTAAGTGAATACGCCCATGGACATCTGCTACACCCGAGGGTTGGAGGTGCGTTGACCTTTTGAAAATTGGGCCGGTCCGTCCGGATGAGTACCGGGACCTCACAGAATCGGCGTGAAGTGAAAGCGTCACAGTTCTGCGTTTCGTCTGGTGAGTGAGGTAGCCGGGGCCGACTCTATTAAAACGCAGCAGCGCTTTTTTTTTTTTTAAAAAACTTTCTCCTTCTTTAGGATATCATTATCCTATGTTGTAAGAACACTTTACAAACACAAATTCCACGGGGAGAACACCCAGATGCAAAGTAAACATCTGTGGAATATAAAATAAATAGATAATTTATACATATACAGTCACTCTTTAACTCCGTGGAGCAGTTGCTAAGATATCGGCTTCTGCGCCGGGGGCCGTGAGTTCGATTCCCACACGGGCACGGAACAATTATTTGTGTGACCCACAAACAGTTGTTTTTTTTTTAATCTGGACGTTTGTCCGCGTGAAATTTATGTTCGCAAGACGTCCTTGATATTAGACGGATAATTTTATTCTAAAAATAAGGGCAATGATTGGGAAAAGAAAAAACGAATTGAACTTTTCAAGTCTTCCTGCGTGTACGTAACTATGTTCGGACGTAATCGTGTGAATTCGTGTGTGTGCGTTTGCGTGTGTCCTATGTTGCTAAAGTTTCAATTGGATATACGTCTCCTTGCATGCACGTGTGTACGTGCCATCGTGTGCGTGTGCGTGCGTTCGCTTGCGTCATGCGTTGATAAACTTTCAAATGGAATCAAGCGTTTATGTGTGTACGTGCGGACGTGTGCGTGCGTGTGCGTGCGCGGACTCACGTGCGCGTGTGCGTGGGCCGGATGTCCGTTGAGCAGCGGCTCGCCGCAGGCGCCCCCGTTGGCCAGCCGCCCGCCCACGCCACCCGCCCGCCCCTCCTGCCCAGTCACGTGATAGGCTTACCATTGCGCAATGAACGACAGACACACCTATTAAGTATCGCCAGTTGTCTTGTTTGTGTGTTGTTCGCGCGCTAGCAAATTCGCTTCTTAATAACATGAGAACTAAGAAAAATTACTTCAAAAATGAGAAATTATACGACGTTAGTTAATTGACGGTTTGTTCAAACTTTGTTTATACTCTAAAGAAATAACGAAGCAGCCCCGTCGGACAACATTTAATTCTGTATTATAACGATCTTCAACTCAATAAAAGTATATTAAAGTTTCAATTTGTTTGGATTTCAATATGTCCCTATGAGGCACGTGTAGTATTTTTTTTAGTTTCACCAGATAAACTCTCAAAACATTCTTCTGTGGTATGCCTTATATATGCCCAGCTGCAGCATCGGTGTGTTTTCAAAAACACTGCTTACCTTTAAGCAATGGTGTCCGGATAGAAACTTCTAATTTACGGAGGAAATTCTCAAGTCATGGCGGTTTCTCAGTCAATCTGACCGAGTCTTATCACAGTAGAACGATTGAGTTTTTATCAAAATTAATTGAGTTTTTATAAACTATTTTAATTCAAACACACAATGTGATCATTGCAATATAAGTAAATGTTAGCAACTGTTTTCTTTCTCTCTTTTTCTCCGTATGTCTTTCTTTCTCTGTTACACAACTTGATATCAATGTAAGTTTAATGCTACCGACCTTCAATTCTGAGCCGTCTTCATCGCTGCCTTCAGTGGGTGACTGGTTCCTTCTGCGGGTTCTGGGAATGACACATTACATTTCTATCTCATTCTAACTCGCCTATACAGAAAAGGACCGGGCTATTTTCTTATTACCAAGTATTATATTACTACATGTATGAAATACATAATATTGAAAGTTAAAAATACGCAACGGATATACGAATACGCCGAAGCCAATACCTTGGCAACTGAGCCACGGCATACGGCAACTATCTATAAGGCAACTGCACCACAGATATACATAAAATATGTTTATAAGTTATAGCCTATGTCTTATTCTGATGTATAAGCTATATTATTGTAAAGTTTCATTAAAATCTATTCAGTACTATTTGCGTTAAAGAGTAACAAACATCCATCCACACATACAAACTTTCACATTTATAATATTAGTAAGAATACAGTGCACCCGTGCGAAGCCGGGGCGGGGCGCTAGTGATAGGACATTAACTGACCTCGCAGGTGAGCGATTCTTGTTGTATTTTCTCCAAACGCATGCGGCAACGAAAGACAAGGCGCATAGCACGGCGACGCCCACGCCGACGCCCACCGCTGGACATACACACATATTTGAAACGGCCGAACGGAAAGATTTCGTTCGTTGCATAGATTAGCAGTGTAGAACATAGTGTAGCAGAAAAGATACATGAAATGCATATTAAATGAAACTAGTTTAGCGGATTTTATCACGTTTTTAACCGACTTCAAAAAAGAAGGAGGTTTCTCAATTCGACTGTATATATTATTCGTCGTTTATCAACAGACTTTGATGATTCTTTTTTTTGTTGGAAAGGAGATATCCCAAGAGTGGTACCATGGAAGCCTGATCTGATGATGGCATTTCAAACAAATCGAGGGCAATCCTCAAATGTTAGGTGTTCACAATGTTTTTAGTTTCCTGTTTGATGTCGGTTCCTTTTTGTTAAAAATTATTATTTTAATTCTATTTGCCGACGTTTCGTTAAACGTTAAAAAGCCATTTTAGTTTTGCTATCGGTCGCAATGGCGACACCACGAAGTCGGCGTCGCCCTTAGGTGTTGCGCCCCGTAAAAATTCACTCTCATCAGTATTACAAAACGGACCAAAGAAATTCAACTTTAAAGGTTTGATATTTGTCGGTGTCGTGCCGAAGTGGTACTCACTCAAGTACATATTGTAGTTGTCGGTGGGTCGGGGCGGTATGGTGAGCACCTGGTTGGGCTTCCCGGGCCCCGGGATGGTCACCATCACGTACACCGGCAGCGCAGGGTCCAGGTTCTCCAGCTGCGGACGAACACGCTTAACGTCAGGCATGTTCAAGGTTTTCCTTGTGAGAGAGTGGCAAACGAGCTGGCGGTTCACCTGATGTTAAGTCATTCGCCATCCATGGACATTTACAACACGCGTAGGGTTGCAAATGCGTTGCCACCTTTTAATAAAGTGGGCCCCGGCTACCTCACTCAACAGACGAAACGCAGAAGTGAAACACTTCCACCTCACGCCGTTCTTCAGTGAGGTCGTGTTACTCACCCGGGCCGACCTGCCCATTCGTGCAACAGCGAACGCTGTTGCGTGGCCCTACCACAGTCTAGTGGGCTTCGTGGTGGTTCAGAGGACGTAGGGCTCTGTTTCGAGGGTTGAATGGAAACCAAGTAGTTAACGGCAAACGATTTGAGCAAGAATCGGCATCGGCGGCAGTGAGGGGATCGAATAATCGACCTCTGTTCAAACGAACGCATGTTTCAACATTTATACCTTTATTTAAGATTTAGAGGTTTTATACTTTTATAGTGCTAATCACCTCACTTGAGACGAAATGTTAAAATATGTAGAAAAACGGTCGATAAGGTTGCAATCTCGCCCAGGCGCTTTAACCACTAAGCTCAACGGCCGATTGTTACGCCGACGAAAAACTTGTCCATTTATTTTTGAACAAAATTTAATTAACCTTTTATTTTTATTGTTAGCCTCTGTACTCAATCCATCAATCCGCAGTGTCTTCTTACCATCTGCATAAAAAGCTTTTGCCCAGCAGTGGGACATGGTGCCGTGATAGCTCAGTGTCCGAGTGCTCGCCTTTAATTACTTTTACTCGAGCAACCCGAGTTCGGTCCTCGGTGCCGGCTTCAACCAAATTGTTAATGTCAAGTGCCGATTCATCACGTGCTCGGCAATTTTCGAAGCAATAACAATTTTTTTTTATATATATGGAACTGACTAGCGCTTGACTGCCATCCCACCTGATGGTATGTGGCGATGCAGCCGTGGATGGTAAGCGCGCTAGCTCAGTAAAAGAATGATGAATATGTGAAGTCCGCCAATCCGCAGCGGGGCCGCGTGGCAGACTATGCCCTGATACCCTCCGTACAGAGGAGGCCTCTGCCCGGCAGCGGGACGTGTTACCTCGGCCTGGGGCCCGGCCACGGCCAGGCTGGCCCAGTGCTCGACGGGGCGCGTGATGTTCTGGGCGAAGCGCACCGTCCTGGGCCCGGCGCCCCGCCACCACACTCGCACCCCCGACCCGGTGTAGGCGTAGCTCAGGTCCTTCGCCTCTGCGGACGCACGCATCAATACATTTAGTACACCCGCTACTTGTGGTACCGACTCTGCTAGATCCATACTTCTGTATCAGCGGCGTGCACAGGGTTGGATAAGTGACCTTTGACTCAAACAACAAACAAGTCCATTTTCAACAGACTTCAAAAAGTAGGAAGTTCTCAATTCGACTGTATATTTTTTTTTTATTATTTTATATCATTTGAAACATTTTTTTATTAACAAAAAACAAAACCGACTTCAAATATCTCGCCCTGTATTCGTTTTATAATTGATTTTCAGGAGTTTCAGGAGTTTCCGAAGTATCTCCGGAGTCCAAAATCCAAACCAATGAAATTAATATGGGACCACATGGGAAGCACCAGGTTTCCAAAAAAAAAAAAGGAATCATCCAAATCTTGATTTAAATAACTCGAGGCAGAGGTGGCGTACCCAAGTCCTTGAGCTGCGCGGGGATGGTGAGGATGCGGCTGTGGCCGAGGGGCTCGTGGCCGGTCACCATCACGTAGGTCTGCTCCGTGGGCTCTATTCCGGTGATCTGGCACAGGAGACGGTCCAAATATTTATGTATAGGCATGAGTAGGTAACACGAGGGGCGAGTGGGCGAAGCGAGTGAAAGCGGTGAGTTAGGGAGTTGAATAAGAGAAGTGTGAGAGAGAGAGAGAGGTTGATCAATGACGAAGGTGGCGAGAGAGGTAAGAGGTGAGAGGTGGGAGAGGCTCTCAGCTTCTTACCAGCGCCTCGGTGCCGGCGGTGGAGAGCGCGGCCCACTGGTCGAGGCGAGTGAGAGGCGAAAGAGGCCGTAAGGGACTCACCAGCGCCTCGGTGCCGGCGGTGGAGAGCGCGGCCCACTGCTCGAGGCGAGTGAGAGGCGAAAGAGGCCGTAAGGGACTCACCAGCGCCTCGGTGCCGGCGGTGGAGAGCGCGGCCCACTGCTCGAGGCGAGTGAGAGGCGAAAGAGGCCGTAAGGGACTCACCAGCGCCTCGGTGCCGGCGGTGGAGAGCGCAGCCCACTGCTCGAGGCGAGTGAGAGGCGAAAGAGGCCGTAAGGGACTCACCAGCGCCTCGGTGCCGGCGGTGGAGAGCGCGGCCCACTGCTCGAGGCGAGTGAGAGGCGAAAGAGGCCGTAAGGGACTCACCAGCGCCTCGGTGCCGGCGGTGGAGAGCGCGGCCCACTGCTCGAGGCGAGTGAGAGGCGAAAGAGGCCGTAAGGAACTCACCAGCGCCTCGGTGCCGGCGGTGGAGAGCGCGGCCCACTGCTCGAGGCGAGTGAGAGGCGAAAGAGGCCGTAAGGGACTCACCAGCGCCTCGGTGCCGGCGGTGGAGAGCGCGGCCCACTGCTCGAGGCGAGTGAGAGGCGAAAGAGGCCGTAAGGGACTCACCAGCGCCTCGGTGCCGGCGGTGGAGAGCGCGGCCCACTGCTCGAGGCGAGTGAGAGGCGAAAGAGGCCGTAAGGAACTCACCAGCGCCTCGGTGCCGGCGGTGGAGAGCGCGGCCCACTGCTCGAGGCGAGTGAGAGGCGAAAGAGGCCGTAAGGGACTCACCAGCGCCTCGGTGCCGGCGGTGGAGAGCGCGGCCCACTGCTCGAGGCGAGTGAGAGGCGAAAGAGGCCGTAAGGGACTCACCAGCGCCTCGGTGCCGGCGGTGGAGAGCGCGGCCCACTGCTCGAGGCGAGTGAGAGGCGAAAGAGGCCGTAAGGGACTCACCAGCGCCTCGGTGCCGGCGGTGGAGAGCGCGGCCCACTGCTCGAGGCGAGTGAGAGGCGAAAGAAGCCGTAAGGGACTCACCAGCGCCTCGGTGCCGGCGGTGGAGAGCGCGGCCCACTGCTCGAGGCGAGTGAGAGGCGAAAGAGGCCGTAAGGAACTCACCAGCGCCTCGGTGCCGGCGGTGGAGAGCGCGGCCCACTGCTCGAGGCGAGTGAGAGGCGAAAGAGGCCGTAAGGGACTCACCAGCGCCTCGGTGCCGGCGGTGGAGAGCGCGGCCCACTGCTCGAGGCGAGTGAGAGGCGAAAGAGGCCGTAAGGGACTCACCAGCGCCTCGGTGCCGGCGGTGGAGAGCGCGGCCCACTGCTCGAGGCGAGTGAGAGGCGAAAGAGGCCGTAAGGGACTCACCAGCGCCTCGGTGCCGGCGGTGGAGAGCGCGGCCCACTGCTCGAGGCGAGTGAGAGGCGAAAGAGGCCGTAAGGGACTCACCAGCGCCTCGGTGCCGGCGGTGGAGAGCGCGGCCCACTGCTCGAGGCGAGTGAGAGGCGAAAGAAGCCGTAAGGGACTCACCAGCGCCTCGGTGCCGGCGGTGGAGAGCGCGGCCCACTGCTCGAGGCGAGTGAGAGGCGAAAGAAGCCGTAAGGGACTCACCAGCGCCTCGGTGCCGGCGGTGGAGAGCGCGGCCCACTGCTCGAGGCGAGTGAGAGGCGAAAGAAGCCGTAAGGGACTCACCAGCGCCTCGGTGCCGGCGGTGGAGAGCGCGGCCCACTGCTCGAGGCGAGTGAGAGGCGAAAGAAGCCGTAAGGGACTCACCAGCGCCTCGGTGCCGGCGGTGGAGAGCGCGGCCCACTGCTCGACGGGCAGGCGCAGGCGCGCGCTGTGGCGCACGGTGTAGCGCGCCGCCGCGCCGCGCCACCTCACCACCACCGCAGACAGGTTCACGAACGAGTAGCTCAGCTCGCCCACCTGCCACGGACCTAAGGACCCCCACATCCTCATTCACCAAAGCTTGGACTCTTCACTTTAAGTCTTTAGACCCCGGCCTATTTCATCTGGGATTTATTGTATTTACCTGGAAAAATCTGGCACTAACGTAACTATGTTCGTCGGGGTGGTCATTTCGCTCTTTATATGTGTCCTAAGCTTCATATCGATTCTCGATTTTTATGTGGTCTATATGCACATATACATTCTCTTTTATAACTATAAAACTGATTGGTATGTTTGCCCTTCCAATTTATCGTTCTCTTTCCGATACTTTAAAAGATTTTTTTTATTTACAATCTATTTAACACCAACTTAAAGCAACAGATAATCTTACGTATCATTGAATATATGCAATATATAACATAAACACAGTCTACTTCACGTCTCAAATCCTACCTTCAGGTTGCGTGGTGACCTTCACGGGGTCGCTGAAGGCTCCGCCCACTCCTCGGTCCTGGACCACGGCTTGGATCCGAACCTCGTACTCGCTGCCCGGCTGCAACCCATCCACCGTCGCGCTATTTTTGTAGCTGAGGACATACCAATGTTTTAAACAGTGTGACCAATTAGCAGGAACAACCGATTGTATGATACTCTTAAATTCTAGGGTAAGCTGAAATCCATGTCATTAATACAATTTTTGAATATTGGAAAAGCGATAAGACGGTTAACCTGTTGTAAAGCGATTACCACCCGTGGGAATTTACATCTCTAATATTATTTAATACGTTGCCAACAAAATTGAACCTTAGTTAACTCAGTTACGAGGCCAAACGCAAAAGTATAATAATTCCACTTCACGCCAGTCTTCTTTTAGGGCCTGGTTCTCTGGACGAGATTGTCCATTAGTAATAGAAGTGTACGGCTAAAGGAAATGTTTTTTCGAATTTTATTTCTATTTAGTTTCAATTTTCCAAATAAACCAGTAGTACAAGTTTAAGTCCCTAAATTGGTCCTTCGAGCCGGATATTAACATGCGTAGCACTACCATAGTTCAACGTGAAAGATTTTTTCCCGAACTAGTTGTCTTTGAATGAATGAACATTTTTGTTGTACACCACAAATGAAAGGATACACAAAATTATCAATAGAAGAACAAATTTATGGACAACTTGGTGGCCTTATCGCTTCATAACGATCTTTTACATTCAACCAATGGCGTAAAGTTTACTACATAGGCGCTGCAATAGTAATATACATAAAAAAGTAACAGCTTATACATGTCCCACAGCTGGGACATGTATAAGCTGCTACTTTTGTCTCCTCTGTACAGAGGGTATCAGGGCATAGTCCACCACGAGGCCGCACTGCGGATTGGCGGACTTCACATATCTTCGAAATATTTTTTTTTGTTATTATTTCGAAAATATGCAGGTTTCCTCACGATGTTTTCCTTCTCCGCTGAGCACGTGATAAGTCAGCACTTGAAATTAAAAATTTTATTGGTGCCGGCGCCGGGGATCGAACTCAGGTTGCTCGAGTATATTGAATTAAAGGACACTGAGCCCGGACCGGACACTATCACGGCTCAGTGTCCGGACTAATATACATAATATGCGACTAAATCGAATGCTGTTTCCTCACCTGTCCTGGCACTCCTCGGCACCATCGACCTTCTTGATGCACACCTTGAAGCTGTACCTCTCCGGCGAGGAGTCGGCCTCGTCGCAGCGCCACCTCGCGGTGAAGCCGTGGCTCCCGACTTCCGACACCCTCACCTCCCGGGGCACCGCCGTCACGTCTCTGAAAATTAAACGAGATTAACGAAAGAAGGGAAATGCACGATCCCCTACAAGGAGTTGTAATTTCTGTAACATTGTCCATTATATGCTTTTTCGGCGTATGAAAGAGAGATAAGTTTCCAATGTATATCGAACGTAAGATGATCAAATTAGTAGAAAAATTACGGGACTAAATATAAGTTTAGGAAAATAATACTGATCCTCTTTAGACGGACTCTACTCGATCTCTTTATGTTGTGTATTCTATTGACACTCGGCTACATTACTAGCAATTTCTAGATAAAATGATCCATTTCTATGAGCTATCCTTATCCGTAATTTAATGTAAATCCGTATAGCCGCAAAACAAACTGGTCAAACAACATCACTGTTAAAAACGTCACTTTAGCTCCCTCTATGGTTATAGTTGTGTGAAAGCTCTTGTCCTCAGCTATATTATCACATTTAGTCACTTCTTTGCTGTACTCAAGCTTCTTTGTACCTTTTATTACGCTTTAGCATTCTATCCTAAGAATAAAGATCCTCGACGGACACGTATATATGCATGTTTTATGAGGGAAGTTTTCGACCGAGGCGCTCTTTCCTCTTCGACATCTTTCGACAGTGTCAGGTACGGTAACAACCGCCCTGGATTGCAGGTGCATCTTGTAAATAATGTGTGTTGAATTCGCGACGGAAGTAATTTGTGGTGTTCCAACCAACTTTCGGGACTTCACGATTTGAAGTCAGTCTGGGGAACATCCACTAGGATGAGAATTGAAGTTAGGAAATCTTTTGTGGGACAAAGTAAACGTTTCTTCAACAATATTCCGGATAGCGTCCAAAATATATCACATTCAAATAAATGTACCCTGTACATTTTTTTTAGGTGTACAGGGCACATTTTTGTGTTAAGGGTTATTATAATATTAGTGTATATTCAAATGATAACACACTCTGGAATTGAATTGATCGCTCCAGGTTCTTTCAAATGGACTATAACTTTGTACAATTTTTTTAATTATTATATGAGAAGGTTTCAAGCGAGCTGGCGGTCCACGCCGGTTTTCTACGAGATAGGGTTCTTACCCGGACCAACCCGTCCATACGTGCAGCATGGTCCTACCAAAACATTTCACTGTCAAACAATGTAAAAAAACTATCCTGCTGTGTTCCTATCGCCGGTTGTTCACGTCAGCAGCTTTGCTTCTCCGAACCGGTGGTAGTATTTGGACAATCAAAATGTGAGTGCATTAGAGTATATCGGAAGGCCGATGGTCACCTGGAGGGCGGCTGGTCAGCGGCCTTGGCGGCGGTCCAGGGCAGCAGGCTCAGGTCCTGGGGGAGCCAGTCGCGGCTGCGGCTGCCCAGGAGGCGCACCCACGCCGCTTCGGGGCCCGCTGGACACAAAGCTCGGTTAAACCGGACCCGCCATGCGTGTCTTAATTCTTCGGAGAATTCATTATTATGCATCTCGTACGATCTTATTATTCCATAACAAAATAACAATAGTATTTTACTGGTATACTGATCGGTATTGATGTGGTGGTTGAAGCACTCACTAGGAATAAACCTTAAATCTGGTAAGTAATTCAACCACCGTATAGATATACAAGCACACACTAATACATTAGTCAATAAAATTCACTGATAAGGAAAAGAAGAAAGGCACGAGATGTAAATTTGATCATGATTCAAACATGTCTTGACACTGAAACGATGAAAGAGCTAGGAATGAAAGATGATCACAAATAATTCTATATTGGTAACAAACACACAAAGCCGTGATAGCTCAGTGTCCGGGCGCTCGCCTTAATTCAATATACTCGAGCAACCTGAGTTCGATCCCCGGTGCCGGCACCAATGAAGTTTTTAACTTTTAAGTGTTGACTTATCACGTGCTCCGCGGTGAAGGAAAACATCGTGAAACCTGCATACGAAATAATAACAAAAAAAATATTTTTCGAGATATGTGAAGTCCGCCAATCCGCAGTGGGGCCGCGTGGTGGACTATGCCCTGATACCCTCTGTACAGAGGAGGCCTTTGCCCAGCAGTGGGACAAGTATAGGCTGTTACTTTTCTTTTTACTTTTTGCACAAAAATAAAGAAGGAATGGTAAACCGTTCAAGATAATGACGATATCGTATAAATAGCCAGAAATGTACGGCCTAATAAAAACAATAACCACAGTGTCCATAGCAGAGGCATTGCTTAGATAGACTTGATAACATGTGCAAAAGCATGTCCCGTAACATTTACTGCCACGGGCGTGCCCCAAGGTGTCCACCTCGCCCACAACTCGCCCAATCTCTTCCATCATAAGCGCATGAAGTAGATACATTTTAACAACTAATAGAGACTTCGTAGCGCAGTTGCCAAGGTATTGGCTTTGACGCCGACATCGAACTCCGTGGGTTCGTTTCCCACACGACTCACATATAATTGTTTAGGAACTGGGTGTTTGTCCACGTGAAAGGCATGTTCGTTTAACATCCTTACAACAGTGGAAAAACCGGTCAAGTGCGAGTCGGACTCGCGCACGAAGGATTTCGTACCATTATCTATAAAATGACAAAATGTTGTTATAGCAAGAATAGAAAAACATCATCTGTGAAAATTTCAACTGTTTAACTATTACGGATCATGAGATACAGCCTGGTGACAGACAGACAGACAGCGGAGTCTTAGTAATAGGGCCCCGTTTTACCCTTTGGGTACGGAACCCTAAAGACAACCGTCCCAAACTCCTCACCGGGTAACGTGTAATCGGTGACCTGGGCAGGCAGCGTGACGTTGCGCTCCTCTGTGCTGTTCTCCGCCCTGAGCTGCAGGATCCACTCCACCACGCCAGGGTTCTCCTCAGCGAACTGCCGCCACGTCACCGACACAGCGTCACCCAGCCTCAAGAGCTTTATCGGCACTGTCCAACAAAATTGCAATCTGAACCTTTAGAAATAACAAAGAGACTTACATTTACATTGTGGTGTGGACGTGGGACTTTGGCAGGCTCATCAACTCTTTTGCCTTGTGGCTGTTGAAAGAAGTAACCGTAGCCCACAACCACAGGTGGCATAGTTGTCCACGGTTAGTGGTTACCTCGGATAACATTAGGTGAACAGCTTGCTCGCTTGCCATCTTCTCACATAAAGAAAGAATTTGTTTACACACAGTGAGTAAACTCTGAATCTATTGAAACGTTTCTAAAAACTTCATCTTCCGATAGATGGTGGGATAACCATCTAGACTCTCCAAACCTTAAATTCCAATAAAGGGCAGCAGCGTTAGATTTGACTGGAAAATGGTTGCACATCCACCCACCAGGCGTGGCAACTGTGGCAAAAATTGGCTGAAAGGGGCCTATATCCAGCAGTGTAACTTACGTAGGTAGAACTGATGAATGAAGAATTTTCAAAACATTTTTTTTTACTTTTTTAATCGCTTACCGAATAATTTTTCAAACACAGACTTACGAACCTCCCTGACCCTGGCAAACGACGCTCTCCGACATATCGCTCGCCACGTTCTTCTTGCTCAACGTTGGTATATACGCTCGGACCTAAAAGGACATAGTATAATAAATTGAAGAAACCTGTCCTCATTAAAAATATCGAAATCAAGTCGACTAGCTAAAATGAACTACAAACATTTTGGTCATATTAAATAGCTAGGGTCAAAGTATACGCCCTTGTGGTACACTAAATTTACGACGAAGATTAGTTAACGTTTACTTCAATTATTCTCAATTAGTTCTATACGAGAAGTTGATGCAAGTCACTTCTTTTGTTTTTGATGTAATGTAAAGTTTGTAATGTAATTTAAAACAAATCCGTTTGTAGCTAAGTGAGCGGGGACCAGCTTTTAATTCTGTAAATGAAAAAAACCTATTGCGGGGAAGAAGTCAAGTACAATCTCGCCTGAAATTATCATCTCTAGACTAACTTGAAAGAGATATGGCGTGAGCGGCTCCTGGACGGTGATGACGTCTTCGGTGTTGGTGTGCGGCTGGCCGGTCAGCGCCACCCCTGGCTTATCTGGACAAATAGACACGACGTTTAGTAGGAAAGATTTTTCGAAACTGCACGAGTGTTGGGGGTTAATACAGGGCGATTTTATAGACGACGTACAAATTAGCGGAGCATAAGCAGAAGTTGATTCTAAATCTGAACATGGTACGTACTTGTGACCTAATTTTTTTTGTTCTTCAAAGATTCTTTTAAATTTTTTCAAACATAATGGACATCCCATTCGTTCATTCATCCATCCATCCATTCATCGATGCATTCCCCCACCTCTGGGCGTGGTGTCCACCGTGTAGGCGACGACGTGCGCGGCGGCCGGCTGCCAGCGCAGCGCCACGCGGCGCGTGCCGCGCGGCAGGCAGCGCAGCGCGCCCGGCGCCGCCGCCCACGCGCCCGTCACGTTCAGCGCCGCCCACGCCGACGCCAGCGACGCGCCGCCCAGCGCGAAGCACTGGTACACGCCTGCCGCGAGGGAACAGTTCCACATAGTTCGGTCGGCCAACTTGATAGCGTCCCTCCCCCACAACCAAGTCACTATAACGACGAGTTTCAGAAAATCAAGGCGGCCGACTTGTAGGTGTGCCTTCCCCCCACAAACACGACACTAACCACGAGTTTCAGAAAGCTAGCTAAGTCGGCCAACTTGAAAGCCTCCTACCACCACAGATACGAAAGTAATTAGAGTTGAACGACACCAAAAACTGGTACACCCCTGCGCACAGGGAACAGATCCACGGTGTACTGTCGGCCAACTTAAAAGCGTCCCTACCCTCACAACCACAACACTAACTCCCCCACAAACACGACACTAACGACGAGTTTCAGATAGTTCAGCCAGCCAACTTGAAGGTGTCCCTTCCCCTCACAACCACAACACTAATAAATGTTGACTGGCGCTAGCGACGAAGCAATGGTACACGGTGTTCAGTCGACAGTTAAAGCGTCCCTTCCCCCACAATCACGTCACTAACGACGAGTTGTAGAAAGCTTAGTCGGCTAACTTGTGAGCCTCCTACTACCACTACGAAAGTAGTTATTATTGACCATCACCAACGACAAAGCGCGCCTGCTCACAAAAATGGGATTCACAGACAAGGCTGCTGCGACGTAGGAGTTTCAGAGAGTTAAATCGGGAGATAATTAAGTTTAGAGCCTCCCTCCCCCCACAAATACGAAAATGATTAGCGGTGACCCACTGGCACACGCCTGCCATGAGGGACACCACAACGGAACAGTTTCACAATGTTCAGTTGGCCAACTCGAAAGCTCCCCATCACAGTCACAATCACCTATCAGCATTTTTTTATGTGAGAAGGTGGCAAGCGAGCTGGCGGTAACCGCCGCCCATGGACATTTGCAACACCCGTGGGGTTTCAGACACGTTGCTACCTTTCAATAAGTTGGGCTCCGGTTACCACACTCACCAGACGGAACGCAGAAATATAACACTTCTAATTCACGCCGGTCTTCTGTGAGGTCGTGGTACTAACTCGGACGGACCTGCCTATTCGTGCAACAGCGAATACTGTTGCGTGGCCCTACCACAGATAAAGGTAGCATTGGCCGAGACCAGCGACGAAATAATTTTACACTCCTGTCGTAAGGAAAGAAATTCACATTTCATCAATTTTATCGTTGGTTCAACACTCCCGCTTACAATCTTTGAGATGTTTTTCCTGTTGTTCCACGATGAAATCATGCTAACGCTATAACCCACGATAAGTAGATGCATAAACTAAGAATTTTAGAGGCTACACAAACGCCTCCGTCCTTCTCCTAGAGGACTATTGGCTTAAATCATCCATGATTTCACTTTCGTGGCCTCATCCGCGAGCAACTTCGCCCCACATAGAGCGGCTTTGAATATTTTTACAAGTCATAATCGATCGAATGGCGTTAGTGGAACGGAATAATGTTTAATTCATACGAATTATTACGCTCCGTACGGATTATTCTTCCGACGTGACGACATTGAACTTGGCTATATCCTTCCGTGCGGTGCATGGCAACCTGGTCTTTAGCAACGATCTATAATAGTTTATGTTCATTCCAGCTTTCTTCCCGTTTCAAAAGGTTTAAAGCATTTTAAGGATACAACTGAATAGATTGTACGCGTGAACTCAATACTCATTCTTAGAAACCGTTGTCTGATATTTATGAACGATTTTATCAGATTTGGAGAAGACTATTGGGCAAGATTATTGGATCCTTTACCTGCGTCGTCTGACGTCACTCCGCTTATGACCAATTCTATTCGGCTCCCGTCGGCGGATGTCCGCAAATTAATCTGTATACGAAAATATTCAGTTAAATCGCAATCTTTCTATTTTCTTATTTCGGTAAAATAATGAAATTGTGACTAATGTTTCATAAAAATAAACTTCAATTATTAATAACAAATGAGAAAACAACACTAGACCATTTTAATCTAGCCTGCTGGCCAATCGCTGCATTTAAGATGAAATACTAAAATTTTTAGAAATAATGCGTACGAAGTCTTTTCGCACCACGGGAATCGAACCGTAGTGTAAGAATTTTTTGTCCACTTTTTCTACAATTACTACTAATACTCCTTTTTATACTACTCACATAACGTTACGGATCAGCGAACATTTAAAGTTTTGTAAATAACGAAAAACAAAACCGACTTCAGATATCTCGCTCTGTATTCATTTTGTAATTGATTTTCAGGAGTACCCCAAGTATCTCCGTAGCCCAAGGTCCAATACCAATGAAATTAATATGGGACCACATGGGAAGCACCGGCTTTCAAATAAAAAAAGAATCATGAAAATCGGTTCACTCTGACTCAATCGGTTCTGAGGTGACAAACATAAGAACTCTCCGCCGAACTACTCCGATTTTGAAGTCGATTGAAAAAGGAATTAATACTATTACTTTTTGTATTTGTTGAATTCAATTACTTTTACCCGTGTGTAATGAACGTTTATCCACACTATCAAAACATAAAATTCTTATTCATAAGATCCTAAATTCTTATCTAATTAAGGAAATAAAAACCATGTTCGATACCTGTATCTAAACACCAAAAAGACAAAGTGGTTAAACGTCAATACATCAATACAACACACCAACTTAAGCTTTGCATACATTGCAGATGGTCGATAGACACTCCTGACCTAATCGATTCTGAAAACTTACCCTGCCCGCCAGTAGCAGAGGTCGGCCATCTTTGTACCACGTGACCACTGGCTCGGGCCTGCCGACGGCTGTACAGTTGAAGCGCACGGTGCTGGCTCGCAACACCTCCTTCGAAGTCGGCGGGAGCGTTATACTCACTGGCTCGGTGACGGTCACGTTGAAGGTCTGAATATTGAAGAGCAGGAACCCAGTTACGACCAGTCCCTAACCAGTGACAGCATATATACAGGGTGGCTTTTCTAAAGGTGCCCAAATTCACACAGGAGGATCAGACTCGGTAGTATAATAGTTTATTGAAATAAAAACATTTTTTTTTTAAAAAATTGCCATTCCGTTCCTTAGAAAACAGAACTTGTTGTCAATGCGGTAGTCATTCATAAATGCGCCGTATACTTTTGAAACGAACTAGTGTGCGTGTTAGTTATGAATGATCGCCCGTAAAATAAATGAGTTGCCCATAAATCATGTACTTTTTGAGATAAGTTCAAATGAATGTATTTAATTAATTACGAGTGATTTTAAAAATTTATCATTTTTTATATAACATTATTTACGTCTAGAATTTAATAAAAAAATGGATACATTTAAAAAAGCCTTCATGTATATGTCCTACTAGACGAAGGCCTTCGTAAAAAGGTATTAGTGTAAATCCACTCACTGTGGATTGGCAGACTTCACATATCTTCATAATACTTTTTTTGTTATTATTTCGAAAGCGTATACAGGCTTTCATAGTATGTAAAAACATCACCGTTGAGAACATAATAAAAATATCCTGACTAATATTGTTTCATTGCTATATCCCAAATAAAAAGATGTCTCATGAAATTAAATTGAGCTATGAAGAACTTTCAAAATATTTGACTCGATCGTTGATTAAGTTAATGACGCATAGAAACATTTCATTCTGTTTAAAATTTTATCGTAATCTAAAAACTTTGTCCTATATCGTAGGCAGATCCCAAAAATTTTGTAATCTCAATGAATTTATTACAAAATGGTCCATATTTTTTAACTCATTACAAACAATCCGGTGAAATTGTGAAAGTTATGGCGCCTTAAATATTTATACATACACTAGCGGACCGGACAGACGTTGCCCTGAAGATCAATAAAAAAAATCATTTACACACGTAGAGAATTATCACTATCTTGATGCGGTTTTTATTACTAGATAGTGATTCAAGAGGAAGGTATATGTATAATGAAGAAGCCGGGGCAGATCGCTGGTATATATATACAAATATACAAATATATATATAGATATACAAATATACAAATATATATATATATATATATATATATATATATATATATATATATATATATATATATATATATATATATATATATTAGTTACAAAGATTTGTATTTAGTTCTCAAGTAATTATTGTTTGATTTTTACAAACAAAAAACGTCCTATGTTCTTGTTGTGTTATGTACTTGTTAAGGAAAGTATAACAAATCTCTCATCAAACATATTTCTAATTCCAAATAAGAGATTATATTTACCGTGGCCGATCAAATATTAACGGTGAGGTAAAGGCGCCCAAAGTTACACGTGTGTGAATGAATGTACGCCATACTCGGTCTCTGAGTACACATGCGCCCATTTATTTTTAATGAGAGGGAACGAGGCTTGTTACAAATACAGGAGGAAGCGGTTGAACACTCGCAAGCTAAATTCTAATACAAGGTCTATAATGGGTAATAATTTCGGTTAGCGAATACAAGATACGCTGCCTTAGGCCTACTCGATAACTTTTTAGGGTTCCGTACCAAAAGGGTGAAACGGGACCTTATTACTAAGAGTCCGTTGTCTGTCTGTCTGTCCGTCCGTCGCCAAGCTGTATCTCATGAGCCGTGATAGCTAGACAGTTGAAATTTTCACAGATGATATTTCTGTTGCCGCTATAACAACAAATACTAAACAACAGAAGTGATAGCCGCCGCCCACCGCTTGACATTTGCAACACCCGTAGGATTGCAGATGCATTGCCAAGTCAAAATAAAGTGGGCCCCGGCTACCTCACTCGACAGATGAATCGCAAAAGTATCTCTCACCCGGACGGACCTGACCATTCGTGCAATATTCAATACCGTTGCGTGGCCCCACCACAGTTTAAATTGAAGGTATTTATTGCGACGATCTTCTTCGGTCTATCACATATATTGTATAGCTATTACCATTTTGCCAATAACCGATCATTCACAAAAGCAAAAGCACACTCAGAGATGCCAACGGCCCTAACTCGGCAATAAGCGTTTTTGCGAAGTTAAATAAAGTTCGGGACAAATAAAGCTTATCTCAAACTAGTACGTGATACATTGAATAGTTTGTTTCTGGGCGCTATCAGTAAATTGTTAATCACTTATTATTACATGATATAAATTTACGACAAACCAATTTCTTGGGATATCGAGGGAACGGAAGCCAAAGTTTACACCTTACAACCAACAAATTATCAGTAAAATTAGAACATAATTTACCTAATTAAAGCTCTTAATAGCTCCTTTGAGAGTTAAACACGTATACAACACCCTAATGTTATTAAACTTATATTAAAAAAAAGATTTTTATTTGTTTAAAAGACTCTGAAACAACTCAACAGATTTTAGTTGAGTTACTTCATTACTTACGACTTTACTTATCGTTCACTCTAAAAGAATAATAATGCTTCAAAGTCGGTTATAGAAGTTGTGACCTACGAAAAACGTAGCAAATCTTGATTCGAATGTCCCACTAGATTATTGATCGTTTTTAGCATAAGTTATTTAGTAGGTAATTAAGTACCTATCAAATTCATACTACACTACTAATATTAATTCACGCGTTACACTTACTTATTGATTGTCAAAAAACAACTTGAGTAGAACCGACCAAAGAAACTCAGCTGGACATTTTTTTAACGTACCGACAAAAAAATAACAGACATGTGTACAATATATTAAACTCCTCTTGAAAGAGCCTGGAGCGATTAATTCATTTCCAGATTGTGTTATCATTCAAATAATCACAAATACTACAATAGCCTTTAACACAAAAACGTGCCTTCAATGTGTTATCCGTGCGAGTATCATTCGTACAAGCAAGCCTAGCAAGTTCTTTTTTTTTTATTAAATTAAGCACCGCTTGTCGCAAATAAGCAACTATGGGTACTAGATCACTGATAAACATAGTTAAACATGCTTTCATTTAGTAACTAAATGCATATTATAAATATACACACACCCAAAAAAAGGAAAACACTATGTTCTTCACACAATATTTTTCCAGTAGTCGGGATCGAACCGACACACTCTGGCGTTCGCCACTGCTTCCTAGCAGTTGCCCTACCCACAACGCCATTCGGCGTCTCGTACTGTGGTAGGGCCACGCAACAGCTTTGGGTGTTGCACGAGTGGGCAGGCTTGTCCGGGTAAGTACCACGACCTTGACCGAATTGCAAGTATCAAACTTTCGCGTTTCGTTTACTGAGTAACGTTACCGTGGCCCACTTTTTTTAAAGGTTTTCATCACATCAGCAAGCCATCGGGTGTTGTATGTCCATGGGTGGTATTTAACATCACGTTAACCGCCTACTCGATTGACAAATTTTCACATAAAAATAATAAACATTGCTTTTAACAATCTGTTTATGAATATGACTTTTGTTTTGTACTTTATATGACTTTTTTACATTAGGGTTCTGTACCCAAAGGGTAAAACTCGACCTTATTACTAAGACTCTGCTAATGTGCAAAGCCTATTCATTAACAGGTTTAAGAAATTTATTAAAGAAAAACTTTTTAAAAAGGGTTATTATAATATAAATGAATACATTAACGATAATAACCCCTGGGAAGGAGATGATCGCTCCTAAGCTGTTTCTGAAAAAATATTTATGTAAAACAATGTATTAGTTGAGAAAAAAAATGACAAAAAAGAGGATACCTACTGAGTATCTTTCGCCTTTTCTTCTCCGCTAGAGGAACCTCATTACGAACCGGTGGTAGATTTAAAAAAAAATGACTATCGATAGATGAAATGTATATTTCCTATTTCGATGAATAAATTATTTGAATTTGAATTTGACTCCGCAGTCTGTCTGTCCGTCACCAGGCTGTATGTATTTTATGAGCCGTGATAGTTAGACAGTTGAAATTTTCACAGATGATATATTTCTGTTGCCGCTATAATAAATACTAAAAAAACGGAATAAAATATATTAAACGGCAAAAAAATCATGTCTGTTGTAAGGAAGCACCCACATGATTCTTTTTTCCCGTTTTTATGGATAACGATATTGGCCTTTTCGTGCGCCAGTCCGACTCGCAATTGGCCAGTTTTTTAGTTACACACACTAAGAATTCTCTAATGTTTTCTCATATTACTGATAAAATTAAACACTTCGCGGAATCGTTGTCGAATCCAACTTTGTTAAAGTCAAACTATTGATTTTTTTTTTTCATTTTTATTCGTATTCTTAAAATATTAATATAAATGTTTTAAATTGTGTTAATGTTCGTAAACATTAATGAGCTACCAAGGCCTTGTGAAAAGTACATTTAATTAACATAATATACACATCAAAAAAGTCTTAACAACACGATAAAGCATTGTGATGTTTGCTAAACTAATTTACTAAAATCATAATTTTAAACGCCATATTCCAACTTTTTTTTATGAAAATGAAATCTGGCTGATTTAAAAAAAGAAAGTCATTAAAATAAATAAAATTATCACTCAGACTTTTTTAATGGTTGTAGAACTCGCCGAGACCTACCTTCATCAGGTTGGCGTGACCCTCGACGGAGCAGGTGTAGACGCCTTCTTGGTCTACCTCCAGGCTGCGGAGGATGAGCACTTCGTCGGTCTCTTCGAGCTCCCTGATCCTGGCGTGCGGCGGAGCCAGTTTCCAGACCAGCTGTGTACGATAACATTTATTCATATACTAGCTGTGCCCGCGACATCGTCCGCGTGGAATTTAAAATAAAAAAATCTAAAATAAAAGTAGCCTAAGTTACTCCTTATTACATCGGCTATCTGCCAGTGAAAGTCCCGTCCCAATCGGTCCAGCCGTTTCAAAGATTAGCCAGAACAAACAGACAGACAGACAAAAATTGTAAAAAACAGACACTACAATTTTGTTTATCTGTATAGATATACGCATATCTAATAAGCAGAATTATTAAAGCCGCGTTCCTTTTTATTAAATATCTATAACCAATACTAAATATATATCCCATTAATATTATTTTCTTTAAAATAAAAAGTCAAAGATTTTTGTGTTATAATTAAATAAAATTGACGAAAACTTATGTTAAAATATTCGTTTTAACTCCTTTCAATCCTATATAAAAGACTTTCAGTCAGACAGACGAATATACCATCAGGCGATCCGCTAGCTCGTCTGTAAAAAAATAACTGGAGGCATCAGACCACTGACAAGTGGAGCAGCACATAGAGAGTGAAATCACGACGACCAACAGCCAACAGCAACCACTGAGACCCTAACGCTATAAACGGTGGCTTTGTGGGTGGCCGGGCTCTGTCAAACCTTGGGTCTGGGCCAGCCGAGGACGGCGCAGGGGAGCGCCACGCGGGAGCCCCTCGGCGCTGCTACCTGGGCGGCGTGGTGCAGCGGCAGCAGGCCGGCCCGCTCTTCGGCTGCGCTGACCACGTCCAGCTTGCCTAAATGGCTCGCCCGGCTCCGGTTCGCGAGCTGGTTAGTGGCTATGCACCTGGCGTGGAGACGGACGCATTGGGGTGTTGTTCTCAGTTTGTTTTTGTGTTAGTAAAAGTAAATGATATAATAAAAATAAATATTTTAGGATACATTTTTTTTTACACATTTTTCAGTCCCAAACAAGCTTGTACTATGGGTACTAGAAAACTGATGAATATACTTAAACATACTTTTCTTTTGTAAATATATTTCGTATTACTATGACAATGTCTTTGTTAAACTTCAACTGTGATAGGACCACGTAACAGTCTTCTCTGTTACGTAGTATAATATTAAAAATAAATTAGTAAATTTAGTATAATATAAATAATTTAATGTGGTATGGCCACGCAAAAGCATCGGCTGTTGCACAAATGGGCAGGTCTATTCGTGGAAGTTTTATACTTCTGCGTTTCATCTGGTAAATGAGGTAGCCAGGGCCCCCTTTATTAAAAGGTGGCAATGCATCTGCAACCCTAAAAATGTTGCAAATGTGTGTTGGTTATCACTTAACATCAGTAAGATGTCGTTATCTGAGTGGATATTTTGTCTATTATACAGAAACTGTTACGAATTAAAACAAGCTGTACGTACGTTATATTTATATAATAAAGTTTATCATTTTTATTTATATCATAGAGAAAGTATGAGTTGTCTTAAGTAATTTACTAGCCAGATCACAATTTAAAAATTATATTTAATACCTGTAAGTGCCGGCATCTTCTGGACTTGCGTCTGTTATTAACAATTGACTCTCCAGGATGTGGTATCTAGAAGAAACAATACTAAATGCTTTAGAATATTATACGTAGGACAAAATAGTTTAAGTAACAGAGAAGTCTAGAATTACTTGTATGTATTAATTAAAGAAATGTACATCTTTACGTAATAATGTTTCCGACTATAAGCGCATATAAAAATAGTTTCAACGGTTAAAGATAAAATAACTTTTTTTAAATAACTTAGAGATATTGACGGAGCTGGAACTGTTTATTGGAAGCAGAAACATTGATTGATGGATGAAATAAACAGGCTGAAATGATGGTGATGATGATGACATACATAATAAACACTCACGCTTGCGGTGTCATAAAACATCTATATTTTCTACGATATTTGCACACACTTTTTACACTCAAACATCCAAGCACACGTTAGTGACAGTCATATATCTAATATATAAAATTCTCGTGACACGGTGTTTGTAATTGAAACACCTATGAAACGGCTCGACCGATTTTCGTGAAATTTTGTGTGCATATCGGCCAGGGTGGTGAATCTGACAAAATCTATTTTTCATCCCCCTAAATATTAAGGGTGGTCCACCCCAAACATTTTTGAATTTATATGGCAAAACAACGTTTACCGGTTCAGCTAGTTTCTATGTAAAATTTCGACGTTTCACAAGAACGCGCAAGCGTCTATGTAAATAAAGATATTTTTAATTTATGATTTTCCTGCTGCCCATTCTCAATATATATCTATCTGGTCCAAATAATTGACATATATACCATGTGCTAGAACATATCTAAACAAGTAAGTGAATCTCCGGTTCATATATTTTCTTTATTAAAGACAGATCAAAATACTTCGTACCTAGAATTGATGGGCAGTTCCTCGCCGTCTCTCTGCCAGGTGATGGAGGCTGGTGGACCAGAGCTGATGTTGCAGGAAATGGCCAATGGTTGCCCCCTCGACACCGTCATGTTTTCGGGATGCCTCGAGAACTGTTTATCTATGTCTGGAGGAAAATATTTGTCAATTATCGATATGTTCAACTAACTATCCCCTCCCCTTCTGTCATTAGGCGTGATTGCGACAACAAGCGACTTGAGATATTAACTGGACAGACGCACTCAATATGTCAAGTCGCTTGTTCGAATCCCAATGGTATCAGTAAACTAGCGATTTGTAGGTTTCTAAAAAAATAAACTAAGTGGGGTGCAATTGCCTTTTATGGTCAAAAAACAAGAGAGCTGTTATGTTTTCTTCAATACATTGAGAGAAGTAGGTTTGTTGAATATTTCCAACCCGAGATCATAGATTTAGGGAAACATTCTTTCTAGTGGCCACCTTGATGAGTTGTGTATGCGTTCATCTTATCATCGTCCAAATATAACAGAAAATTTGACGGAGCATTTTTACCCATAATTAACGATGATAGCAAGATACAAACTATTAACGACGAAGATAACAAGATAGTGCCCGACCTTAACGTCAAAGGCCACCGTACTAATAGTACAAATGAGTAGTGCAAATGATATACACAGATTTTCGCATTCGAAGAAACTACTAAACAACGGTTGTCCGAAAAACAAACTCATTGTCCTTACCTTACCGTTATAGCGGTAAACGCAATAACATAACTGACGCCAAAACAAAGCCCGCATTAACAGAAAAAATTACAGACACACGAACGGGAAAATTCATTTCAGTTAAAGTAGCTAAGCTGAGGATTTGTCATGTTTAATTTTCTTTGTTTTCTCGACAACGGAAGCTACAAGCGACCTATACGGAATGCTAGAACTAACTTAATTTGCTAAGACCACAAAAACTGTAGGCTTTCTAGGCAAATTTATCGCCGATATGTGTGAAAAAACTTAAGGACATATTTATATAAAACGTAGTCCCAAAGTAAGCAAAGCTTACACTATGGATACTGGGTAACTGACAAACATACTTAAAGGTACTTTTATTTTGTAAATAATACATATTGTAGATATTATGTTCTACAGTAGAACCAAGGTAACCGACATAGCTCAGAGGATTAGCAAGCTGAAGTGGCGATGGGCCGGCCATATAGCTCGTAGAACCGATAACCGTTGGGGAAGAAAGGTTCTCGAGTGGCAGTCTCGTACTGGCCATCGCAGTGTAGGACGACCCCCCACTAGATGGAGTGACGACCTGTGCAAATGTGCGGGAAGTCGATGGATGCAGGTGGCTCAAGATCGTACTTCGTGGCAGTCTGTGGGGGAGGCCTATGTTCAGCAGTGGACTCAAACAGGCTGAAATGATGATGATGATGACATACAGAATACATACACCATGCTCATCATACAATATTTATCAATTAATGGGGATCGGACCCACACCCGCTGGCGCAAAAGACAGGTATACTATCCACTACGCCAATCGGGTCTTCGTACGCATCCCCCCCACTAAATACCGAGTATGAAATTCTGCGTATATACGTATTGTATTTGTAAAAAAATAAGTAACGGTTACGGAAAAGTTCACACTTTGCCCTTGAAACACGAGAGGGGCGTCCCTGGATACCGGGAAAGCGGCCCAGGGCACTCCTTATTAATCCCCGAAAATAAGTAACGGTTACGGAAAAGTTTAATTTAAATGTTAAAATTGAGATTTTTGGCCTTTATAAAAAGAAGCGAGTATTTCGGAAAACATTATATTAATTTGTTTCAATATTACTGAAGTGCTTTATTCCACAATTTCTAAGTTTATAATATGTTTAAAGTCACGCGTTTCTTTCTAACTATATATCGCTTGTTATATGTACATGCGGTCTTCTCCTATATTTTCTTTTTTTTATGTGAGAACGTGGCAAGCGAGCTGGGCGGTTCACCTGATGTTAAGTGATAACCGCCGCACATTGACATTTGCAACACTCATAGGGTCGCCGAAGGTTACCTTTTTATAAAGTGGGCCCCGGCTACCTCACTTACCACACGAAACGTGGAAGTCATATCACTTCCATATCAAGTCATATCACTTCCATATCACGCCGGTCTTCTGTGAGGTTGTACTTCCCCGGACGGACCTGCCCATTTGTGCAACAGCGGAGACTGTTGCGTGGATAAAAACGCTCAGATTACTTCTAAGAAAGACACTCTATTGCTCATAATGTTGACATTCGGGATTTGAGATTATTTCGACGTCTTCTGCTCCAGGGGGCTTAGCAAATAAACTGAAACCTCCTAACGACTGTTACGTCGACACAAACCATCAGTGCATTGCTCACCTTTTGGCCACGGCGTCATGGATAGTGGGTTCGATTTTGACACGGGACAATAACTATATATTATATATGAGTTATTTTCGGATATAGGTGTGTAATGTATAATTTTTGCGGATCCAACATTAAGAGTAACGTTACATCGGTACATGTAAAGAGATGTACAGTATATATTGATGATTAATCGGAAAGCTGATGACTTGTTGACGCTTTTATTAAGCTATTTATTGGCTTCGGCGCGGAGAGCCGTGGGTTCAATTCCCACGACAAATATTTATGTGACCCACAGATAAGGCAGCCGATCGTAAAAAATCTGGCCAAAAACATTTAAAACACGATTCATATGTTGTACCGAACCCATATAGGTGGGATATGGACAGGAGGATGATGATTATAATCATAAACGTCGCCATTTATACTCATGAATAAACATAGCGTAAAATAAACAAACGGGCCTTTGAGGAAGATGTTAACTGTGCTAACATCAAATTAATTCGTGATAGATAACCGTTAAAATAACAAGAACTCTCCAGCGTAGAGCCGTTTTCGCGGCGGATGGAGCAACATCCCTGAATTAATTATCGACAATGAAAACAATATTCCGAACGGATCGCCCGCCCTGGAATTATCAAGGTAAACGTTGGCTTTCCAAGGCTGCCAAGTTGGGTTTGATATTATTAAACTCTTTCTATTACACCGGAAGTGTCTTATTCGGAACCGGTAATTTGCTTTATCTCCCTACTTAGGAGCGCTTCTAGAATTAATTAGTTTCATGTTTTCGATAAAATAATATTCGAGGGAAAGATCTCTTAGCGAGGTATTTTTTGTTCGTATCCAATTAATAATTCAGACATTTATAATGAGCGAAAATTAAATCCTCGAAGTCTGTTCTCGCAAAAAGCCCTCGAGGTAACGTTAAATTTTTTAATTAATATATTTTACTGGACCGTAGTTTTGTTTAAGCACATTTTATTTATATTCCCATCAAGAATAAAACGTAATAAATTTGAACTTTGAGGTTGGAAACCATTCAGCACGTTTTCAATGTCCGTTTGTTCCAAATGTATTAATCCAGTGCCTAAAATTGGTATAGTTTCAAATGTGAAACTAAAATATGAGTAGGGATTATTAACTTATATTACGGTAATAATTATTGAAAAGTTGAATTAATTTGAAATATCCCTCCAAAAGCTTAGTGGTAGAACTAAATCAACATAGAAAATGTTGATATAACCTGATCACATCTGTAATCGTATATATATAAAAATGAATTGCTGTTCGTAAGTCTCGCTAAAACTCGAGAACGACTGGAGCGATTTTGCTTATTTTGGTTTTGAAATATTTGTGGCAGACCGGGAAAGGTTTAAACGATGAGAAATTATGGAAAAGTTGCATGGGAAATCGAAATAGCAACAATTTTATTTCGAAAATTGTGTGTGAGTGCGTTCCAAAAAATTATTTTTCTATGTGTTCAGATTCAAAAATTCCCTAGAAATAATTATATGGCAAAAAAACCTTTGCCGGGTCAACTAGTAATTGATATATTCTTGTGTGTATAATTAACCCATGTCAAAATGCATTTTAAACTTCCTATGCATATTACACCGATTCTGAATAACTCTGGAAATAAGTTACAAGTAGGACTTTTAAATTATAAAGAAATCCTTTTAGCGACGTGGGCCCCAGTAGCCTCGCTTGCCAGACGCAACGCAGAAATATAACACTTTCACTTTACACCGGTCTTCTGTGAGGTCTTAGGTTACTTACTAGGTTACTAGTACTTACCCGGACGGACCTGTCAATACGTGCAACAGCGAAGTCTGTTGCGTGCCTCTACCACAGTTTCTACTAGTGTTTTTGTTAAAAGCGGGGAGCGTTACTTTACGCACGTATAAGGGTCGTTATTTCGTGTCGGAAATATTAAAACTATGCGTACAACGGCCTTGGCTCCGCTGGAGATGTTGCGGACACTTGAACGCAGACACACGGCCTCCTTGGAGTTCGTGATATATTACCAAGAGTGGAAATATTCTCACCCAAGGCCCGCAGCGAGCGACAAGTACACTCGTGTGCAAATGGTCACATTTTTACAAAGGAGAAAGCGGCAAGTGAACAGGCGGTAAATATGCGATAACAGTGAGGTAGCCTGCACCGCACCGACCGCTTGTGGAACGTGCGCACTGGTTTAAGGGTCGAAAGAAATGCAAAAGTATATGCACTCCTACTTTACGTAGAATTAAATAATCCAAAAGTACCATCTTGTAAGTCGACGGACATAACAGCCTTGAATATGATCAAAATGCTTTCATTAAATTTTTTTCAAACACGTTTTGTCCGCTTTTGCTCCTTATAGTAATGCTTAAATATATCAATTACGGAATAAACTAAATGACAAGCGTTTATAAGTATATACTTCTAATTAAGAGTTACCATTAAAACAAGGTGAGTTCCTATTACGATTCCATTTTGATATCAGTTTTTTACACTTTTTAATTTGACACCATCCCTAAACCGGAAGACACGGTCGTTGCCGGAAAATATATTAATTTTTCGATAAGAGGAAATTCGAAGATAGTCGCATATGTCCATGGTGGCAATAATCAATTAACATCACGTGAATCGCCCGCTCGCTTGCTTTTTTCGTAAATTAAAAAAAAAACTCTTTCGGCCGCGACTGTACCATCCGAACAAAGACGGAAAGTTTGATGATAGGGAAGAAATATGAACGCCGCA